CAAGGGCAGTCATCACAAAAACTTTCGGTTTTGATCACTCATTATGAACTATAAACAATCAGGTCAAATATGAATATTCGTTTGATTTTTATACTTGATTTATATGTGAATCCCACATTTCTCCCTTTATCATTATTATTATTTTTTTTTAATAAAATGCTGAAGTGGTAGGTAGATGCAAGATAAAGGTAGAAAACATAGTTTAGTGTTGTAAGAGAGCAAATGTAGATGATCAGGTATGTGCCTGCAGACTATGTGTTAATCCAAGCTAGACAAGTGCAATAAAACATCCATGGATGCAGAAGATTTCTCTCAAAACAGGGGGGTGAGGTTCTAAGCCTCACCTCTGTTGATCCCCAATTTCTCACATGATGGCCCCCCCTGCGACTGTGCCTGTCTTAGGTTGTTCCTCTGCTGGGAGAATTTTTGATCACAGTATTAGACACCTCTTGGAAAAACAATTGTCAGGAGAGTAACGTAGACTCACCTTGAAAGAATTCAACAGATGATCTGTGCCTCATCTTTAAAGAGCTCTTTTCTGCCCACATGATGTGGGTTGGACTGCCCTCTGAAAGGTGTGGTGTAAGCTGACAAGGAGAACTGAGGCAAATTCTAAATAGGTGACTGTAGATTCCGTTAATACCAATGACAGTATTGAAAAGCCAAGTGTGCCAAATCTAGAACTCATCTCATTAGTGTGGGCAAACTAGCTGCCCACTTAAATTTTCAGGCACTGTGCCAAGCAATTTATGTGGATTGTTTTACTTAATCTTCCCAACAATCCTAAAATTATCCCCATTTTACTTATGAGGAAACTGAGACTTAGAAATTGAGCAACTTGACTAGTTAATAGAGCTGGCATTTGAATTTGTCCAAGTTAGAGCCAATGCTCTATGTTAATACATTTCTTCCTTTGCTTATTTCTGAGACATCAGATTCAGCCTCAGCTGTGGGAAATCTCTTTCCCTTAGTTGGATTATATGGGAAAGTGGCTTTTGCTATGTAGGTCCCAACAGAGAAGGTCACCTTTCATTTTTCAGCAGTCTGTCAAGTGCCTCTTTTGTTCTGCATGGCATCACAGGTTACAGTGCCAGACACCCAGAGTGCCTGCTGGGTGGTTTTCTCCAATCTCTAGCCCTGTGTCTTCTCATTGGTACCCATTGTGACATCAGAACGTTGTTAAGGAGCACCTGCACTGCCACCTTTCACAAGCCCTTCCTGTCTAGAGCTCCTTAAACCATAACATAACTCCTGTGGGTCCTTAAGTAGTCTCATAAAGTTTCCCTTTCAGAGAAAAAGTGTATAGCTTGAGGCTTTAACATTTTCCATCTTCAACAAAGAGTTAAACAAAGCTGGAAAAAAATGCCATCCCAAACTCATAGAAAGCTATTTTCAGAGAAAAGTTAGAAACAAATGCCTTTAGCATTAACAAGCAAGAAAAAAAATTAAGTATTGTTCTTAAGAAATTAGGAAGGAAAGAACAGTAATCCAAAATGAGGAAGGAAAAGGAAATAGTAAAGATAAAAAATAAGTTAAATAAAATAGAAAATATCAAAAACAAAAGGGAAAAACCCAAATGCTGGTTCCTTGTAAAGATAAGTAAAATTAATTACCTTCCCAAGGTAATCTGCATTTCACACAGTCCCACTGGACTTTTTAGAATTAGCGAAAATGGTTTTTAAATTGATTGCATAAACTTAAATTATCTATACGTAGGAACTGATATAATAAACTAGAATGCCATGTAATTGTAGACACAAAGAAGGTATTTCTTTATATTTGGATATGGAACAAAACAAGGTACAGAACAGTGCACATAGTGCACTGGCTTTTGTGTAAAAGTAAAAAAGAATAAAAATATAAATTAACATTTGCATTTATATGCATAAATGCTGGGAGGAAGGAGACATTATAAACAATAGTGCTTACCTGTGATAGTAGGAGTGAGGTAGACAGGACTTTAGTAAGGAAGACTCTCCCCTCGATACATATTTATATTTAAAACTTTGGAACCATGAGGATGTATTTGCTCTTTAAGAATTAGTTTAAATTCATTATGTATAAAGAGTTATTTTTTTTAATCAACAAGAAAAAGGTGAACATCCCCAGTGAAAAATGAGTAAGGTGGGTACCCCGTGTGAAGCATCTGTTCTTAGATACTTAGCAGCTGCTCAGTGAAAATGAGCCCACATGTCAGCAGGGCCTGTCTAGGTGTTGCACACACAGGTATAACATTTATTTTTTGGTTTTAATGTTCTTAATTTCCTGCAGTGACTCACCTTTTTATGGTTGGAGACATTTTTAGAAAAGAAATTTAAAAAAAGAAGCTTAGAAAAAAAGTAAGAAAAATAAGAAAATAGTCTGAAGAGTCATAAGGGAAGCCAGCACCAGCAACTTGAGAGATTGGATAGTGGCAGCAGCTGGAATGCTATGACAGGAACACAAATATGGAACTCTTGAAGCTGTAGAAAGACTCAGACACAGCTTTGTGTTCTCATGTGCCCATGAAAGACTATGATAGAATGAGTATTTGAAGTAGACAAGTAATGGCAAAGGAAGGAATAATTAGTAGATGCTGGTGGGATAATTTTACAAGTAGTTAATGTCCACATATTATATCAAACAATGGCAGCTGGGACAAAGTTAAACAACAAAAAATGATAGCTTTGAGCAGTTCATGTAAAATAAAATGTGATGAATAGTAATTTGAACAGTTGTGAACAAATGGAGAGCCCCACAGTGGAAAATATCAACAGAGCCAAATATTTTAAAGAATTTACATTTTCATATTATAGAGAAGCCAACAGCAAACATGTGTGGACATGTGAATATTAGTCCTTAATATGTATGTGTTAATTGGTTTCCATGCTTTCCATGGATAAAGATGTAAAAGGAAAGATGAACAAATAAGCAGCAATTGTTAATTGCTTTTATTATACAAAAGTGTAGGGATTATGGATGAATTTTGTTATTCTTTAAGGATATAAAGGTTTGATTTTTATAGAAAATACTTATTATGAAGCAGGAAAATCCTCCTGTAGTGTTTTTCTAAGAAAGGGACTAATTAGTCTGGTGGACAGCCTTAATGACTACATATTACACAGGCTATTCTGTTATGGGAATATATCTGGTATGGGAATATAATCCACCAGGTAAACTTTGCCAGTCTCTGGAGAGTTGCGAGAAGGTAAAGAGAAGCAGCTGTTGGTAGAAATGGTGGCGTTCATCCTTAGGCATTGGTTGCAGCAACTGCAAAGGATTAAGCTATGAAATTAAGTTCACCTCTTCATTTTAATATTCTTTTCTTCTAGGTCGGTGGTACTAAGGCTGGCGTAGTCCGGTTTCTTGGGGAGACAGACTTTGCGAAGGGGGAGTGGTGTGGTGTGGAGTTAGATGAACCTCTTGGGAAGAACGACGGGGCTGTGGCTGGAACCAGGTTTGTTTGAATTGGACTGCCTCCCTCTTGCATGTAAAGACGCTATGGCGATCTCACTGATTGAGTATAATAAAGTGGAAACAAGTGTTTTGAAGAGCTACACTTTATTTTCTAAGACTCATCTACAAGTTTCCCACTAGAATTGGAGTTGTTCTTTGGACTTAGTAATATGTGTCTCTCTTTAGTAATATGTGTAACACATCTGAGCAAATTCTGAACAAGGATTCAGTTTGTTTATTTTTAAGATTTTTTTTTTAGAGCAGTTTTAGATTCACAGCAAAACTGAGAGGAAGGTACAGAGAGTTCCCATATGCCCTATGCTTCACATGTGCACAGCCTCCCTCCATTATCAATATCCCCATGAGATCGTACACTTGTTAAAACTGATGAACCTACATTGACATATAATCAACAAAAGTCTGTATAGTTTATATTAGGGCTCATTCTTGATGGTGTATATTCTGTGGGCTTAGATAGATGTATGACATGTGTTGTGTGTCTGCCATTATAGTATCATATACAGTATTTTCAGTCTGTTTTACAAAATAGGAAGGAAATATGTCATCCTTTTCGCTTCTCTCCCTTTTGATAGCAGTCAATGTCTGAATGAGTTCCTGGATGTTGTGGTTGGGAGTGGGGGTGAGGAGAAGGAAGCTGCTTTTGTTGGGAAAAGAACATAAAATGTGTCTTCATATCTGATGACAAGAATTCTGTTCTGTGGCAAGAGAACAAACAAAATGGCAGGCATACCTCATCTGCTGTGAGAATGACCCCACCTGCACCTCCCAGAAATAGAATGGGAGTTAAGTGATGTGGTGAATGCAAAAGGAATTTCCCACACTGCTTTTTCAAGGTGTTTTGAAGGCCTTGGGCACAGGTGTGGTATATGATGCATTATTATTATTTATTTTTTTATTAAGGTTTTATTGATATACACTCTTATGAAGGTTTCACATGAAAAAACAATGTGGTTACTACATTTACCCATATTTTCAAGTCCCCACCCATGCTCCATTGCAGTCATTGCCCATCAGTATAGTAAGATGATGCATTATTATTAATAGGATAAAGTGTTGTTAACATTTTACATATAAAACATTTCCAAGTTGGTTATAAGCATATGGGCTTTATCTATCAAATACAATAATAATTCCTGGAGGAGATAAACATCTCTTTGTGCTGTAATAATTATGAAGTCATCCCTTCTTCACATTATTATAATTCTTTAGAGTTGTAAGATCTCCAGTGTCAACTGATAACTGACATTACTGGCTAATATACCTCCACCTTTACTTTGGTGAATCTGCCAGTTAGGTGTTTGTTCAATTTCTTTTTCCCTTTGTTTAGCATGATCTTAATTAAGTGGGATCATTATATGGCTCAACACCCCTGCTGTATGTTTATCAAATAGTAGAGATACTTATTTCCTTTCCATAGAACCTTAGTAACAGATGAGTAGTTCTGTCCCTGTTTATCACATTGTTATTTATTAGTGTGTTTTCTAAAACATCACTGAGGTAATTTATCAGCCTACATACATGTGAATGCTGCACATGGTATATTGCCCCCACTTATCAGAATTCACAGCAAACCTGTCACAAGTCAGGAGTTAGGAGAGCTTTTGGCTACTAAGTTTTTTGTTGCTTTTCTTATCATTGTTCTCCAAAGGTATTTTCAGTGTCAACCCAAATATGGCTTGTTTGCTCCTGTCCACAAAGTGACCAAGATTGGCTTCCCTTCTACTACTCCAGCCAAGGCCAAAGCCGCTGCTGTGAGGCGGGTGATGGCGACCACGCCCGCCAGCCTGAAGCGCAGCCCTTCTGCCTCCTCTCTCAGCTCCATGAGTTCTGTGGCCTCCTCCGTGAGCAGCAAGCCCAGTCGCACAGGATTAGTAAGCCTCCCTCTTCTGACTGCATGTCTATACCTCCCAGGCACAATGAACGCCCACTGTCCATGCACTGCTTTGCTTTAAGAAACAGTCAGTCACCTCTTGCCCTTGTACTAGATGTTACTTGTAGCTTGTGAAAATCCTTACAAGCGTCACACAATAAAACTATAGGAAGAATACAAATTTTGAGAGGAGTTTTTAACAGCTCTTTTCTGATTCTGAAGGCTCTAAGATGTACCAATTGGTGAATCTGTAGTAACTACTGGTTAGTCTAATATATGGGATGATTTCTTTTCACCAAAATTATTTTGGGCACAAGAGTGACAGGAAAATTGGAAGGATCCTTTTCCTCAAGGACATAGATCTCTTTTTTGAGTGTGTTTGAACTGAAGTATTTTGAGAAAAGCCATGTTCTTAGAATTTTGATATTAATACAGTCTAACCTATTGAAAGTATTTCATGTGGGGAGTATTCCTGACTTGGGCCAGAGAAAACAGAGGGGAACTTAGGGAACTTGAAAGGATGCTAGGAAACCCGTTATTTGTCTCCGCTCTCCATCTCCAGTGCCCTCTCCCTTTTACTCTCTTACCCTTTCTTCCCCATTTAGATCAGTAAAAATAGAATCATTAAAATTAAAATTAAGCAGGCAGTATCTCATTCTGTTTGTTAATATGGTGTTTTATTAAGGTCAGAGCAATGCCTTTTTGGCTTCATCCTGCCCATAAGTTTATTTACTTAATGATAGCAAATGCTGTTTAAGCGTGAAATGGCAGCACAAGTTTATACACCAAACTGAATTCTGGACCTCTGTTATGATGGTGAACTGCAGGCAGGAGTCAGTGTGCTTACTGGTGTGATGGGAGTAGGGCTGCCTGCGCTTGGCCTCATTCTGCCGTCTCTTCCATGGTTGTCAGGTGGGGAAGGGAGAGGCGGAGGAATCTTTCCCTGAAGTTGGGGGTGTGCCCTCTCCAGCCAGCTGGACTTTCTTCCTCCTATGTTCAGGGAAAATAAATAACTGCTTGGACTGTTTCATTTTGAATCAAAGAAGAAAGTCTGCATCCTTAACAGAAAAGTTACAAATGGACTTTTGGGAGAAAAGCTTGACAGAAACAATGAAACAGAGAAGAAACCGCTCTGCCTGGAAGGCAGCTATGCTCACCACTATGCCACCAGTGCATCTAGAAACCCCTTGTTTGGGCAAAGCCTTGTTCAGAGTGGATCAGCAAACTCTAATGTGGACATTAGCCTGCTTTGCTAACAGGAACAATTCTCTGGGAAGAGTATATACTAAATTAGGAATTCTTTCTTGAGAACTTTTATTATGCTGTAAGTGTCCATTTCTTTGGAAAATAACCAAGCTCTCCCTGCTCTCCACAACCTCTCCTCTTATTTTCCAGGCCAATTCTGGTTCCTCTTAGCTCACCTTATTCAGTGAAGGAAACTGACAAAAAAGCAATGAGTCTCCTTGCCTTTTTGTGAAACAGCTTGTTTTTGTGTATCTTTACATAGGGAGGCTAAAGTTTCTAAACCAAAAATTGCCGTAAAGGGATATGTCAGAAATGCAGAATAATTGAAAGTGTGCCTTCCTGGAAGTGTATCTTCACAGTCTAATCCCATGCATTTATATGTAAAAGCCTAAATATTCTTTAATGCAAAATGATCTTTTTAAAGTATTGAGCACAGAAGTGACCAGGCTTTCAGGTTTCTCAGCACCTTTATTGTCTCAATTATGTTTTAATAGTCTCCTGGGCCGAAAGAAATAGCTGACAGTTTGGTTTAAGTATTTAGGCCCAAACAACTAATATTTATGTCCTAAAAACTTAGTAGCTGTTCAAAAACAATGATACAAATTTACTGAAAGGAAAAAAATTTTAATTCATTTTTAAGTAACCATGATGATTATTACTAGGTTGTATGCTCATGTTGGTCACTGCACATCTTGTCAAACCTTGGAATCTTAGTGAACACTGCCACCCTCGTTTCCTTTGCCCCTTGATTTTTGCCCAGTATTTGTATTTTGCCCTGGCAGCAGCCAAAACCTAGCTTTGGAAAGACATGATGTTATGGAAAGTAATGCAGTACAATCTCATGTTGGAATGGAATTGCCTCAAGCGAGTGCTTCGCAGGTGTCCCAGCAGGTGTCGCTGCGTTTCCTTTGAATTTTAAAAATGTTAACAGTGCCCTGCGAGTTTGCTGCCATGCCCTGGGGTATCTCTCTCTGTTCAGGGTTTGGGAACCTCAGATTTAGTGTATTCAGAAAGAAATTTTAGTACAAGAGAGTGTGATTTATCCACATAACAAAAATTGGAAAGTCAAGATCAGATGACTAAAAGAGAGAATAGACATTCCTCCCCTATCCGTAGGTTTGAGTATTTCAAGAAATTTCACTAAATAGAAACAGTAAAGGGCAATTTAGTTTTGATTGGATTTCTTTAAACATAGTTGTCAAACTGTCTGACTATTAATTGATGACAGATTGTCATTCTCAATCTGCATCTTGAATGTGAGCTCAGATAGACCAATTAAGAGAAGAGCATTCAAGCAGCAAATGAGGCTTTGATCGCATGAGATGAAGTCAAGGCTGAATTGTTCCAGAGCCAGCCAAATAAATGGCCTTGGACACACACTTGCCGAGGGATGAAACCTTCTGTGCTACCTCCCAGCCTCCAGCCCAGCCTGGAAGAATACTATTCCACTTGCCCAAGTAACCTATTAACATTTAATAGAGGATTATTTTCTCTGTTTTTTTTACATGACATTTAGCTTCAAGATGGAGAAATTATGTGTGAAATAGCAAAGATTAACAGATGGTGGAGCTGAGATGTGCTCCCCTCTCATTGCTCCGTCTCTCTCCCCACCTGTTTTCCCTCTCCATTCACGATGTGCCTCCTTCTTTTCTTCCTCTACCTCTTCTTGAGCAGGTTTCTCTTCTCCCTCTTTTATCTCCTCCCCATGTCCTTACTTTTCCTTGTGTACTTGCCCTGACACACACATGCATACCATCCCAACCACTCACACACACTTTGAAAGGCAGATACAGTTTTGCTCTTAATCTATCTTTTTAAACCTCTCTGGTGATTGGGATTCAGGTCCTCAAGGCCAGATCTCTGGAGGGATCTCCTGTGCCTTTCATTTTGAAAGAAAGATGAAGAAAGTTCTGACAAAATCCAGTTTTAGAAGCTGAAAAAGTCTCAACCTCAAGTCAAAGGATCAAAAGATTGTCCAAGATGTCACAAGAAGATAAGTATTAAAGCTGCTCAGGCCAAAGTGCAGAAACTTGTTAAATGGGTTCTGTGGAATTTTTCCAGATTCCTGCAGGACCCTGTCAACTGAGCTCAAGGTACCTTTGAATTGAGTCACTTAACTCTCCTTCTAAACGTCTTCGTGATTGTACCATGACCTCTTCACAGTGATGTGTTCTTTGTGAAATTTATGGGCTGTCTTGTTTTTTTGATGAGAAGCCTGTCCTAATAATTGGTAAGCTTGCGTCCAAGGCAGTGCTTTTGCTTTGCGGAGCCACCCACCATGCATGCCTCGCTCTCTTCTGCCTTCCTGAGAGCATCATGCCCTTCACTTCTCTAACTTTCCTTTGCAGTTGACTGAAACCTCCTCCCGTTATGCCAGGAAGATCTCCGGCACCACTGCCCTCCAGGAGGCCCTGAAGGAGAAGCAGCAGCACATTGAGCAGCTGCTGGCTGAGCGGGACCTAGAGAGGGCGGAGGTGGCCAAGGCCACGAGCCACGTGGGGGAGATAGAGCAGGAGCTAGCTCTGGCCCGAGACGGACACGACCAGGTGAAGTCTGGCACTGACCTAGTTGCGGAGTTGGTGACGGGTTCTAAGCTGATCTTGTGAGATGGTACTGGTTTCTGTGTTGAGGGAGGTGGCTGAATAGTGTACCTGATGCTTGGAGCTGGGGAGCTAGTCTTGGGAGCACTGGAAATGAGTATCAGTGTCTTTGCTGGGTGTGTTTGAAAGCTGTGACCTGGGGTACCAGTTTACATCATAAAGGTGAAGTTTTGTTCTTCTTGAGTCTACCTTAGTCTTTAGGCCTTTATGTCTAGGTCTTGAGTTCTGCCTGTGTCAGGTGAGCTTGTTTACTAGGACTTTACCAGTGATTATATCTCTGTTTTGTAGATTATCTTTTGTGTGAGTTTCAGTTTCAGAAAAGATGAGAAGTGTTTTGACATTGCGCTTATTGCTTAATGGTGTGGTTTTCCTCTAGCTTCCAGGAATGCTGCTGAAAATAACCTATTAAAGATCATAGCATTTTAATCTGGAGAGGTTATAAAATAATGCCAACCCACATTGGTACCACTTAGCTGTAGCTCTTTGGAGGCATCCATGGGCCTGTATCAGGGTCAGAAAGAGGCCACTCACTGACATCTTGCCTTCCACAGCATGTCCTGGAATTGGAGGCCAAGATGGACCAGCTGCGGACAATGGTGGAAGCTGCTGACAGGGAGAAGGTGGAGCTTCTCAACCAACTGGAAGAGGAGAAAAGGTGACCCCAAACTATTCCCCATGCAAGTGTGGCCTTTCCCTTTTAAATGATCATGGGAAAAACTTCCCCATTGACATCCTTTCTGGTGTCAACTCTTAGAACCAAAGGGATGACTCTGTGCTCAGTGGAAATCAGACTTCATACTGTGTGAGGAGGGTTTGCTCTGATTTGACTTTTTTATTTTTTTGAGAAGTTGGAATCATCTAGAGATGGCCTGACTTAACAACTATTTATTAAGCAACTCCTGTGTGCCCAACCTTCTCTTGAGAATAGCCTTAAGTTAGTGTCGTGGGATTAATTCAAACCCAGCTTCCACTGGAGGTGGTTCTGGGGAGAGGCTGTTCTAGGTTCAGGTTACCTAGTAAGTAGGAAACACCTTCCATGTATCATAAAATTGTGTTGTACCTGGTGGGTGATAGAAGGTCCCTGTCTTTAAGTTACTTATTCATTAAGAAAACAAAGCTCAGGTGAAACAATTATCCAGGATGGGAAGAAATCTAGTACTAAATTACGTGAGATAGAACGCCAAGTTTGGTTCTTTAAAAAGGGGGTTTCTTGAGGCTATTGCAAAGCAATATCTCTGAAAACAATGTCGGCATGGAAACCATTTGAACATTTCCAGTATGTTGTCTTCTGCTTCATTTAATGCCATCTTCTGTCATTTCTTATAGCAGCAACTTAATTCAGTAGTTATCTGGTATAACTGTTCAGGATGGTTGTAAGCGCTGCTGTGGTTAGGTGATACAGTGGAGGGATAATGCAGTCTCTTATCAAGGAAATTACTTCCTCACTGGAGAGATAAACACTATACATAGGAAATTCTCCTTGAACCCTAAAAAATGGCTAAAAGTCATTCACACCCTTCTAGGCCCTTCTGTATGCCAAGGCATGAATTCCATTTGCTTTGGTTCCTAAACAGGCTCTTGCTCTGCTGACAGCTGGGCAGTAGAAATGTCCTGCTGCTCTCCACTAAGCTTGAGGGCTTTAACCTACAATTATATTTCTGATTTAACTGAATAGAACTTTTTATTCTTCATTTTGTTAGAAATGCTAGTGAGTTTGACAGTCTTTCAGTTTTTGCATATAGATTTTAAGAACTTTGTCCCCGTTTTCTTCCCTGTCTTACATCCAACTTTGTAAAGATTCATAGTATGGATGTTACCTGGATTTTATAAATCTTCAGAATATCATATTTCATGGGCTTGGTGATGGCATTGATTGAAAGCCACACCCAATAGCAAAGGATTTAAAATGTGAAAACATGCATTAGCAGCAAAGAAATAGGGTCCTTGATTGTTTCTCCCCCAAATCATTCACAACTTTATTCTCCCAGTCCTGAAACAGGTACTGGTGGTGTCCTGGGGCTTCCTGCCTGAGTAGCCTGCTGATCTAACCTGAAAATAGTTTGATATGGGATGGTATAAAGAGAGGTTTGTTTTCTGTGCCACTTTCCTCTATGTTCTGTTATTGGAAAGTAGAAAGTAGAAACAGACTTGAAATCTCAGACTTATATCTGTGGTAATAAAACCTTTTCCCTTTAGGCTGATCTTGTCTTGATTAGACCCATTCTGGTAGTTATGACCAAAGGAACCAGTTGATTTTTCTTGACTATTACCTCATGCCTTCTGGAATCAATACCTGGCTAAAACTTTGGAGTTTCCAAAGTAAAGTAGTGCTCTTAGATTTTAAACTGGAGACCAAAAGACATATTTCTTTATTTTCTATGTGGCATTGCTTCCCACCAGCATCTGCTAATTCCACCAGGGTACTGATCATACGTGTGTGTGTGTGTATGTGTGTTTGTATGTGTGTTTGTATGTGTTTTGGTAAGGCAGATGTATTCCTTAGTTATTTAAGTGCTTTGTTTTGGTTTTGTTCCACAGGAAGGTTGAGGACCTGCAGTTCCGGGTTGAGGAAGAATCAATCACTAAAGGCGATCTTGAGGTAACAAACCCCTCCAGCTCTAAAGCCTTTTTGGGTACCAGAAATGCGGGTGAGATCATTACACAGCTGATGCGTGTGGCAGCAGAGGGAACAGCAAGACCTCAGCTCTGGCTGCGCGGGGCTGTGGGCTTATAGCTGAGGTGCCTGTGGTGTCCTGACTTGGGTGGCCAAATTTTCACTACTCTTTTCTTGGCTTCAAAATCCAAGACCTTGAATTTGACTTAATCAAGTCATAAATCTGGCAGTGTGTCCTCAGTGAGACTATATGTTCCTCTGATGAGCAGAAATAGCGTTTTAAAGAGCATGCTTTATTTCATCATAACAGTCCAAAAGAAAGTTTTTTGCTTTTGCTTTGCTTTTCCGTTGAGATAGATAAACCCTTCTTATCTTTATAGAAGGAATAAATGTTATTTTTTAATAGTTGATTTTTAAAAAATTTCTTGAACCACTGCTAGATAGATGACAAATGTAAATTATTAAATTTTTTCAAATTTTGCAGATTTTTGGCACCTTAATCTGTAATATGAGTAAAAATTGCACTTGTCTATGCAGTTCTATGAATATACATTTTTTTGCTACCATTGCAATTTTAGAGTCTGTTGGCCGCCTACACCATGCTTAAATGTCCTTCCAAATTGGAACTCTCATTTCTTTGGAAATAAATGTATCTTTACAGGCAACAGAATAAAAAAAGCATTTTTTGGCTGAATTCCAGTTTTTGTAAAGCCCAGAATTTAATGGATTATTAGCAATTTAATAGATATCTTCTTCACTCATCTCATATATAGTCACATTCCTTTAGTTGATGTTTGTGTTGTTCTCATCCATTTAAAAACACCCCAAAGTCTCAGAAGTTTCATATCATCATCTAATTCATACGAAATACAGCCTAGGCTGTTTGGGGAGGGGCAAGTTAAAATATCTACATCAGCAGTTGGCTAGTCTAGCCTATCTGGTTCACCTACTTGAAATTAATCAGAGTTACTTTGAAACCCTATCACATACTGGAATTTTAGTTGAATCTCTCTTTTGTTGTTTAATTTTTTTATTTTTTTACCGATAGCAAAAGAGCCAGATTTCTGAAGATCCCGAGAATGTAAGAGGGCACTTAACTGTGTGGATATTTCCCCTGTTAACAGATTGATTACAGATTAAAATGCTTATTGATATACTCAAATACTAACTACATAATCTGACCTTGAGACTTTGACCTTAATATTTCTGTGCATGTGACTTTCAAAGCAGTTACATTTATATCCTGAAGAAATTGTATATAATGACTAAGCTCTATAGATCCATATGTTTAATGTATAGGCAAATGTTTGCTCTACAAAGAATTTGCCAAAAAGAAGAAAAAATTTTTGTCTGGGTGCCTGGCCTTCTTCACTTAATTCAGTGTCTTCTAATTTTAATATAATTATTACAAGAGAGAGTATAGCTGACTGAAGCATAAGACATATTAGGTGAAGGAATTTAAGAAATTTGGGGTAAAGTATCCCATGAGTTGTCTTAATTTTATTCTCATAAGAGTAAAAGGCAAGTGTTGAGTCCCGACTAATTGCCTTTTGTGTGAGCTCCCTCTTCTGGCCAATGCTTGCCAGTGCAGCTAGTGAGAAAGTCAAACAACTTGTTGAGGCTGATTTTCCCTAGTTTCTGAAACTAGAGGTGAGCATTCTTCAGTGAGGACACTGTGTGTTTTAAATTTATTATTACCAAAGTGAGATTTTTTTCTAGTAGCAGTGCTACTAGACATGCAGATGTTTTTTCCTTCCACTCTCTGATTAAGATCAAACACCCGATTCCAGTCTTACCTAAATGGCCTCAAAAGCACCCTGCTGTGATGCCAGTTGAAAGAACCCAAAAGCTTTTTACTTTGATTTACCACCACCAGAGAACAAAAATAAAAAAATTTTTCCTTTTACCACCTCCTGACAGCTGAAATAGACAGCTCAAGACTGAACTTTTAAGAAAGTCTCCGTTCTGAAGGTTTCCTTTTTGTGCAGCTACTTCAGTGATCTGGGTCTCTTCTCTCCTTCCGAAACAGGCTCCTGCTGCATCCGTGTCAGTCTGCATGGGATCTCCCTCCTGCCTTTCTTGTGCGCTTCTCGCAGAGCCTTTGCTTTCGTCCCTGTCCCAGGACTTTCCTCTTGGGATACTCTGTCTTACTTACGAAAGGAATACTTCTAAAAGGAGTATTGTCCTGTTCAGTGGAACAGTTTTTACTGCATACCATGGCATAGAAACAGATCTCTAGGTACCTTGCTCATAAGTGATCAAATACAGCTGTAGAGCCCAGATCATCTGTATGAATACTTGCCAGTAGGGAGGTCAGCTGCAGTCATCTGGAACATCTTGGAATGGGGAGGTCACATACAATAGATATTTGCTTTTCTTCTGGAAGTGGTGACCTTTCATCCAGAGGTACTGAACTCAGTGTCAAGAGGTGAAAAAAGGCTACTCTTTGCTTATTACTGTTAGTTTTGGATTTCAGTTCTTGAGGCTGTGACCCCAATCATATAGATCTGGATTAGATTCTTTTCCTGTGAAAGCAGGTAAATTGAACAACTTAACGTTTTTAAGGCACATATTGACCAAGGGGACTCTCCAGACAATTAGGTTTTGAGTTTTACTTCATTATTTTTGTTGAGTGTAAAGAGCTGAAGCACTTGATGAATTTAAAAAAAGTTTTTTGTTCACCTTTTAAAAATTCCATGATACTTTATTTATAGTGGTTCACAAGCAAAGTGACCTCTTGAAGGCACTGAAATCCCCCAGAGTGCCACTGGGGTTAGCAAAGATGTTTATAATGTAAAGCCTGCGACCTAAGCTCTGTACTACTTTGTTACTTTATATAGAGTTGTCATTTTTCTCATTGCCTGTAATTGTTCAGACTAATATATTTGATCATTTAGAACCACAAAATATTTAAGTTAATACAAGTAACTAGAAGTTGCTGGGAGCAGTTTTATCAGTTGATTATTCTGATAGCCTCTTGAATAGGAGAGGGGAGTGGGCAAATAGGTTCATTCAGACTGATATCTAGGTTATTTCAAATTAATTTAAGATTCTGTTTTAAAGAGATCACCTTCTGGGGTCCTCCATCAGAAGAACCTAAGTAAGTGATGACGGGGATCTTACCAGCAATTTGTGCATGGAGTTCAAACTCATGCCTTTGTGTTGAGTCACCATTTCTCCCCTCTAAACTGATAAGAACTGCTTCATTTTAAGATCAAGATAATTAGCCAGCCCCTTACGAGTTCTAGCTAAACAGTTCTCCTGCTGAGTCTTAGAGACAGAGGCTGCCCAGCATGATTACTGAATTTTCTCTTTGTGATTCTGATTCCCTTTTCTTTCTTTTTTTCTGGTGACAAAAAGGCTCTGAAAAATCCATTGTTGGAAGGAAATTAGAGCTTTAGTGGCTCCTCCCCTGTCACATGTGAGAACTGTGCTAAGAATCCCAGATCCTTCTCACCCATCTCCACAAAGGCCCCTGCTGTAGTTGCCTTGGGTTCCCCTCATTAGGTCTAAGACCTGACCCTGTGCACATGAAATTGTATGCCAAAGGCAGGGATCTTCTCCAGGGACTCACTGAACACTTATAAGGTTTATGACGTTACCTTTTCCATATTTTGCTGATAGTGATGTTTATTTTGAGGGTCTATCTACTTTTTCAAGTCACCAAGTCAGTTACATACACATTAATGTCAAATAGCTGTTGTAGGGAGGAGGGAAAATGATAGTTTAGAGGATATTAACTATTCTAATTTATGCTGATAAATGTCACTTATCAATATAACTGATGTTTGGCTGCATGCATCTGACACTCAATCTTGCCTCATGTGTTTTCATTTTTCTTTCTCAGTAGATAGCTCATGTCCCCTGCCCACCTCATCCTTCTTTCCATAGTGCTCATCCTCACCCCCAGCCACCTCATCCCGGACCATCCTCTTCCCTTATCCATAGGCCCTTTTTGTTCATCCTTCGGCGGAAGGTACTGGTGGCTCAGCCTGCATGCCGCTCTCTCTCCTCTTGTGCTGGCATGTCACGGTGGCACTGTTGTGTTCTCTTCCTCTTCCTTTTTACTAACAGACGCAGACCAAACTGGAGCATGCCCGCATTAAGGAGCTTGAACAGAGCCTGCTCTTTGAAAAGACCAAAGCTGACAAACTCCAGAGGGAGTTAGAAGACACTAGGGTAATGGTTTTCACTATTTAATGAAGCAGACCCATGTATGTGAATGGTGGACGCCTAATGTGACGTGCCTTGCATTTGGCCTAAGCCTTGACCCAGTGGTTCAACCTGAGTTTGGTCTTGGTACTGTTCAGGTGTTCATGAGCTTAGACTGATGGGTAGGCACAGGTGTTTATATCAAATCTTTTGTCAAAGGTAAAGACCTATTCCACTAGTTAACTCAACCCAAGTCGAGATCAAAAACTCTACAACTGCATTGACTGTGTGGACATCCACACTGCATTTGAGGCTCTTGGTATGCATACCCCTAAATACATTGCTCCAGTTGGCCACAAGCAGTCAATTGTCCTCTTGTTCTCAAATCCTAATTACTGGATTCTTTGAATAATTTTTGTTATTGTTGTTTTACTTGAGCTTTCTTCTCCTGCCTTCTGCCCTGGCCTCCTGGGGGCGGGAAGTGAAACACTGACTCTTTTGAATGAGGACTTTCAGCCTGGTTACCTTTTCCTCTAAAGCCTGATCTCTCTTTGCATTCCCTCCCTGTCACTAGTAGGCTAAACTCTCAGCAGCCTGGAGGGAGAAGTGTGTTGGGGACAGAATGGCTTCTTATGGCCCCCAGATCCCTGTTTGGCCCTCGGAGCCAGTTGCATTAGTCATATTTTTGATTACTTACATATGAAAGCACCTACATATGCTTCTTTGGTGCCAGGCATTATTCTGAGCATTTTACATGTATTAACAAAGACCAGGGAGGGAGCTGGTAGTATGGTCCCCATTTTACAGGTGAGGAACACCAAGGCACAGAGAGATTAAATAATTTGCCCAAGGTCACACAGCTAATAGTAATAGTGGAGCTAGGGTTTGTATCTAAGTCATTTGGCCCCAGAGTCTGTGCTTTTGACCACCACAGCATGGAGTCTGCTTATCATGGAAGTAGTTTTGTGTTGAAAGCTTAAAGAAATAATGAGTCATTAATGTATCAGAAAACATGCTATGTGTGTATATATATATATATATATACCTTTTAAATCATGCATTTCATTGTCAATGGCTAAGTTGCACAGATCTTTAAATTTTCAAAAATTACTCTGATCAGTTTGGTATCCTGATTTTTTTCTTTTGAATTACTAGTATTTTTAGAAATTTCTCTTATTGAGAAATCATTGATCTAAAAATTTATATAATCAAGTATTTCTGTTCTCTAAATCTTAAGTTTTTATTTTTTAAGAAGAAATAAAATGTTTTAGTTAGCCTCAGAACTAAAGATCTCTCCTGTATATTTGGTAAGAAAAGAAATCCTTGTAGTTTGGTGCAGTTGCTTCGTTACTTGACAGTCAAAGACTTGATCTGGGAAATACAAGGGACTAATAGTAAGATTGAGCTCTTTTGTGTGACCAGCTGTTGAAATAGGAATTTTTTTTTTAACTTCTGAGCTCCTCTCCCATGTAGCTTTATTAGCAAACAACTTTAATATTTTTTTCCTCGTGTGTTAAAAGACATCCATTCACAACATGGTTTCAGAATTTCAGATTCAAGCTGTTATCTTTCTATAAGGAAAGGCTCAACTCACTCTTGGATTGCTTGATGTGAAACCACCTGTGACCCATCTACGTTTCATATCACCTACTTTCCTTTTTGGGAAGCACTTTACAATTCTTCTAAACCACTAAGTCCAGTTTATAAACACTGTGCTTGGTGCTGTAGAGATACTAGCAAATAGTGAGAAATGATACCTGACTTTTATGGCCTCAAACTCATGGGAGAGTCAGACACAGATAGTTTTGCCCAAGGGCAGACTTTGGACATTAAATAAGAAGTGGGAGTGCTGTGAAAACCCTAGATGAAGTATAATCACACTCTTTATTATTTTCACTTATTTTTTACTTGACATTTCTTCAATTTGACTGTTTTGTTGTGACTAATTAAGAGGTATTCCTTGTTTGATTTAATTTGTATTATAGACCTTATAGCAGTGGGGTTTATTAATGTTTTGTACCTTTATGGTAATAAATTCTTGGACTCCCCCCAACCCCAGAAAAAAGTACGTAATGAATTAACATCTTTAACCTAAAACACAACAATTACAGTCAGCTCTGAAATCCTTAATGACTTGATTACACAGTTTTGAAGACCCAAGTGTTTTCTTTTCCTATTCTTTTGTGGACATTTTAGTCCTTATCTGTATTATATGGGCAGAGCAAATGAAGGAAACATACACATCCATTATTTTCTATCCCAAAAAAGGCAGTAAGGGAGAGGAGTCTTCAATCTGGAAGAGTTTTATCCTTGAAATTTGGGACTACCTGGTATTTTTAAACCATTCATGTTCCCTTCTATTTCCCAGGTTAGTAAAAAATAATTTTTGTGTCTGAGGCTGCATTTCTCACATACTTTGTGTACTAAACTGACTGCCTGACAGCAGAGGGAAATAATTTCCTAAGAATAAAAGGACACAGGTTAAGGACGTATTTTTCCTAGTCCTGGGGTGTTTGTTTAAAAAAAAAGCAAATTCTTGAGTACTCTCCCAGAGCTGAAATAGAATCAAAATATGTGGGTAACAGCATTTTAGACACACATCCCAGGTAATTCATATGTACAATAAAGTCTGAGAACCACTGGGTTAGGGAACAAGATGTGTACATCAAAATGCTGACAGAAAAAAGGGGGTTCTATAGGTTTCTTACATATTTTTTCAGGTAAGTATTCCATCTTTTTTTTTGAAAGGTTAGCAAATTAATTCTTCATTATCCATTTGAAGCTTTTATTCTGTAGTTGATGTGGTATTCATTGAAACATTTGATAGGTGACTTTATACCTTTATACCAGTGCTATCCAATATTATAGAAGTCTAATAAAGCCATATATATAATTGAAATTTCTCTGGCACTCACATTAACATACTTTTTAAATAGATACAAATAAAAATATGAAATTAATCATATATTATTTAAACCTGCATATCCAAAATATTATCACTTCATCATGTAATCAATATAAAAATTGTTAAGGTTTTTTTTTTTCCTGAAGTCTTCAAAATCTAATGTATTTTATACTTACAGCACTTGTCACTTCAAATGAATCACATTTCAGGTACTCAGTAGCCATTTGGGGCTGTCAGCACTATATTGGACAGCACTGTTCTTCAAAAATCATCTCCATCAGATAGATGAGCATGTATATATCCTGGTGAAGCAGAGTAGGAAAAAAAAAGCAAAATGAGGATTCTTTTTTTTCAGCAGGCAGATATATCTGAGAACTTTGAAAGTTACTGTTTCTAACTTATCAGTTACAGGAACTTCCCTCACTCAAGGTTCTTTAGCAGAAACAGAAATACCAATTTTAGTTTCTTCTGGCATCTCAGAAATGGTGGAAGTTTGCCAAAGGTCATGATTTTGAATTGGAGCTCTCAGAATTGGGCTTAAGCCACTGTGGCAGTTAGAGATGATGCGCATCTTGAAGTTACTAAAGAACTTCAAGGCTAAAGAAAGTGTCAGTGATTTGTTATTTAAATGATCTCTTTTTCTTTGGACTGCTGTTAATAGGTGGCTACAGTGTCAGAAAAATCCCATATAATGGAACTAGAGAAAGATCTAGCATTGAGAGTACAGGAAGTAGCTGAGCTGAGAAGAAGGCTAGAGACCAGTAAGCCTGCGGGGGATGTCGATATGTCACTCTCCCTTTTGCAAGAGATAAGCTCTTTGCAAGAAAAGTTAGAAGCCACCCATGCTGACCACCAGAGGGAAATAACTTCTCTGAAGGAGCATTTTGGAGCCCGGGAAGAAACACAACTGAAGGAGATAAAGGCTCTTCAGGCTGCCACAGAGAAGCTTTCCAAAGAGAATGAGTCATTGAAAAGCAAGCTTGACCATGCCAACAAGGAGAATTCAGATGTAATAGTCCTGTGGAAGTCCAAGCTGGAGACCGCCATCGCGTCCCACCAGCAGGCGATGGAGGAGCTGAAGGTGTCCTTCAGCAAGGGGATTGGAATGGAGACAGCAGAATTTGCCGAGCTAAAAACACAAACAGAGAAAATGAGACTAGATTACCAGCATGAAATAGAAAAATTGCAGAACAAACAAGACTCCGAACGGTCTGCTCACTCAAAAGAGATAGAAGCCCTAAGGGCTAAACTTATGAAAATCATTAAGGAGAAAGAGAATAGTCTGGAAGCCCTCAAAGCGAAACTGGACAGAGCAGAAGACCAGCACCTAGTAGAAATGGAAGACACCTTAAACAAATTACAGGAAGCCGAAATAAAGGTAAAAGAGCTAGAGGTACTACAAGCCCAGTGCAATGAACAAACCAAGGTTATTGGTAATTTTACAGCACAGCTCAAGGCTACTGAAGAAAAGCTCTTGGATCTTGATGCACTTCAGAAAGCCAGTTCTGAAGGTAAATCGGAAATTGAGAAACTTAGACAGCAGCTTGAGGCAGCTGAGAAACAGATTAAAGGTTTAGAGATTGAAAAGAACACTGAAAGTGGCAAGGTTTGTATTGACATCCTCCACCCTTTTGCTTTCCATTTGTCACTCCTGTGTTGCATTGTACGTTATTTTTGAGTTGAGGCAGTTCGTCCTCCAAATTCCTGATGTTCCTAAATGAGATAACTTGGTGCTAACAGATTTCCAGTTGAGTGTAGTATCTTCTGAGTATCTTGAGTATGGTTTCATGTGAGGAGATTAGAGAAAATAATGGCTAAACTATGTGAGTTTAGTTTGGCTTCCTGTTGTCCAGATCGTTTATTATTGCTGGGGCTGTGCTATGGTGATCTCCTGTTTAAGCATGGTTCCTGTCTATAGTCTCTTTTTAAAATGGAGGACTCCCTAGGATGATGGTGTTTAGGTAAATGAATGAATAAAATAGAAAGTTAGATAATCTCCTTTCCCACCTTGTCCATAAGGTTATTTGTAAAAACAGAACATGAACTCTGAATGCCACTTGATTGTTGTAAACAAGCATACTGTGATTGGTTAACAGTCACAGCAAAATTAAGGTTAAGAGCCTGCAGCCTTTTGCATTGCCCTTCCATCTCCTTGGAGGCTTTCCTACGTTACTATGAGAATATGTTTGAATCCCTGCTTTTTTGAGCAACAATTGGACAAGTATGCTTCTGATCGAGGCATAGGAAATTATATGAAACACTTACAGCTGTGTTTCTTACTAACTAGCCTTGTTAAGTGTCATCTTCCTGCTGTAAGGTTTGTTTGAGGAGTGGGTATGCTTTCCCAGTCGTCCTGCCATTGAGGCGCTGGTGCTGATGCTCAGTGTTCTTTGCTGCTCTTTTTGGCAAAGAAGGAAGGAGTGTGATGGTTAAATGGGGAGAGGTGAGGACAAACAAACAGCAAACATTGCTAAGTAACCACAGTTGAAGATGACAGACTGATTATAGGAAATTTTTCTCAAATCTCCTCACTTGGTTCCTAAATACCAATTGAAACCCAAAAATAAATTGGTAGATAATATGTAGTCATTGGTCCATTTTTTTACATCAAGATTTAATGAAATCGAATTTCTGATGACTCTTTCCTTGTGCATTTTTAAAGCTTTTATTTTAAATATTGAAATATTTTAAGCATTTACAAAAATACAGAAAGTTATGATAACACTGACCACATTTATCCACCACTCCCATCTTAAGGTTTTTAAAGTCCAGAAAATAAAATTATCCAACTACCTTATTAAGAAAGTAAGCACCGGCACTTTCTGCTTCAGGTCATGCAGCCTTGTATTGCCCACAGGTGTGCAGTGAGCAAGTCAGCCAGGGCCAGGTGAGAATCCTGGCCACGGAACTCTCATTTTATCCACAGTCATGCTGATATTCCAAACTTAGGGATAGAAAAATACTCTACTTGGACTATTTTAAAATAACCATTAGACAATCATATCTATAACTGATTTTGTGAAAAGTCATTGGCTTCTTAGAGTTAAAAAACAAAACAAAACAGGACAACTTTTTACCCATGCCTTTCTTTCTTTCAGTTGTGTTTGGTTATGTTTGTTTTTCATAAGTGTTTTATATTTTATTTTTTTCTTCCTCATTCTTTTTTGTTTCCTATTGTTCATTTGCTTCATAACTCCATGTTGTAGGCTAGTAGCATTACCAAAGAGCTGCAGGGCAAAGAGCTGTCACTTAAAAACCTCCAGAAAAACTTAAGTGAGATCAGTCAAGTGAAGGAGGCTTTGGAAAAAGAACTTCAGATTTTGGTAAGTACCTGTCGGGAATCTGAATCTCAGGGTTTCTGGCCATTGACTTGTTCCTGTTTAAAAACAAAAATCTCCATAAAGAGAAAAGTATTGCATCTGTTTCCTTTCTCTTTAAAAGTATTGATTTAAGTTGAGTATATTAGTCATTGGCTGATAAATACCTTGAAGGGACTCACATCAGACCAAACTAGCAGTAAAGGTAGGTACTACTTTAAAATATATATATACGTATCCTTTGCCTCTGGGAATGCATTATTTTGGCATGGTATTGGTTACTTAGCTTTACTGAGCACAGGGATCTTCCAGATTATACACTGGACACACTAAGTTTCATATCTAATGAGGTCTTGCCCTTTGCCTTTCCTACTTGCCTCGTGACAGCAAGCGAGCAAGCCATTGGAGCACACTGTTACTGCGGCAAGGGTGGTGTCTAATTCAATAAATTTAAAGAGTTCTCTTGTACAACGCAGTTTATTCCACCTTAGGAAATTTTTTCCCTTCCTATATATTGTCTTCCCTTAATCCCAAGTTGCTAAGACACCTTTTCTTACCTTTTCTCAACTGTCCTCCTACCTTTTCTCCTGCATCAAGAACTTGAACTTACCCAAGGCTTATAACCAGGAAGAGTGCCAGAGATACCCACACATACAGGTTTTAAGTATAAGTCAGTTTTAGTGAAACAAAACCAGCAACAAAAAGCAGGTAGTTTTGTAGTTGTAACTGATTATTTTTGTAACTAATGCTCTTTATATAAAATTTTTATTTTTATAATTTGAAATCTTCCTATTCTGAATATCCAATTCTTTTTCTTTAGAAAGAAAAGTTTGCTGATGCTTCAGAGGAGGCAGTTTCTGTTCAGAGAAGTATGCAAGGTATGTCTTATATGAGCAGATCACTTTAGAGAATGTTGTGTTCTCCGACTGGAGCTGGCCTCTAGGAAGAAAATAGATGCTTCCTGTGGTCTAATTTCACTGCTTGGGAAGTGCCTGCAGTACCCACTAATCCTGGGTTCTGTTGGCTTCCTGAAGCCTCAAATTCCCATTAATTCTTCTTTTGACTTAAAACTTGTTCCATATTAAAATCTAAGTATACGTGGGAAAAGTATTATCTTACTTTTAAGCTTTAGTCATTGATGGCTTTATTGAGTTTTAAATGGAAAGAGAAGAGAGATGGCTAGGAGGAATGCCTGGTGCCTCCCTAAATCTGTGGACTTGGGGAGTCGGATGAGAAATGCATGCTTACTACTTGAGATTCACTAGGTAGCAGTTTGGTTTGTCATGGGACTTTTAGTATTCTGTGATCTCAACTCTCAAGTGCATGATTTGATTTGGTTGTAAGACAGCCAAGCCCTAGATGGCTCATTAAATGTGAAATATATTAAACCTTTAACTTTATCCTGAATAGAAACTGTAAATAAATTACACCAAAAAGAGGAACAGTTTAACGTGCTGTCTTCTGAACTGGAGAAGTTGAGAGAAAACTTAACAGGTAAGATGTCTCTGGTTACCAGACATTATAGTAGGCTTCCCAGGATTTGAGATAACTGTAGGATGTTACAGTAACCTACCATTCAGGTGTTACTTTTTCACTCATTATTGTGATAAAATGCTTGTTAAAGGTCTGTAATTCAGCAAGTCCTCTCTGCCCTGTTTTCAAACAAGTCAGTATCCACCATGTCTCACTACTCCCGCTGCTTCTCTTGATCCAAGCCAGCCATCACCTCTCCTCTTTGCTGCTGTAACAGCTGGCCACCTGGTCTGCCTCCTGCCCTTCCCCATCTTAGTCTGTTCTCAAGAGCAGCTGGAGCAATACTTTAAAGTTAGAACATACCATTTCTCTGCTTAAGATGACCCAGTGGCTCCTGTCTTCCTCAGATCTCCCAGTGGTTCTTACCACCACCAGGCCCCATTCTCTCTGGTTTCACTTGTACTGCTCTTCTCCTTGCTCATTCCACTCCAACCAGATTTGGCTTCCTTAGTGATACTTGCATGTCAAGCATGTTCCTGCCTCAGGGCCTTTGCACTCGCTTTCCCCTCTGCTTGCATTCCTCTTGCCTCACTTCCCAGGTCTTTACTTAAATGTCACCATCTCAGGCATATCACTAACTCCTTTCTTTGCTTGTTTTTTTTTCCTCTTAGCACTTACCATTATCAGTTATACTACTTGTTTTCCTTCTTTATCTGTTTATTGTCTGTCCTCTTTGCTAGAATATAATTTTCATGGAGGCAGGAATTGCTGTATGCAGAAATTCCCAGAGCAAGACTTGGCATATAGGATGTAGTCAATAAATTTTTTGTTGGGTGATAATACAACAGTGCTATTTTTTCCCTTTATATTCAGATATGGAGGCAAAATTCAGAGAGAGAGATGAAAGAGAAGAGCAGTTGATAAAGGCAAAGGAAAAATTGGAAAATGACATTGCAGAAATAATGAAAATGTCAGGAGATAACTCTTTTCAGCTGACAAAAATGAATGATGAATTACGTCTGAAAGAAAGGTGTGTATGATTGCTAACAAGAGTGCCTGCTTACGTTAGGCTCCAAAGCCAGGTCTAGATGGGAGGGAAGCCCAAATCATCAGGGGTGTTATGTTCTAAAGTTCTCTGTCTCTCTTCCTTTTCTGTATAACTTGTGTATCCTTGAATCAACTATTGAACCTTGAAGAAATACAATATTGTAGATTTCCAGGTGACTTGTAAAGAAAAGTGAGTAGTTTACCAATGGCAATAACATCTTGTGTGGGCTGTTAAAAATATTTTTAACTTATTCAGTATAATGATAGGTAACATTTATTAAGGGCTTACTATATGCCATGCACTATGCTAACAGCTTTATATAGAATATATTTTCTATTTCTCATAATAATCCCATGAGGTGAATGTATTATTGTTCCCATTTTAAAGAAAAAGAAATTGAGGCTTAATAAGGCTAAGTAACTTGCCTGAGGTTTCAAATGTAGGTGGTCTGGTCCCAGAACCCTTGCTCCTCTTAGTCACTACACTGCACTTCCACAGTGCTGACGTTTCTTTTATCTTAATCTCTATTCTTGTCTTCATTCTGAGGTTCTTGTTGCTTTGATTTTTTTTCTTTTAGTAGCTGCCATATAAAAATTAAATGTTTTATAAGGCAAACTTTTACAGGACATTTTAGGACCTCTGGTTCTGAAAGTGTGCATACTTGGTAAAGTTATGCTTATGTCCAGCCATGCATCCATGTGCAATTCAGTGTTGGTGGGTGATTGGTGACAGGGCCTCGATGGCCAGTTTTGTCAAATTTGGTGTGAGGGTGGTACAGCTGCCCTGGTCGCTGTGGCACAGTGCCTTTGAGAAGTTCCTTTTCTGTAGGTGTTTCAGAGGTGTAAAATCCAGAGGTATAACCCAAGTTTCCCAGATCCATTCTCTAACTCATCTGAGCCTGTTCTCTAGGTTAATGTCACATGTTTTCTGTATGTCTTTGTTTGACCAAATGGTTATCTTTAAGCAAGAACCTCAAGTTATTTATTGTCATTTTTATATCTTCTTTTCTCAAGTGGCACTAGAACAAGTTTTTGATAATCTAGTCTGCAAAATTTTTGAAATTTTCTAAATACTCATTTCCTCTAATATGTTTACTTTCATTCATTTTTCCTTATTGACCTATTGACATAAAATAGCCTTCACAATTATAGTAGTCTAAGTAATATATTCATCACAACTATTAAAATTACTCTTTGGGGCAAGTTATATTACTGGTTTTTGTGTTGCTTATTTCAGATGTTATTAGGCATTCATAACAGTGATAATAACACAATTATTATTAGTATCATTTTAAGTATAGCACTAGATTTAAAGCATTCTTTTAAAAACTCTGACACCTTGTATTTAAATTTATTCTAGAAATATAGAAGAATTACAGCTAAAACTTACAAAGGCCAATGAAAATGCAAGTGTTCTGCAGAAAAGTATTGGGGAGGTAACTCTAAAAGCTGAGCAAAGCCAGCAGGAAGTGGCTAAAAGGCACGAGGAAGAAAAGAAACAGTTGCTGGATAAATTGTCAGACTTGGTAAGCAGGGAGTGAATGGGACTGCCTGCTGGCAAGGAAGGTGCAGGGCAGCACAGGTATGCCTAGATGACTACTTATTCCTTCCCTTGGGGTTTCTGCAGGAAGAGAAGATGGAAATGAGCCACAACCAGTGTCAAGATCTCAAAGCCAGGTATGAAGAAGCCAGTTCTGAGACAAAGGTTAAGCATGAAGAAGTCCTACAGAACCTGCAGAAGATGCTGGGAGACACCAAGGAGCAGCTGAAGGCTGCACAAGAGGAGAACAGCAACTTGCTGCAGGAGATGATGGAGCTGAAGAGACAAGCTGACAAAGCCAAAGTACGTGCTGGAAGAGGCCATGTTGTCGCCTTCCAGCTTGGAAAGTTGCATCGAGGCTGTCAGGGTGCTTAGGAAGCAGCAGCAAATGGGTTGGGCTAACCTTCCAAGTGCATGGCAGGAGGGCGAAGTGCATATCCTATGGCTGCAAGTATTTTCTACCAACTGGTGCTCCTTCTGCAGGATGGTGACGGCTACAGCCTTTCTCCTAAAGGAACCGTGTGGCCATCACCCCCTATGCTGCTTGCTCCCCAGCTGTCACAAAGAGCCTTATGTTGCCTGAGCTCTGTCTGCCTGCTTGCAGTAGACTCTTTGTTGTGGGAAAGCATATTCCTCTAATCTTGGCCATCTTGCTGCCACCTTACCCCAGGGTTAGGTGAGACATCTTGCAGCAAAGCAAGAGGCAGAGGCCAAATGAAGCAAGTGAGCAGGGAGTGGAGCCTTGTTTTAGGAACAGAGCTCTTCTAGGACAAATTAGAGGTGAGAACTCCAGAGAGGGCTTTTCTGTGTCCCAGGAAGGCACTCTGAGTTCATTGACAAGGAAGCTGGACTCAAGGGCTATGAGAAAAATTCTGTTATAGATAAGAGTAGATCTTGATTTACTGAATTTCATTTTATGGTGTCAGGATTATATCTGTACTCCAATGTATTTTTTGACTATGGTAGCTTAATGGTGTTCAACCCTCCTACTATTTAAGTTGCTCAAAGAAAAGAAAAGACTTGTCTTTAATTATTGATCAGAGAAATGTCTATATGGGCGTTTAGTAGAAAATAGAAGAGCATATGCAGGACTTGAAACAAATCCCATTTTTAAAACATTAATTAAGTGGACCATGATATAATGTATGTCATTATATAAGGTGCCTAAATTTTCTCTCTTCTACATGCCAGCTGTCAAGACTTTCCCTCTAAAACATCTCCAGTTTTATGAACCATTTAACACTGGATATAATTTCCAGATCTTTTGTCTTTGTGGTTCCCTTTTTCTGGCCAGGCTCCAGTTTTTTACTGTTTCCACTAAAACAGTATAGGCTGATGAAACCCACAGTATTCTAGTAGTTTGTGTAAAGTCTCATTAATTTTGTTTTGTGGTTTGTTTTTTTTTAACAAGGGTCATTTAGTTAAAATGCCAGGATTGTCTTCCCTCCAAAATTGTCTAGATATCTGATTTTTGTGGATTTCATTGTTGTCAATAACAGTGGCTCACATACTCTTGACAATCTGATGAAACCTTATGATGTTTGCCCAAGGAAAGTTTATATATGTGCTTAACAAGTTTTATATAAAATGTCATCAGGTTCATGAAGCCCATGAAGCTTCTGTGTTGCCAAGTTTAAGAGCCAATGATCTATAGCTGTGCTATCCAATACAGTAGCCACATCAAATTTAAATTAGTTAAATTTTAATAAAATTACAAATTCAGCTTCTCAGTCTCTTCTCAACTTCTCACTCTCGTCATACTTCAACTGCTCACTGGCCATACATGGCTAGTGGCTACCACATTGGACAGTACAGATACATCACTGCAAAAGGTTCTGGACAGAGCTGGCATAGACATTGTGGTCAAATTATTTTATAAACCAATACATTTTTTGAAAACCCATTTAGTCATCAAAACCTAGCAAATTAGTCTTTTTTTCAATGCAGTTATATGTAATATTGGCACTAAATCAGTCTCAGGCCAGTAGATTGCCCTTTAATAAGGGCCTGAGTTATATGAAAAAGCACAATTTGTTTTCCCTTGCCCTCCCTTCCCCCTTTTTGGTTAAAATATACTCACTTTTTTGTAGTTCTTTGGATTGTGTTTTTAAAAATTCTTCAATCCTTTAATCCTATAATAGAAATAATTGGATGATCGGACTGGCAAGAAAGAATCTTATGCCCTGATATCAAACTGTTGTTTTTATCTTCTAGGCAGCTATCAGAAATAATCTCAAAAGTTGTTTCAAAGATAAACTAGTAGATATGTTAGCACTCTGCAGAGCTAAACTTGATTTGTTTGCGCTGTTCATCTAATTTCTTTTCCTTGGTATCCAGATGTTTCCATGGCATTGTAAAAAATTTTTAAACCTCTAATTTAGGTTACATTAAGTTATTTTGGCTTGCATTTGTCTGCTTGATTTCATTTTGTTTCCATTCTTTCCATCTTTTGTTTCTGTAGTCGCTAACTTATTTGTTAACATCAGCCAAAAAAGAAATTGAACTAATGTCAGAAGAGCTGAGGGGTCTGAAATCAGAGAATCAGCTTCTTGCACAGGAAGGAAATGCTTTAAAGTTAGAAAAAGGTTCACTTTTATCAAAGCTTGTAGAGGTGGAGGCCAAAATAACTTTACTTCAGGAAGACCAACAGAAACTGTGGTCAGTAAATGAAACTCTTAATTTAGAAAAGGAGAAAGTCTTAGAAGAAAAGCAAGACATTGAAAAGCTTTATCAGCAGGAACAACTCAATAAGGAAGCTTTGGCTGTTGAGAGAGAGAAAGTACTTAAAGAAATCGATATTGCTCAGGAAGAACTTTTGAGGATAAACATTGAAAATGACTCTTTGCAAGCTTCCAAAGCAAGCTTGCAGGCACTCGTGGAAGAACTCCAGTTCAGCAAAGAGAATTTGATTACTGAGTCTAAGAAGGATAGGGAAGAAAAAGATCACCTAGAGGATCATATCAAGAAGCTTGTTACTGAAAACCTTGCCTTGGCTAAAGATAAAGATGAAATTATTCAGAAGCTTCAGAGTACCTATGAGGAGCTGGTCAAAGATCAGAAAACCTTGGTGCAGGATATTAAAGATCTCACAGCTGAGAAAAAATCAGCTTTAGAGAAAAAGTCAAGTCTTGATAACATGTGCATAGCCTTAAAGGTAGAAAGAGACAATCTTCTACAAAACAACAAAGATTTGCAGTTTGAGAAGGACATGCTGCTTTACAATCAGGACAAGCTGAATGCCAGCCTGGAGGCAGCCATCCAGGTCAAGCAACTGCTCAGTGCAGAAGCTAGTGAGCTTTGGACACAGCTGGATGATGCCATCAAAGCTCTGAGGGAGGCTGAGCTGGAGATAAGGCAACTTCAGGTTACCCATACAAGCTTCACAAAGCTCCTGGAAGAAATTAAGACCAGTCAGGAGATCACAGACTCTGAGTGCATCCAGCTTCTGCATGAAAAAGAAAACTTGGCTTCATCTGAAAAAAGGCTCATAGCGAAAAAAAAAGAACTTCTAAGTGAAAATAGGCTCATCACTGAAAAACTCAACAAGTGCATAGAAGAGGCTGTCCATCTCCAAATGAGCCTGAACGAGAAGATCACTTACCTAACTTCAGAGAAGGAGATGGTTTGTCAGAAAATTACTAAGCTTAGAAAGCAGCATGATAGTCTCTTGAAAGAAAAATCTGTCCTGGAAGAGCAAGATGGATATTTACTTGCAGAAAGAGAAAATTCCATCAAAACCACTGGAGACCTTAAAACGAAATATAATCAGGAGTCTGCAAACCGAAGAATCATTGTGCAAGAGAAGATGAAACTCTTTGGGAATCTTGATGCTCTGAAGAAAGAACTTCAAGAGAAAAAAGAAGAAAACCAAGAACTAGCAGCTACCCAGTGTGATCTCTCTTTGATGCTGAAAGAGTCTCAACATGCCAAAAAGAATCTAGAGAAAGAACACACGAACATACAAGCAAAGGACAGTTTGAATGCTGAATTGCAGACTTGCTGTTCTGAAAAGAACATCTTGCTGAAGGATGGACTGAACCTTCAGGAACAGTGTCAGAAGCTAAATGAGGAGGTCTATACAGTGCAGCAGTCCTTCATTCTGGAAAAAGAGGCCAGGGCGAAGGAAAATGAGTTGTCCCTGTATGAGAGCAATAAGCTCCACGAGAAAGTGGCCCTCCTGGAGCAGGAGGTGGAAGAGTTAGGAGTGCATAGTAAGAAGCTCCAGTCTGAAAATTTTGTCCTAATGCAAGAGAAGACCAAATTAGAGCAAAAAATGGTAGAGATAATCAAGGAAAAAGAGCTCTTGAGTGCCGAAACAGCTCAACTCACTGCCAGCATAGAGACCCTGAAAAGCGATTTCTCCTCCTTGTCCAGATCCAAGTTAGAACTGCAGGAGCTGCACAGCTATCTCACCAAGGTCCTGGATGACCTCCAGCTAAACCACAAGGTGATGCTGGCCGACCTGGCCACGGTGATGCAGGACAACAAGAGCCTCCTGTCTGAGAAAAGAGAAATGATACTGAAGAAGGATGAGCTACTGAAGGAGAAGGAAAAGCTGGCAGAAAGCTACTTCATCCTTCAGAAGGAGATCAGCCAGTTGGCCAAAACCAACAGCCATATTTCAGCCAACCTCCTAGAATCACAAAATGAAAACCGTATTTTGAGGAAAGACAAGAGCAAGCTTGCTCTTAAAGTTAGAGAGTTCGAGATGCTTCCATCATTTACGGTAAAGTGGGAGGTCCAGGTGTTGAGCACCCAGACTACTAACATTGTGTACTAACTTTTCAGCAGCTTAAGGGCCATTTTCATTTCCACCTAAGGGAATCCACCCCATTGATTCCATTGCTTATATGTCTCAGGCTGTTTGTGATCACCTGAAAGGGCAACTCTTTACTAAATTTCTAATCGCAGTTGTTTCTTGCCATTAGAAAAAATTATAATTCGTGAATAAAAAGGACACATTTTTTAATTTTAGGAGAATTTTCCTGACAAAGTGAACTGTAGTTCTTAAAGGCTTAAGAATAGGAGTAAAATAGCACATATTGAAACATAGTATCTTCTATTTGACTTTTAACTGCTTCATTTGTGTCCATGTATTTGGAGTTGAAGATGCCAGTGAAATCTCCAAGGCTGGTAGTGAGGAAGGAATAATGCAGAATTCCCATAAGCTTTATTAGACCTCATGAAATTTTAACCAAGTACCTAAAAAGGTTTTCATTTATTTTTATATCTTACCAGCAAAGATCTCATCTCCCTTTACATATTATCTTTTTTATTCACAGCCATGCTTATATTCATTACCCCTAGCTTCTCTCATAGACTTTTCCATTCAGTGCTTTTCAATAAACACCTGAGTCTTTTGTTAATAACTGCCCAAATAATTTTTATTTTTATTTGAAAAATTCCCAACCTAAATTGTAAGTTATTTCAAAAGCTCCAAATTAGAAATAGGCAGAATAAATTTCAACAATAAAAATGACTAAGAGAAAATTCAGCCGTAGAACAATGTTACTCTTCATTATCATTGAACATTTCTCTCAAGCATAAGTTAGAATGATGAATGAGCGTGGCTGTCAGTGTAACCTGGAACTTGGGAGATGAAGATTTAGAGGGGTCTGAAACTGAGTATTGCATATTACACTTGGCTTATTGAAAGATGGCATGAAAAGGGTTTGTCACTGTAACTTTGTTCTGCTTCAGAGTAAAGACCTTTCATGCCTTGGTCTGTTTGGCACTGGATTGGTGACTGGCTCATCCTCTCTGTGTGACTCCCTTAACCACACAGACACTGAGCGCTACTTGTTGGGCTGGGTGAGGTGTATTGTAATTTCTCACAGTGCTTTCTTATATTTAGGCTGTTCAGACAGCAGAAGATGCCAAGCAGATAATGGAACAGATGACCAAAGAGAAGACTAAAACTCTGGCCTCCTTGGAAGATACCAAGCAAACAAATGAAAAACTACAGAATGAGGTAATCAGATTTAAATGGCTTTTTGTACAAAGGACAGCTTATCGACTTCATGGAATGTTTGATCACTAACTCAAGATTGTTTATTTTTTAAAGTGTGGCCTTCCACAGGTTTGATCTATGTTAGTGGAGTCAAATGTACACCAAAAACCATAATATTAAATAAAGTGTATTACTTCATTACTTATTTAGTAGGATCAAACTTTTAAAAATGAGGGGAAAACCCTAGTAGTGTGGCTTTCTGTGGTAATTGTTCAGTGATAGAACCAATTGGAGGAGGGACTGACAACATTCTCTAGTTTTATATCTTTTAAATAACATTTTTTTTCACAACTCTTTCCCAACCTTGAGCACTAAAAGTTCCAATCCTCAGCCCTGAGTTTGACATGGGCCTTTTCTTGGTCTTATTCACTCACTGTTGGCTCCCTTTTGTGTCATCTTGAATCATTCACTTCTAGGTCTTAGTCAGATTTATAGCATCAAGATCATTTTGATTCTGTACAAAAGTAGCATTTTTTCATTCTTGCATCCTTGTTTGATTTTCCTTCTCCCATCCTCCCAACTCATACCAACCCTTCCTATTCCTTGGAAAGCTGTTATCTAAATCCTGAGCAGATTGATTCTCTGAAATAGTTATGTGAAGTTCTGTAGAACTTCAGATGCTTTTTAATGTGATAGGCAGGTAAGACATTAAGGAATTAAAGCAAGGGAAGGAAGCTAGCCATCTCGAATAGCTTCTATAAAGACTAGGCCTTCCCATTATGGGAAGTCAAAGACATGGAAATTCCAAGATAACTTTGGGGTAAATCTTGACATAGAAGGGAATACATTTATATAACTGACAGTCCTAACAGAAGAAAATATTTTTAAAAAATCATAGATGATAAAGTTTGAAGCTAAAGTAAATGAGAATATTTTAGGGAATATCTCCAAACTCTGAAGGGTGGAATCAGGGAGAACCAATTGCTTACATAACATACCCCTTGGTGTCCTTGTTATATAGCCAGAGTACAAAACTACATGAATCATTTTTTGGTCCCATTATAATACTTTGTTTTCTTGTTCTGTAAATCTGGAATTTTAGAGAGCATTAAAGGGAATACAGTGGTGTTAAAACTAGCAAGACATTGTCTGGGACTCCTGACTGGTGGCATGTGACTTGACAAAAATAGTGCTGTAGGAGATAACTACACAGGTCCCAGAAAGCCACATGGTACTAGGAGCACACGCGGTGTGATCGATGCCTCCAGCCACCTGCCAGAACCTGTGCTTCATCTCAGCCCCGACACTTCAGTAACGTGTCTGGCTTTCCCACCAGGGGCCATGCCCTAAGCTGGCTGTGTCCTCCATGCTTAGGTGATGTATGTGAGTGTCTTGAATCTCACTACATGGTTTTTTTCTTTTCAGATTGAAGTTCAGATGTAAATCTTTTCCCATCTACAAATATTTTGATTTAAGTAATTTTTATAATAAGAACTACACATATTTGGTACTGATGTTGAAAAATATTATATCCTAAACTACTAATCGATGGGGAAGGAAAAGGGTTGGTTTCATTACAAAGGATAATTCTTGCTGGTGTCATGCCTTGCAATTTATTTCTTGTGTTTTTTAAGATTGATCATACTTGAATAGCAAGTTCAATGATAAATATTGAGAAATGTATACAAGGTGAAAGAAAACTTAATTTATGTAGCAGTTTAGTTGGACATTTTGGCCAAATATACCAGAATTGTCTGATTAAGGAGAAGGGGGAGGTTTGCTATTTATATAATAGACTCGGTAATTTGTAATCTCTTCACCCATGTGACTTTATTTTTGCAAGTGACTAATTTCTCCCATCTTTTGAATGTACATTTTCATGAATAATTAGTCTATCCAATCATATCTTAGAAAATGAAATAATTTCATCAAGTTTTTTTCTTTTGGTCTTTAAGTTGGATACACTTAAAGAAAACAACTTGAGAAATGTGGAAGAGCTGAATAAATCAAAAGAACTTCTGACTGTAGAGAATCAAAAAATGGAAGAATTCCAGAAAGAAATGTAAGTTTTATCTCTGAGAGAAATTTTGGAACTTAATTAAAATTGCAAAAGGGTAAATAATGTACTTATTTAAAAAATAGTTGACAAGTGCATAAAGTAGAAAGTGATAGTCATCTTTCTGCCCCGCAAATGCTGTTGTGTACCTGAGAAGTAATCCCTATAATCACTTAGCTGTAACTTAGCTAAGTCAAAACTATAGCTGTGTCAAAGGATCAAAATGAAATGTGTGCTAGTTGATGACTTTTAGGACATTTGGGATTCAACTGTGACCCTGCAGAGCCTTATGAAAATACAAGTAGAGTCAGAGTTTTTAAAAGTATGCTTACATGATAGCTAATCTTAACATTTGGAAATGTTAGACCCTTTATTACTAAATCCCTCAAAAACCTTTCTTATAGGAAAAAAAATGCAGCTTGTCATTTTTAAGATTATCAGTAATCTTGATTTTACGAGTAATGAAATCTCCTAGTGTGGAATTAAATGAGCAGAATTTTGGACAACTCTGGTCGAGGTTTACCTGTCAGTCTGCTCCCTAGGTTTCAGACAAACAGGCTGGTCCATGTTTGCTTTGTCAACACCACCACTTAATCCTTGCCTTTCAACTTCAGTTATGATAATTATTGCAGGTTGGTGTTTGGCATTTTAAATGGAAGTGACAGTGTAGATTTCATTTAGCTTTTTTATCTTGAAAACTACACTGTTATCAACTATGTGGACTAAAAATTTAAAGCCAGTTAGCCAGTTAATCTGGTGAATGTTGGTGTGTGTCCTTGGCACTAGGTACATTTAAGCTGGAAAGAATACAAAGATTAATTGTATGTGGTCCCTGCCCTCCAAGGATTTGTATTATTTATTTCCAGCTCTGATCAAACAAATAGTTGAATTTCAAACAAAAACAAAAACATCAAGGCCGAACTGCTATTCGTAAATCACCACCCTCAATACTATTTGTTGACCAAGTTTGGATTAAACTAGTATATATCTAATTCTTCTGAGAGTTCTTAAACCCTCCTAGAAATAACCTCACCTGAGCTGCTCATGATGTTGATGGTCAATCCCTTCCTTAGTCCATGCTTTAAGGATGCTTCTCTAGGTGACACTTGAACAGTTCCCAGCAATTCTGTTTATATACACAGGTTTATCAATTTACAAATGGCCATCAGGAGAGCTGTACATTTTTCTGTTACATATCTTCCAGAGCCAAATGACACAAATAGATAATGGTCACTGTGATGGGAAAAATGAATTCATTACCAATTCTGAGAGGGTGGGTTCAGTTACAGTTTAGGATTTTTTTTCCCCTGTGACAAAAGTAGTTATGCTAATCTGGAGCATTTAGGAGCACTAAGTGACTTGAGTTCATTTGTGTCACACAGACAGCTGGTGAGGGAGGATCTGAGCAGCAGAAGATTCCCTAACCAACCTCCCACTGCCAAAATCCCACCTCTGAGCTCTACTAGGTAACGGAGGGGGCGGGGCCAGAGTGGGCCTAGCAAAGAGAGCTCTTAGGATTAGATAACATTCTTCTTTCCTGCAGTTCTACTCAGGAATCCTCATAAAGGTCACTACATTGGTCTAGTATCATACAGTTCATTATGTTGGCCTAGTACTAAGTGCTCGGCGTCTTTAATCTTTTTGTTGTGTTTCCACCCTGTTAGTGTGGAGTTGTTCCACCTCTAGTAAGAAACGAATTGTTTTCTATTCATTATTTGAATGATTCCATTGAATAATGAAAGCTGAGCCTCATGCCAATGGACTCAAGAATCAGGGGCAAAAGACTGTTTCCTGCTGCTGTCCTGCTAACCTTGGCCTGCCCCTTCCTCGAGATGAGGGGAGTAGTTCAGTAAAGGAGGAACCAGACCACAGGGCAGACAGGGCCTGAGTGCTTTTGATTGTCTACCTTTTTCTGGCCCACTAGACCTGAGGGAATCATCCCTTCTGTCAGTAACTTGGCACACTGTGGCCAGGATCCTTAACAGGAGGCCGGGGCAATGGGAGACACACCAGTGGCATATATCTGAAGCTGGAAGAGGGATATGGGAGGGCCAAGGGGAAAGGGCTCCTGCTCCCAGTAACTCACTGTGCCCTGCTCAAGACTTGGTCAGATTTCAAGGACCATCTGTTATTACTGTCATGCAAACAGTACTTCACCACAAAGATCAACGCATGCTTTACATATCCTTAATGTTGATCACTTAAGGGTGTCAGATGATCAGGGAGGTACTCTTTTCTGATAATATTCCTTTCTCTTAATTAAAAAAAAAAAAAAAAAAGCAGTCACTTTACTGTTCCTAGTGTTCAAGTTAGAGAATGGGCAACTGTTTATTTTTCTATGGTTCAGCATGTGTCTGGGGTTCTTTATGTCCTCTAGAGCTCTCTGGCATCTCTCCTCAGTGCCTGGAGGAAAAGGGACACCGGTGTAGACACTGAGTTCCAGTGGGAACCACCTACTGTACAGTATTGTCCTTGGCACTGGAAACTGTCCTTTGTGGTATTTACTAGACTTGTTTCAGGAAAACTCTTGATTTTGGTTAGCCATTTCCTATTTTCAGATGGAGAGAAAAAATAAATGTTTTTTCCCTGGTGTGTAATTTTAAATCTTAGGGAAACTGATATAAACAACTAATTGTTGTCTTTAATCACTCACCTGGCACAGTAATAAATCTAGAATATATTTAGCATGGTAATTAATATATTTATAACAGATTCATAAGTACAATGTTTGCAAGTCAATACTAACAATGTTTACTTTGCCTCTTGTTTTTAAACCTGTAACAGTCTTCTATTTCAAGATATCTTGTCATGTAGAAAGAAAAGTAGCTTAAAAAATTGTTAGAAATATATTTGTAATAATTTTCAGAATAATTCCTTAGAGTATTTCCAGAAGTTTGGCTGTTAGAGCCTATTTCCTCTATAAAATCCATGTGCCCTCCATGCTCTAAAGAAAAATTGAAAGTTGTTTCTATATCCGAATCACAGCTGTTGTCTGTCCAGTTCTCCTGCTTCTGCAACTTACTGGCTTTATGATTTGGGCAAATCTTCCCACTTCGCTGAGCTTCCATTTTCTCATATTAATACATAAATAATAATATTAGCCTCCTTGGGCTAATCCCTCTCTGAGGATTATGAGAAAAATTTACATGAAAACATTTTACAGACTTAAAATTAAACAAATGTTGTTTTTATAGATCAATGCTTGAGGACATTTTGATATTTCTTAGACTCCTTGTTTTAATTTTCCTTACTGTGGACTCTTAATAGAAACTAAGGATTTTTAAAAATTTGCAAAAATGAAAATCTATAAGAGCAAAAGGTGGATCACAAACTCATCACTGAAGGGCCACACAAATGCTGAGACCAAATAGCCCTCAAGGAAGGAGGGAACCACCTAATAATAAAAGGTTGGGTTTATGATAATTTCATTGTAAGTGAAATCTTATTTGTCAAGAACTGGTGGACTTTGGCCAGAAGATAAACTTTAGCTATTTGGTGTATGTGTGTATTTTGATCCAAAATTAAAATCAAGCCTCCCAGCTTTTGGATGACTAATTACCTGAGGCTAAAATTCTTTCTCAGTATTTCTACTTGCTAGGTAAACATCTCTATAAAATGCCTAATTTAATGTAGGATAATTTTTGAGTAGCTGTATTCCCCTAGATCTTCATGAGGTTATCCCAGTATGCATATCATAGGTGGATGGGGAATTAAAAATCAAGAAAATTGAAGATGCCAAGGACTGCCACCCATTAGACAATTGCAGTTAAAAATAGATGTGTTCATGCATCAGCCAGATGGATTCATACCCAGATGACTTGATTCAGAATTCAGCCATGGATGACAGCTCACTAAGTGGAGTTTAGCCAGCACAGACTTAAAATTCGTACTTGCATCAAAACCACCTATGGCATAAAGCTAAAATCCAGCAATCAAATAAAATACTTTTTTTTCCATATCCAAAGAATAATAATTTGAAATGTATTTTTGAATTAGTTTTAATATTGGGAAGATGTTGAATTACTATACTGTTTACATTTTATGTGCTGATATTGGTGATATAGGTTAGTAGGCTATATTTTTATTTGCTTCTTTTAATTACAAATTAGCCTTGTAGGAAGAATACAATAAAAATAAAACACTTGTTATGTAATTAGAAAACTAGATTTCCTGAGGGCATTTTACATTGAGTTTTTCTAAAAATATACTCAGATTCACGCCGGCACTTGACTCTTATAGATACTGCCAAATTGGACCATTAGATTTTTATTTTCTGCCCCCAAAAGACAGATTACCAATCTGTGTAGAGTGCCTTGGCAGCAAAGTAAATTGCTTTACCAATGCAGTGGGTTTTAGTATGATTTTTCTAATGGAAATAGTCCTAAAGACAAGAGGAATACTGACCATTTCATTTGATATTTATTTTATAGTAGCATTGCTTTTTGTATGGTGAGTGTTTAGCAGTGGGTAAGTGTGGGTGGTGAGAGGGTGGGTATGGTATTTATTAGGTTTAAAAAAATATAATAGTTGTGGGTGGCAATCCTCCTCCTGAGAGGTGAGAGCCATTTAGCCCCTCCTGCTTGTAGATAATGCTGCCTCCCGTTATTATAGATCCTATCGGGCATGTGACCCAGATATATTTTCCTCACTGCTGTGAAGCTGGTCGTCTCCCACAGTTTCCCTGCCTGTCTTGTTTCTATGGTAACCCTTCACTCACTGTCTTTGCAGAGAAACCCTCAAGCAGGCAGCCGCTCAGAAGTCCCAGCAGCTTTCAGCATTGCAAGAAGAGAACGTTAAACTTGCTGAGGAGCTGGGGAGAAGCAGGGACGGAATCACAAGTCACCAAAAGGTCAGTGGGCGGTGGGAGGGCGTTCCTAGCTCTGAATGCTGTCTGCAGCTATTGCAGGGTACGTGGAGGTATTCAGAGATATGTTCAGGGTGGTTGGGTCATTGAAAATGGGGGCTTCAAGTTAACTGTGTACGTGTTTCCTTATTTCCAAGTGCACTGCTCTAGGACTCGGGAGAGAGAGTGGGCAGGTGGGTCCTTACACATATACTGGGGACTTTTTGGGCTCTTTATTCAATGATCTAGTAGCAAAGCATTTATGTGAAAAGGAACAATGTCTTCTCCATACTACTGCTTGGATTGCAAAATTATTTTTCTCTTAAGGTTTTTTTTTTCTTTCATCAGAATTGGTTTTAAAAAAACATATTCCCAGAATATAGATTTGTTATGGGGGTTGGCAGCCATTCATAAATAGAACCTTGCTTTTCTTTAAATTAAAAAGACATTTAAACATTTCCTAATGGAACTATGTATGTATGTGCATTCATGTGCATTGACAGATAGAAGGTATATTACACTTGGAATGACCTGTAAGCTAACCACAACACATTTGTTCCTGTGTTTAAATCACAAAGGTTTCTGACAAGTTTTTAAACACTGAAACAAAACTTGAGCTCAAAATGCTTATTCTGCTTTTTGTTCGTTAACAGTTGAATCAAAATGCTAGATTGCTAGTCACGTCTGACTTCAGAACAGAAGCCCCCAGAGTGACTTTTTAAGGGGAATCATATTGTGTAGTCATTCATTCTAGGTTTGCACTTAAAGAGAAAAAAATTTCCCCCCAGTATACTTTGTGAACAGTAATTCTCACTTGGGATGGGGTAGTTTGGGATAATTGTATTGAGTACCCATCACTGGTGCAGTTTGTGAGAGTTGAGTTCAGGATTTAAAGTCTTCATTATAGCTTTCCACAATTTCTTCATGAAATGATTGCCACATCTTTCCAGACTCCAGTATGATGATGATGCTATCAGTGACAGTAGCTCACACGTATGGGCTCTTTCTATGTGACAAACACAAGTAGATGATAGCTACCATCTCACTTAATCTTTATAGTAACTCAAGGAGATGGCAGTACCATTTATCCCCTTTTGTAAAAGAGGAGAGGAATCAAGCATAAAGAAGATAGTAATTTGCTCAACCTCATTCAGCTAATAGTGTCAAGAAGTATTTGTCATCTTCCAGTTTGGGTCAAGAAAAGACAGTGAATTGACTTAAATAAGATCACTGCAGTCTCCTTTGGTTAGTATGTGAGCAGTTGGAGCTCATGAAAACTAGAAGCCCTTTGACTAGATGAGGTTCTTTTTTTTCCTGGCACAAACTAGAGTGTCTGAAACATTGAGTAGCTCTCACATCAACATGTCTGAAAGAACCTGCAAGAGAAGGATCTCAGCAGAGCCCGAGTCTTTTTAACTCGTTTTATCTCATTTCATTGAGCATCTCTGGCAGAGAGAAGGGGATCCCACAAATGGGAGGAACATGTAGAGGTCATCCTCTGTCTTATGTTGTGACCTTAACTGACCTGTTGACTACATTTCTCATTTCTGTCACTGAGACCTGGAAAGAGTTGGAGGAGCACTGGCTCCTCTGGCAGAGGCCCTCAGGCTCCTTGCCATCCCAGCAGCTCTTTTTCTTCTGCAGGTTGGGATTTGAATTACCTTCTGTTTGAAAAGGTTTTGTGACTAAAGTTGTGACAATCAGTGACTTTGAAGGGTGTTAGGAAACAGCGTCTGCAAGGAACAGCTAGGAACTGACTTCCCTTTAAGAATGGGTGGTTATACCCTTTGTAGTTCATGTTTTACTCAGAAAAGAGAAACAAATGAGTGTGAACTAAAACATGATTGGCTTCAATGATAGAGATTAGCAATGATATTGATTTCAAGGGAGTATATTTATACACATTTCAAGAGTGGAGAGAATCACTCATTTAAAATAACTTAGAAGCAACTTTAAAGAAGACTAATTAATTCATTGGCTCTCCTACTCTTCCTGTATAATCTCCCAAGAATCTATAGTACTGCTCACTTCTGTAAAATATAAATTTTCACTTTGTTACTTTCTATAGTCAAGTCAAACTATTGATCAGCTGTGTTCAGAAATATACTACAGGGCCACGTTTTTTTTGTTGTTTTGTTTTTTTAAAATTTTTTATTAAGGTATGATTGATATACACTCTTATGAAGGTTTCACATGAAAAAACAATGTGGTTACTACATTTATCCGTATTATCAAGGCCCCACCCATACCCCAATGCAGTCACTGTCCATCAGTGTAGTAAGATGCAGCAGATCCACTATGTGCCTTCTCTGTGCTACACTGTTCTCCCCGTGATCCCCCACACTATGTGTACTAAACATAATACACCTCAATCCCCTTCTTCCTCCCTCCCCACCTGCCCTCCCACACCCCTCCCCTTTGGTAACCACGAGTTCATTCTTGGAGTCTCTGAGTCTGCTGCCATTTTGTTCCTTCAGTTTTGCTTCATTGTTATACTCCACAAATGAGGGAAATCATTTGGCATTTGTCTTTCTCCGCCTGGCCTATTTCACTGAGCATAATGTCCTCCAGCTCCATCCACGTTACTGCAACTGGTAGGATTTGTTTCTTTCTTATGGCTGAATAGTATTCCATTGTGTATATGTACCACATCTTCTTTATCCATTCATCTACTGATGGACACTTAGGTTGCTTCCATATCTTGGCTATTGTGAAAAGTGCCGCGATTAACATAGGGGTGCATATGTCTTTTTGAATCTGAGAAGTTGTATTCTTTGGGTAAATTCCAAGGAGTGGGATTCCAGGGTCAAATGATTTATCTATTTTGAGTTTTTTGAGGAACCTCCATATTGCTTTCCACAATGGTTGAACTAGCTTACATTCCCACCAGCAGTGTAGGAGGGTTCCCCTTTCTCTGTATCCTCGCCAACATTTGTTGTTCTTAGTCTTTTCAATACTGGCCATCCTAACTGGTGTGAGGTAATATCTCATTGTGGTTTTAATTTGCATTTCCCTGATGATTAGTGATGTGGAGCATCTTTTCATGTGCCTGTTGGCCATCTGAATTTCTATTTTGGAGAAGTGTCTGTTCAGATCATCTGCCCATTTTTTAATTGGGTTATTTGCTTTTTGGGTGTTGAGGCATGTGAGTTCTTTATATATTTTGGGTGTTAACCCCTTATCTGATATGTCATTTATGAATATATTCTCCCATACTGTAGGATGCCTTTTTGTTCTACTTATGGTGTCCTTTGCTGTACAGAAACTTTTTAGTTTTATGTAGTCACATTTGTTCATTTTTGCTTTTGTTTTCCTTGCCCAAGTTGATATATTCATAAAAAAGTTGCTCATGTTTATATTCAAGAGATTTTTGCCTATGTTTTCTTCTAAGAGTTTTATAGTTTCATGACTTACTTGCAGGTCTTTGATCCATTTCGAATTTACTTTTGTGCATGGAGTTAGGCAGCAATCCAGTCTCATTCTCTCACATGTAGCTGTCCAGTTTTGCCAACACTAATTGTTGAAGAGCCTGTCATTTCTCCATTGTATGTCCATGGCTCCTTTACCATATATTAATTGGCCATATATGTATGGGTTTATATCTGGACTCTCTATTCTATTCCATTGATCATTAGGTCTGTTCTTGTGCCAGTACCAAATTGTCTTGATTACTGTGGCTTTGACCTAGAGCTTGAAGTTGGGGAGCATAATCCCCCCAGCTTTATTCTTCTTTCTCAGGGTTGTTTTGACTATTTGGGGTCTTTTGTGGTTCCATATGAATTTTAGAACTATTTGTTCCAGTTCGTTGAAGAGTGCTTTCAGTATTTTGATAGGGATTGCATCTGTAGATTGCTTTAGGCAGGATGGCCATTTTGACAATATTAATTCATCCTACCCATGAGCATGGAATATATTTCCATTTATTGGTGTCTAATTTCTCTCAAGAATGTCTCATAGTTTTCAGGGTATAGGTCTTTCACTTCATTGGTTAGGTTTATTCCTAGTTACTTATTCTTTTTGATGCAATTGTGAATGGAATCATTTTCCTGATTTCTCTTTCTGCTAGTTCATTATTAGTATATAGGAATGCAACAGATTTCTGTGTATTAATTTTGTATCCTGCAGCTTTGCTGAATTCAGATATTAGTTCTAGTAGTTTTGGAGTGGTTTCTATAGGGTTTATATACAATATCATGTCATCTGCAAGCAGTGACAATTTAACTTGTTCCTTGTGGATCTGGATGACTTTTATTTCTTTGTGTTGCCTGATTGCTGTGGCTAGGACCTCCAGTACTATGTTGAATAAAAGTGGGGAGAGTGGGCATCCTTGTCTTGTTCCCAATATTAAAGGAAAAGCTTTCAGCTTTTCGCTGTTAAGTATGATGTTGGCTGTGAGTTTATCATATATGGTCCTTATTATGTTGAAGTACTTGCTCTCTATACCCATTTTGTTGAGAGTTTTTATCATGAATGGATGTTGAAATAATAGAGTTTTAGAACTAAAGGAGCACTGGATATTCTTCTGTAGCCTCCTTGTTTTATAAGTGAGAAACAAATGCCTGGAATATAGCATGTGTAAAATGGGACCCATAGGGAGTGAATGACCTGTTCCTAGCCCTCCGTGAGGTAGTGACACTTGACCTCTGTGGCTTCAGTAAAAGAACCAGAATATTAACAGGGATGGTTTCACTTACTCATTGAACAAATGAACAAGTCATTTGTTGGCTATTTAAGGTGCAGCATGTCCTGAGGTAGGCAGGTCACTCAGGTCTTGAGTGATTTATGTATGAATAACTGGACATCCTGTGATAATGTGACCACTTGCTCTTTTTTCATCACCGGAAGGAAAACAATTGCTTTCGCTGTCCTGGAGCCTGGCAATATGATGTGTGGAGTGAGAAACAGATCTCTCTGGGCTCAGTATGGACTGAACTTTTTTTGTATCTGTTTTTTTTTCCAGCTGGAAGAGGAGAGATCTGTGCTCAATAATCAATTGTTAGAAATGAAAAAGAGGTAGGCTTTCTTTTTGTTTATTGGTGTGTGTGTGTGTGTGTGTGTGTGTGTGTGTGTGTGTGTGTGTGTGTAATAAGGAAAATGTTAGAACGTGACATGACTTACATAAAACATGAACTTCTTATCTTCAGAAAAATGCATTGTGATAATCTGGTACTCATAATTGGTAATTTATGAAAATTCATTTGTAAAAGTTTCAGTATTTCTAAAACAAAGAATAGTTTATTATTTAAGCTATGTTCAGTTGCATTTATGCAGAAGTATTCTAAACTCAGATTGGGTCATACTGCTATTACTTCCTAGCTTCAGTAACTGAAAATACTGCAATTTTACATGCAGTAATTGATCTACATAGAAATAATACTGATTTCATTATATGAAATTTTTAATTTTTCAACAATAATGGGTAACATGATTTTAAATGCTTCTATTTCCTAAAAAAAGAGCTGTTGTTATTCTTCATGATAATCAAATGATAACTCAAATGAAGCCTCACAGTCCTTTTGAGTAAGGATAAACAGGCCCACAGAAATAATCATTTAGAAGCCTGTTGCTCGTACATCCTGACAGTCTCTGCTCTTTTAAAATGTGCAGTTTGTGTTTACAGGAATTCTGTGCTTTTTACTGCATGCCAAGCAAGTTTAGTGTGTGCTGTTGCTGAGAACCACAACCTGTGTAGTGCTTTCCTTCAGGGCACAGGATAGGTGTGCATTACAACAGTGGCATGCTTTTTTTCTTACTAAAAACAAAAGTAAAACCAAAAATAAACCTTTAAGACTAGCATAACCAGGAATTCCTCCATGCTCTGCAGAGTATTTTATTCTTGTCAGGGCAGAGGAAGCATCCCTAACTACTGACATGTGTTCTACCCTTGCAGTGTCCCCTCCCTTCTGCCAGCATGGCAACTGCTTAGGAATTAGAGGCTTTATTTAGCCTACAAAGATATTTGGGGTTCCAAAAACTACAGTCTAAAAGACAGTAGACCTCAGTCTAGACATCTTTCCTCCTCCTTTTTAAAAGTAATAAGTACTTAGATTCTTTAAAATTTTATACCAAAAAACATGTATGTTTCATCACTGCCCCACTCCTGGTATTCTTCAAATGACCATGAGGTATGGTGACTGGTCTGCAAGCCTTCACCTAGCTCCTGTGTGCAGGCACAGCTTTGCCCATGTGAGCCTCGGGATGTTTAATTTTACATAAATAGGACTTGCTCCCTTTAAAAATGGCCTCGTGTACAGTTACCAAAGATCTGTGAAAGGGATTGTTCCTGCGGCTTCTGGCAAGGGAACATACAAAAATGGGCTGGTGTAAGTACAACATCCCTTGCATTTATTTAACACCTCATAATTCACATATTTATCTAAACTTAAAACAACCCAGTGAAATATATGGTGGGGTGTGCATTTAAAAGTGATAAAACTAAAGCCCATAATGTATTCAGCTTGGCCGAGATCTCAGGTGCAGGTATGAGCCCAGGTCCTAGAGTTTTATGCTGGTTCTTTTCTCACTGTACCTTTACTTACTTACTGTTTAAATTTTTTTTTTTAAGAAAAATGCTATGCTTTGTTAGTCCTTACCACTTAACTGATTATGTGCCTTTCAAAATATGATTAGACTACAGCTGAAAAAGATGGAGTGCATTTGGGTACCTGTCAAATCATCCCTTCACCATCTTTGCTCCCATTTTTGAGTCCTGGATATGTTTAAGAGAATGTCTCTTGAAAATTATTCTTTCTGTCAGTAAATGCAGATAAAGATGATAATTTTTTCTGATAGTGAATAATTTAAAAATGTAGTTTCTCATAATTGGAACTGTGGGGTTTTTTTGTCAAATTAATCCTCATGGAAAGTTATGTCTATTCTAAAAATCTGAATGCAAATGTATTTTAGCTAATTAATTTGGGCCTTTAATGCCTTCTAAAAGTCATTTTGGTAAAGGATTTATATGTAGGTCTATGAGTATTAACGGTTAAGTGAATTTAGCATAGATATTATAAAGAAGTTGATATGCTTTTAATTTAAATGTCTGACAAGTCCTTAAGTCATAAAGATATTTGAAATGTAGTTCATGCAAGAGCTGAGATCTTAATTGATGGTCTAATTTAGAAGCAGTAAATGAACATACATAGTCATGATACTGTATAGTTGCTGTGCAGAGCTTTCTCCTGACTGTAGGATGGAACTACTTATCATGAAAAAATTAGTAGCTTCCTTCTGTATTTGCTATGGTTTTTTTTGGTATCTAGCCATCTAATTCTAAGCAATATGTAGTAAAGCCTTTTCTCTTTGCTTAAAAATACAGTCCTTTCTTTGGAAACCAATCTCCAAGTTAAGCAAACCTCTTTCAAAACAGGTTCCAAGATGTCTAATAGATAAAGCAGAGCCAACCTTGAATGGCTTTAATTGTCAGAAGGGGATAAGAGTGTTCCTCTGTCCCTAAAGCCTACAGCAGATTTGGGAACTTGCTTAGCTTCTCTAGGCTTTTTGATGTCAAAGAAGGGACTCCAGAGTCAAAATCTCAGATGTGTACTTTTAGGACTCAGAATTACTTGTGTTTAGTGTTAATGCAAGATAAATGATCAGGAATGGAGACCACTAACCATACCTCTACAAATTCTGAAGAGGTCAGGTGCTATTTCCGCTCATTAACCTCACTGTGGGTTGCTAACTGTCTGACTGTCTCAGAGCTTGTGCAGCTTATCAACGCTCATTTCACCCCTCTCTTTTCCCTTTCCGACTCTTGCTTCCTTTGCTATATCTGTGTGTCTTTAATGGTAAGACTAAAGAAAGTCTATCCACGTTATAATAAATAAATTTCATATATTTTTAGTAAACCAAATTGTTGTATATATTTTTTGGCTGCCTTTGTCCCTCTGTGTCTTGCTTTTGTTTTGTAAAATATTCTCAGCAATACACACACACACACACACACACACACACACACAGCTTTTTTATACCTATATACAGCAAAGACACCATTGCAAATTTTGCTCTCCTTACCGTATTTGCATTTCTCTTCATGTTTCTAATATTTGGTTCTTGTTATCTTGAATTTTTAAAGCTTGCCCAGCAATACTTTAAGGTATTTGCTTCATTACTAGAATTTATTTCTTATGTAAGTAGTAAGGAAAGAATCTGGGTAATATGTTACCTTGGGAGAAAGATTTCTGGCTCTGATAGCCCTTCTTTCATTTTATGTTTATCTTCCCTTCTTAGTATTTTTAGTAACACCAAGTCATTTTAGCCAGCATGGCTTAAATATAGCACGGGCCCTCCTGTCAGTGTGGTTTGTGACTCACATGTCAGTAATGTTGGCATAAATGATTTAATTCAGCCCCATCTTGGTTTGTACAATGGGATTAGGGTTTAGAAATAGCCTAAGAAGCCAGTAGTGAAGATCTGTTATAAAGATGAGTTGTCAAAGTCTATTTGTCCTGTCATTTGGTATATAAATCACAAGTCAGATCCCTTTCTTAACCACGCATCTCTTGATAACTTGTACAAGAAATTTTCTTCCTAGAAAGCAGCTTCACTGAGAGGTTGTGTGTATGTAATAAGCAAAGATGCCTGTGCATTTTTTCTTCTGCCAGCTAAGGGAGTCCTCCTACCTCCCTGACACCCACAACCTGGGAGGTCTTGATTATAGAAGAATCTGGATCTGTTCGGTAATGCCCAAATCTTGGTATTTTTGAGTAAAAATATTTAAAATTACAATTTTCAAATTTGAGTTAGATTTAAAACAAGTGAAGCTCTTGAAGTAGCTTTTACAATAGAATAAACTACTACCAAATAAGCTTAATAGAAACTTCACAGAGCCCAGGATTTACTGAGTCTTTGGATAACCTCACATATTTGCTTTCCAGGTGGAAGAAGTGCCTGTACATTCCTTGATTAAAATCTTTGTTTTGTTTTAATTTAAACAAGTTCCTATTTCCTACAAAGGTGTCACTCACTAAGTAATATAACAGCACCAATGCCCACCCCCTTCCAGTGTACATATAATGCTTGGGTTGAATTCAGAAATTTCTGTAAGTCTCAGATTCTTTTTTTTACTAGTCATTCTGGAGTGTAAGTGTAAGCCACACAATGAGATAAATACAACACTTATATTTTCACCTTTGTATAGAATTTCAATTTACCATAAATCACGAGAATTTTGTAATTCGTGTGCCGGATATCTTGGGTCTCACTAACCAGACATACATTTTGCCGTTTCTAACCTGGGCCTCAGTTTCCAATTCTTCAGTCGGTTCTAAAATAGACTGAACCATCACCTGCCCTGCGTCCTCGCAGTTCCTTCTAATAGAAGGGGAGTAGTTTGGCTTGCTGTTTAAGTTAGGAGCCCTCTCTGGTGACTGTGTACATTAGTACAGTGCTGCAGGTGTGCAGCCCGAGGTCCTGCTAGAATGCTTTTCTCCAGTTTTGTTTTCCCCAAAATATTTTTGTGATACAAGGTCTTTTTCCTCGTTTCACACTGCATGTAATTATTAAAACCTTTTTATTTAAAAATTTTAGATTTACAGAAGTTGTAAGGGTAGTACAGAGAGTTTCCACATCCCCTTCACCCCACTCCCCTGATGTGAGCAGCTTACACTCCCTGGCACATTTATCTCAACCAGGAAAGTAACCTGGGTACAGTACTCTCAGCTGGACTCTGGCCGTCATCCGGATGTCCCCTGTGTTCTCAGCGGCTTTTTTCTCTTCCAGGATCTAGCCTAGGAAGCCATGTTGCCTTAAATCTCATGTCTGATTAGTCTCCCCCAGTCTGTGACATTTCCTCAGTCTCTCCTTGTCTTTCGTGATCTTGGCATTTTTGAAAGCATGTAATTTTTACAACAAAAACATAAACACACACAAGTGGGTACCTAGTAGCCTGCCCTTTGGGTCATATGGATCGCCTCTTGCCCTCCTTCCCTGCTGTTACCTTCCTAGTCTTTTTCCAGTCCCTGACTCCAAGGTCAGTGTCCCCCTTCCTCTGCTGATAACCTACTGCTGAGTCAGGCTGAGAACATGAGTGCCCTGACATTCTCCCTCCAGGCCCCCCATGCTTTAATTCTACACCTGAAAATCCATTTAAACATTTCTGTGCTCACCTTTATGTATCACCTTTAATTTCTATGAGCAATTTAATCTCCTCTTCAGATTCTAAGGATAAAAAGTAATAATTCTTCAGTTTGAATAGCAGTAATAATCTTTGTTACCATTTTGGCCCATAAGATATCAAAAACACATTCTTGGAACTTGCTAAAAGTTGCTGAAATTAGTGAGAACCAATCGATACTCCCAGCATAAAACTGCTCTGCATGACATCCATATTATAATCGCTTTGCATGTGTGTATTTTAATTGTTATTGCTTGGTAATAACTTATTCAAGAATTAACAGAATTCATCTGGGGAGGGGGTGGTTAGATTTTTAAAAGAATTCTTTGGGGGTGCAACCATCTTGTTATATTTAATTCTACGCCTTCCAAAGTTATTAACTTGTTTCTTTAAATTCAAATGGACACAATGACATGCAGATTCTGGCATGTCTCTGCATAGGTAGACTTGTTCTCCCCTCACAGTGAGTAAAATTTCAAGTAAAATTTTGCAAGCATAATAGCCTTAACCCCTATAAAACTTCAGTGTTATGCGTTTTTTCTTTAGATTAACTAAGTTGTGTGTTTGTTCTAGGACAGGTGTGCACTGACCACTCTCTTGGCTGATTTCTGGAATTTTTAACTCTTTGGTCTTTTAGAGAATCCAAATTAATAAAAGACACAGATGAAGAAAAAGCTTCCTTGCAGAAATCCATCAGTATTACTAGTGCCTTACTCACAGAAAAGGATGCAGAACTGGAAAAACTGAGAAATGAGGTAGAGTACCATCTAAGGTGAACCTTCTTGCTGCCTCTTTTTGTCCAAACTCCAAGCCTCAGCTAAATCGCTGTGTTTCAGGTCACAGTGCTCAGGGGAGAGAACGCCTCTGCCAAGTCCTTGCATTCTGTTGTTCAGTCTCTAGAGTCTGATAAGGTGAAGCTTGAGCTCAAGGTAAAGAACCTGGAGCTTCAACTCAAAGAAAACAAGAGGCAGCTCAGCAGCTCCTCAGGTAAAATGGTGACTGCGTGGCGCTTCCTTCCCATCCAGCTGCATCCTGCAGAGGAGCCGGGTCTAGTAGTGATGCTCTTGGAAGGGAAGGCACTGCTGCACTGTCCTTGACTTGACCCTTGTCCTTGGCTCTCCCTCCATCTGCTCAGATGAGGGCTAGACAGGACCCAGGTCCCACACACGGGGACCTCTCTGGCATCCCCACTCCTGGGCCTCCCCGTGGTCTGCAGTGCTGGCTGCAGGTGGTGGCTGCCAACCTTAGCAGCTGTGGGTTCTGCGAGTGCACTGCAGGCAGGAGAACAGAGGCAGCCCATGTGAAAGGACAACAGCCTGTTGCTTTAAGTTCAAGTGGATGCAACAGGCACCTCCCCGTGCAGCTGGCCAGCCTAGAGAACACCAAGGGGAGGGCCCATGTGTTTGCAGATCCCCAGGGACCCAGAGGGGACAAGCACTCATGCACGTGTTCAGAGGCGCATCTGGGAATTCCACATGAAAATGGGTTTCTGACACTGGCCCTTTAATTGCAATAACAAGAAAAAGAGATTGCAATTTGTAAAAACCCCTCACCACTTTCTTTTTTTTTTTTTTTAACATAAGGTAATACTGATACTCAGGCAGAAGAAGATGAAAGAGCCCAGGAGAGTCAGGTAAAATCCTTCCCTTTTGCTTTGCTTACTTGCTATTTTTAAAAATCATTTAATCTTTTAAATAGGATGTATATATAATTAGACTATATATATAGTTTAAACTTTAAACAATATTAAAAAAACATTTAAAGAAAAGTTTCCTTCCAAACCCCACCTCTCTTCTGCTCAGTTCCCAGCCCTCCAAACAGGCAATGTCTGTTATTAGTGTGTTTTATCTTTTCAAAGATTTTAAAAAATGAATACATAAGCCAAGACTAATAGTCTTTCTCCTCTCCTTTTTTACATAAGCTGGTCTGCACTTACCTTTTTAATAGCTGCATTGTATTCCAATATATGATGTACCATGATCTCATCAGTTCCCTGTCAGCTGACCTGACATTTGGGATGTGTCTGATCTTCAATTGTATTACAAGCAACACTGTAATGAATTATCTTGGACGTCTGTCATTTTGCATATAATAATAGTATTTATTTAGGATAAATTCCTAGAAATAGAATTGCTGTGTGAAAAGATTCCTTGCTCATCTTTACCTTAAAAAGACAGAGTTCTTAAAAACTGTTTCCTAGAGCCAAAATTATCAAAGCAGCCTCATTTTTTAAAATGGGATTATATGGAAGCAAACTATTCTATATTTGGAAATGTACATAAGCAAAAAATATCTATGTTCAATTTTAATGATATGTTTTTAATGCATTTATCCTGCTCAAAATTCAAAGGTACAAAAGCCATCTTTCATTAAAAAGAAAAAGAAAAACTCAGTTTGTGATTTGTTTTTCATCTGATGTCTCTTTGAAAGGCATGGAAAAATTCAACAAACATACCAACTCGCCCTGGATAGCACCGTCTGTTTAGTTCATACGTCCGATTAGCATGAACTTAATTAACCATGTTTTCTCTCCCCCTTCCCTTTCTGCTTCCATTTGTTTCATCTGCCGCTGCCAACACTTTTCTTCCAATCAGCAAATGGTTTGTGTTATGTTTCCTAATTTGTGAGCACATGCGTGTGTGTGCGTGTATGTGTGGTTTCCCACTAAAATCCATTTTGTAGCTTTTCTTCTTCCTGAAATGGAGCTTCTGACAGGATATAGTCTTAGAAAATGCAGTTTGAGATGCAGATTTAGTGGGTCTCCCTTCAGTGTTGAAAGGATATTCTTCAGAGAATCACAAAGCTAGTGATTGCTAGCTTTGCTTCATAACTTGCCCTAGCAGGAGAGAAAGGCCAAATTATTCCTTTAAAAAGTGCATTATATATGTATGTATATTATCTGTATGCACACAGATACTTTGTAATATTGTAAAGTGGAATTTTTTCCATGGGTATTTAGAGAAATAAAACCCTTTTATTTGATGAAGGGAAAGAAACAGTTTGTTTTTACATTAAAGTGCCCTTGATGTGAAAGGAAATGTTAGGCCAAGAGGCTTTCCCCTGGATGGTGATCTTGTTACCAGGTGTGTCTTGGCAAAGCTGCTCTTCCTACATGTGGCCAAAGTGGCTCCTCAGTTGAAAGGGAACTTAAACCATCTCTTGAAATCTCCTCCCTTGTTCTCTGAAGACACATTTACTTGCCATCCCACCATGACCAATTAAATGTTAAATGGCGGTCTGACAATCTCCATGGACATTTTACCTACAGAATGTAAAAGTCCTGGGTTGGTTTTACAGTTTAATGGAACTGGTTATACTTTTTGTAAAATTTTGTGTATGTACGTTTGTCTGTATAAAACATGGGTTCAGTTATGGCCACTATTGGCCCCTGTGACATCCAGCACACTCTGCAGCCATAGCATGAGATTCCATTTCTTGATATACCAGTGCACCTGTTTTAGATATCTTAAATATGTTTCTTTTTTTTTTTCCTGAACAAATCAGATTGATTTCCTAAATTCAGTAATAGTGGACCTTCAGAGGAAGAATGAAGACCTCAAGATGAAAGTGGAGATGATGTCAGAAGCAGCCTTTAATGGGAATGGTGATGACCTAAACAATTATGACAGGTATTTCATACTAAGCAGTACTGATTGGAACCTTAGTTCTGTCTAAATAAGTGTGTTTTTAAAGTTAAGTTCTCCAGTGCATTGGAGAAACATAGTTGCTTTGTGGTTATTTGGCCATAAGTCAATTTCAATAAATATGACAAGACAGTGTACTATAAATGGTCTGACATGAGAATTTTAAATGTGGATTGTAGTACTTACACATGAGGCTCCCAGACTTGGCCATAGTTAGTTCTTATTTTATATTCTTTACAAGTGATATTGTCTCTTGAATTTCCTCTGATAGAGATGAGTTTCTGATTATACGTGTTGACCTTTGTAGTGATGACCAGGAAAAGCAGTCCAAGAAGAAACCTCGCCTCTTCTGTGACATATGTGATTGCTTTGATCTCCACGACACAGAGGATTGTCCTACCCAGGCACAGATGTCTGATGACCCCCCACATTCCACACACCATGGCAGTCGGAGTGAGGAACGCCCATACTGTGAAATCTGTGAGATGTTTGGGCACTGGGCCACCAACTGCAATGACGATGAGACCTTCTGATTAAGCTTCAACTTGAGAGCTAGGCCTTCTCAGACGCACTAGCATTTGGGCAGCTGAGCACCAGCATTGTGTGTGTGAACTTCAGGAGAACTCACCTTATTTTTGAGCCCCCGTCAACAAATCCAAGAAAATACCTTGATCTTCAACAATTTGTCCTTTCAGTCTCCCCTTACAAGTTAGAATAATAAACACTGAGTAGGTGAGTTTTCACCTCTAACTTTGTCTTCTTGATTTTTAAAAGTTTTAATAAGACATTGCACCAGATGCCATTACATTTACTGTCCCTAGGGAAACCTCCTAGAACATCTTTACCCTTAAAATACCTTATTTAAGTAACTTTAAATTATGCTGTTACTTTTCATAATATTTGCACTAAAATATTTCCAAGCTGCATTTGTATATTTAGATGTTTTTGGTTAAGCTTTGACACTGGAATGAGTTGAAAAATGTGCCATTTTACATTTTCATCTACTCATTTAAAGTATTTTATTCTTAAAGAAATATCTGAGCTCTTTGCACTACCTGATGTCAGTAGTGCCTTTATTTCAGGCTTGATGATACTTGGGTGTGATTATAAAATCATGAAACAGGTAAAGGGATAGGGAAGCCCACAAACTGCTGTGGGGACATTTTATAATCTATATGCTGCACCCACTTACTCTACTGTGGTGTTTTGTTTATTGGTTTTGCATAATTTCAGCTTCTATATATTATATGTATATATTTTTAAGAAATCTCTATTTTGGGAAAAAACATACACAGTGTGTCTTTCTTTTCAGATTTTTTACCTTAAAATGTTCATCAGCACCTAGCAGAAGTAGGCCAGAAGTAGTATCATGTGGCTTTGCAACTGTTTTTTCTTTTTGTTTTCATTTCATTTCTTTATCAGATATAATATAGGGGAAAATTTTCTCCAAAAAATCTTTTTCTTTCTCCAACAGATATCCCCAGCAGTCAATTAATTAATCAGCCAGTATAAAACACCTAAGTTAACCAATCTGCAACCTTTACAAGTTTTTTTTTACTGTGTTTTTAGATGAATGTATGATAAGAAATCCAACATTAATAGTTTTGGATTTTCTTATCACAAAAATAAAATGAAGGACCTCAACCACCGAAAGTTTATCAATCAGCTCGAATCTCTATCTTCATTTGAATGTCTTCTAGAATGTATAAAAAGTAGTAAATATCTTCCAAGCTACATGTGAATAAGAACTTCTATAACTGTATATATGCCTTTGATGTATTTTCCCCTCAAGATTATCAACTGTGTGTTTGGCAAGTGAAAAATATATCTGTAATTGAAATTTTTGGTTATAAACCTATTATAATAGGAATTGTTTCACAAACAATATGCAAAGCAGTATTAAAACTTGAGCAAACAGATGTTTGGTATCTACTTTAATAAATGGTTATTGTTTTTCGCCAGTGGTAGTAAACTGATGTTATCCTCAGGTTTCTTTCTAATGGTGGTTTTTCTTCAAATGAGCAAGCTCTGTAGATCCACATAGCAACTTGTATTTCAGTCTCGTTGATAAACGGCTTTTAAGAAATTGGTATATTCTATACCTCAGAGTGTTCTATGACCCATTTAGCATAAAATAAATACCCAAGGCTACTACGCCTTACTATATCACACCATATTATCTGACCAAACTATAAGTGGCACCATGTAGTACCAACTATCTATTAATCCATGAAGTTTTGGAAAGAAATGCTGTGTAAGTTGCTGTGATATTACCAAATGATTACTGAACTAAACATTTGTTTTATCAGCACAAACTCCCCCCCCCCAAGTAGATATTTCCAAAACAGAGTTAGTAGTTAAATTTTTACCTCAGTAATACCCTGGCAGTAGTCATTGTCTTCAGTACTGACTATAAGGAATTAAAAGACTCAAATTATGAACAAAACTTATTGTGATCATTTTGCATTATATGTGTATATACAAATCATTAAGTTGTACACCTAAAACTAATACTATGTACATGTCAATTATATATCAATAAAAAAAATACTAAACAAGTCTGTAATATTTACAGAGCAACTACAGCAATACAGCAATGTCTTCAAACACTGGGTCTCTATACAAGTAAAACACCTCTGTTGAATGTCTTCTAGCACCCTGACCCTGTTTGAGGAGGGCAGTTCATCATGCTGGGCTTGCTCATTTACACTCATGCATGAGATTTCACTGGCATTTCACCTCTTAAGAGTAATTTGTGCCCTCCTTTAACAGCTCATGACAGGGCCTGCTGAGCTAAATATTTATTCCCACAGATAATGCTAATACACATTCACAGCTGAACAAGAAACCTGCACATGTGAGAATTTGTGACACAGATGGAGAACAACTGTGAAAACCGGGTTGAGAAATAAGGCATGAAACAGTCTGCATGAGTGGAAACAAGTTATCTTAAAATAGAAATGGCTTTAATGGAATCGTGAAATTGAGAGTGGAAGTATGTATATAAGCATGTGTGGTTATTTTTCTGCATCATCTCCAAATTCTGCTCTTTGTTTACTCAGACTCCATCGTAATTATTTACCGAGCCCTTTCTTCTAACAAAGTATATAAGATTGAGGGAAACCATCCACTAGGAGACCATTTTCACCCCTGCTTCACGAGATCCAAAATAGCCGATTTCCACCTCAAAGTACTGAAACGCATGAATCATCCTAAAACAAATTGTAAAATAAATCCTTACTTATTGAACAATTAAGTTCCAGCCACCCGCTAAACTTTATATGAATCACACGATGTAAATTACATCCTCTTTGATCCTCACAAAGTAATATGCTAATTTTATTGAAGCAAGTGGGGGTCCTGGAATCCACATCGGATAGGATTTGTGTGAAATACAAAGTCGCCGCCATTTTTATAAATTGTAGCCCAACTAAAAGAGAAAAGTGAAGGACCTTTTGATAGCTATAATTTAAAAGATCTCCATTCAAGTTTAATTTCCAATTACCATTTACAGTGCGTAAGCGTGGCTCCTAAGAAGAAAGTCGATTCTTAAACGGGATGACTAGGATCCATTCTCCGTCCTAACCTCAATTCTCCGTGCCCAACACCTGGGCTGAGGCAAGGGTCTGGTCTCGCGCAGCGTCAGAACCCTGGCTGCACCGACGAAGAAAAGACAGCAGACCAGCCGATTCCGGCTTCCGGGCTCAGTGTGCCGTCAGCGGCTCTGGTCACGTGAACGTACTGTCACATGACTGCGTCGGTGTGCCTCGCGTCTGGGAGCTCTGAAGTGGTTGGATTGAGGGTAAAGTGGGGCAAGATGGCTGCGCACCTCTCCTATGGGCGAGTGAACCTGAACGTGCTGCGCGAGGCGGTGCGTCGCGAGCTACGCGAGTTCCTGGACAAGTGCGCGGGAAGCAAGGTGAGGGACGGGGTTGGTGACACCGCTCTCGAGCCCTTGGCCTCATCCGGTCTCTGACGGCCGGAGCTCCAGAGATACGAGGTGCCTGGGATGCCAACGCGGCGAGCAGGCGGGAACGAGGAGGCGTGCAGAGTGGCCCTGCGGTGGGGCCTGGGCCGTACATCGCGAAGTCGGCGTGGCATCGCCATTGTTCTGTAGCAGCTGAATAACCGCCGTGATATTGCAGCCCCTCGTGAACGAGCTATTGCAGGTGCCCTTCAGGTCCAGAGGGGCAGATCTCGTGCCTCCGAGACACCGGGACGGGTGCGGTTGGCCCGGCCAAAGAATGTAGACCGTCCAGTGTCTATTCATTAAAACGACATACTTGTTACAAATCGTACCTTCGAAGCACTGATACCTTACCACCTGCCGCACACGGATTATGAGAGTAGTAGTTCTTTGTGGCCTTCCTAAAATAGGATTGTTTCTCCTGTTAGGCATTTACTAGCACCCGGTTTACAACTGAGTCAGAAACTGTAGATCAAGGGCTTTCTAAGATTTCTTTTAAATGGTGTTACCTCTCCCCTCTTCCCTTAATATCAGTACCCCTAAGTAATTGGTGGTGCAGCTCTGAAAAGGAGAACTGGAGAGGCTCAGCAATCAGTCGTAGAAGGAGTAGAGCAACCCCAAGGGGTGGACTGGGTGCCCAGCAGCCACTGAGAGAAGAAAGCAGGCAAGTCCTAGGTGCCTAGTTCAAGCTCAAGAAGTGACTTGGAAATCTGAGTAACATCGGTGTTGATACCCTAGTTGTGATATTGTAATACAGTTTTGCAAAATGTTACTGTTGGACAGAGAAGACAAGTAGTGATTTTACAGCATCTTACCCTGATGGACAGTGACTGTGAAGGGTTTTGTGGGGGGGACTTGGTGAAGGGAGGAGCCTAGTAAACATAATGTTCTTCATGTAATTGTAGATTAATGATACCAAAAAAAAAAATGTTACTGTTGGGGAAAACTGGACAAAGTGTACAAGGAATCTGTCTGTGTTACTGAATATTAATCTACAGTGACCTCAATAAAAATGTTGGTTAAAAAAGGAAAGAAAAAAATTACCCTGGAATTTGGAGGGGTTGGGGGGAGCACTGAGCAATGACCTGTAAAGTCATTAAGGCCTAGTTTGGAGTCCTGACTCCCTTATACTATATGTAAGGTCCAAGGTCCCTATATGGTCTTGGACATGGACTTAAATTTTTGAACCTTTTAAAATTTCTTCTTCTGTTAAAGTAAGATTTGTAATACTTACAACGGAAGTTTGAATTTTATATAATTGGGTTATAGGATACTTAAATATAAAATACCAAGTTGAACTACTGCCATTGAGCATTTCCTTGTGGTTCAATCTAATAATTAATTCCATGACAGATACACAACAAACTAAAATTCCTTCTTTCTGTTGAGGATAGTGATTAAGTCTTAACTTTCCTGTGACCAACAGTAGCATCACTTACCCCTGATACTCTTTTTCTTTAGAACTATAGGATGTGAATGTGGTCAGAGCTGATTAAAATTTTTGTTAATTCAGAGTTTGAAGCAAATAGTCCTACTCTGCATGGTTGCTATTTTCTGTTAATACTGTTGAAATTCCTGATGTTAACCTTAATAAGAGAACATTTCTCCCCTCTTACAGGCAATAGTTTGGGATGAGTATCTCACAGGACCATTTGGCCTGATTGCACAGTATTCACTACTGAAGGTAAATAAGCTGTTTTGTTGAGGAATTAACAATTCTGTACTTTAGCAGAAATAATAGGATTTTGTATTTTCTCCTGAGTAATTGGCTTGCAAAGCTGTGTGGTCTTTATAAACACTTATACTAATATATGACTAACATTTTGTATACAGAGATCATTTGGCCACTGATTCTGTACTGAACCTAATTCTAGGGAAATTATTAGCATTGTATGATGTGACATTACCTGGTGTGTGAGAGTTATTTGAATTCAGATGCAATAGCCGTGACTTCATCCTGAAACTTTGTCCTTTATCCATCTGGCTTTGGGGAATCTAAATTTTAATAATAAGGTATTATTAATGTGCATTTGACTGGGAGTATTAATGACATCTGAGTCTGGATATGATAGGTAAAGTTCGGGTTTTTGTTAATTTTTTGTGTATGTGTTTTCCTAGGAACATGAAGTAGAAAAAATGTTCACACTTAAAGGAAGTCGTTTACCAGCAGCTGATGTCAAGAATATTATTTTTTTTGTCAGACCCAGGCTAGAATTGATGGATATAATTGCTGAAAATGTGCTCAGGTATCTCCCAGAACTTATGTTTGGTCCAGAAGAGGTTGGTCCTTCCAATGGTTTTAACTGCTGAGCTCAATGCAACCACCTTCACTTGCCCGGGCATTGGAAGGTGATCTTTTGGAAAACTGGGGCAGTTGTGAAAGGATATAATAGGGGAACTGGGAAGCTGTGAAGTTCTTCAAACAGAGAGGGAGGTCATCATATAACCCCATTCTTTCTGGACAGCTTAAAGTTTGGATCTTAATCAGTAAGAAAGACCCTGATATACAAAAAAAAGACCTCTAATGGTTATTTTTCAATGTGCTTTTTTCAATATGCTGACTGTAGTATGGTTGAATTGCATAAGCAAAATGAGTAAGAGCTGATGAAAATTTAATGTAGCCTCCAATCTATAGAGGAAGTTTGTCCAGCTCAGTCTGCATTCTACAGTACAGTTGATGGATGTGACCCCTCAAATCTTAAAAGCAGATGGGCTATTTTGGAAAGTCTACCATCAAGGAGAGATGGGAGTCAAGAGTGATCTTTCATTTTAATGTAAGACTGTCACTGCATGGTTTCATTTAAGAACCATTTGTTATCTGTAAGACACAGATACTCTGTTTCCATAAACCTGAGAGCTTTAATGCCCCATAAATGATTTAAGAAGAAGCTAGAAAATCTGTCACAAAATACTGGCTATGAATCAATGCTGCTTTCCTGTCATGGTTAAAAAAAAAAAAAACAGAGAGCAACTGTAGCAATTTGAGTTTGAAAGTCAATGTTTGTACATTTATCTGACCAGCTTTTATTTAGTGCCTGCTGTGGCCAGGCAGCGGGCCAGGCTCTGGGAAAAAAATATGCGAAATAGTCTGTGACTCTAAGGAGCTTGTGAGCTAATAAATGTTCTTTTTGCAGTGAAGACAGACATGGCCCAGCAAGAGATTTCCACATTTTGTTTGTGCCACGACGTAGTTTATTGTGCGAACAGCGGTTGAAGGATCTGGGTGTTTTGGGATCCTTTATCCATAGAGAGGAGTACAGCCTAGACCTCATTCCATTTGATGGGGACCTTTTATCCATGGAATCAGAGGGTGCCTTCAAAGTAAGTTTGGCATTTTCTAATTCAATGTCAGACTTTTCTGCCAAATTTATGAGCCTTACATTGTCCACAATATTGTTTTGTGCATTTCCATGACTACTTTGAACTTGAGCCTCTTTTCATTTGTTTACTGATGTTTATGATTTTTCATCAAATTGCTTGTTTTCTTTCTCCATTTCTTCTTTTTGAGGAATTCTTTATATATCCTGGATACTAATCATTGTGGGTTATAAAAGCAACATGTATCTTCTCCCTGTCTATGGTTTGTCTTTTCACTTTAATTACAATATCTTTCAGCATATAGACATTTCCAGTTACAAAGTACTTAAAATTTTTAATAATAGCTTTATTGAGACATAATTCATATAGCATAAAATTCTCCCTTTTAAAGTGTGCAATTCAGCAGTGTTTACTATAGTCACAGAGTTGCACAGCTATCATCACCACTGTTTAATTTTGGAATGTTTTTATCATACCCAACAGAGACCGTTTGCCCATTAGCAGTCACTCCCTATCTCTCCCTCCCCAGCCACTGGCAATCACTATTCTGTTGCATTCTGTATGGATTTGCCTATTATGGAGATTTCTCATCAGTGAAATCATGAAACATGGTCTTTTGTGTCTGGCCTCTTTCTTAACATAATGTTCTCTAGGTCCATCCAGGTAGTAGCATAGAACAATACTTCATTCCTTCTTATGGCCCAGTAGTGTTCTGTTGTAATGATACCCCACATTTTGTTTATCATTCAAACATGATGGATAACTGATGGCTTTTCATTTTTTGGTTGTCATGATGCTGTGTCCATTCATACAAGGCTTTGTGTGTACACATGTTTTCATTTGTCTTAGATGTGCCTAGGAGTGGAATTGCTGGATCATATGGTTAAACTCCATGTTTAACATTTTGAGGAACCGCCAAACTGTTGTCCACAGGGACCACGTCATTTTATATTCCCACCAGCAGCGTATGAGGGTCCAATCTTAGATCCTCAACACTTGTCTTTTTTCATTTCACTAGCCACTGGGTGAGGAGTATTATCTAGTGGGTGTAGTATCTCACTGTGATTTCGATTTGTATTTCCATAGTGACTAGTAATATGGCTCATCTTCTCATGTGCTTATTGACCATATTATGGCTTCTTTTAGAGAAATGTCTGTTCAGATACACAGTGCATTTTTAAAATGAGATATTTATCTTTTCATTATAGGAATTGTAAAAATTCTTCATATATTCTGGGTGCAAGTCCCTTGTCAGATATATGATTGGCAGATATTTTCTCCCACACCGTGGGTTCTTTTCACTTCCTTCATAAAAGTGGTACCTTCCAAACACATTTTTAATTTATCTGTTTTTTTCTCTTGTTGCTTATGCTTTCAGTGTCACGAATTTACACTTATGTTTTCTTCAAAGAGTTTTATGGTTTTAGTCTTACATTTAGGTCTTTGACCCATTTTGAGTTCATTTTTATCTGATGCGAGGTAGGGGTCCAACTTCATTCTTTTGCATGTGGATATCCATTTGTTCCAGCACCTTTTGTGGAAAGACTGTTTTTTCCTCATTGAATTGAATTGTTTTGGCAGCCTTATCAAAAACCAATTGTCCATAATGTAACTATTTCTCATGTTTCAGTTCTGTTCCATAGATCAATATGTCTATCCTTATGCCAGTACCACACTATCTTGATTACTGTAACTTTGTAGTAAGCTTTAAAATTCGGAGATATGAGTCTTCTAACTTAAAGTAAATATATTAGTTTTATTTCTTTCAGTTGGTGCTTGTTGAGTCTTAATAAATCCTTCTCTACCCTGTGGACATACAATAATCTTATATTTTCTTCTAAAAGTTTTAAAGTTTTACTTTTCATATTCAGGTCTTTAATCCAACTTGAATTGTATATTTATGAATGGAGTGTTTGGTGTGAGGCAGGGGGCTGATTTATATTTTTCCATATGAGTAACCAGTTGTTCTAGCACTGTTCTTTCCCACTGATTATTTTCAGTGTATGTTTACAGTGAAAGTACACACCTTTGTTCTCCAGTTCTGAAACTTTATCTTTATTTCAGAGAACACTTGCTCTCATAAGAATATTACTTTATCTTTAATAAAATTATCTGAAATATTTTGTAAACACAATCTGGGCATGATATATTTATTTGAATACAAAGGATACAGAGTGAAAAGTAAGCCATTGTCCATTCAATTCTTGAATGCCAATCCCCTCCCAGAAGTAATTACTATTACTAATTCTTTTTTTTCTTCTTGAAGTGCTTCAGGTAACTATGGGTCATAATACATATGATAATACCCTTCCCACCTTGTACAAATGGTGGCATATACTATATCACTTTGTTATCTTGCTTATTCTCTTAATGTACCTTGGAGTCATTTTCTACCACATTTTGGAGTCATTTTCTACCACATATGAAAATGTTTCTTTATCCTCACTTGAAGCTGCATCATGCTTCATTGTTGGGATGTACCATGCTTTATTAGACCAGCCCCTTATAAAGGGGATTTCAGTGTTTTCATCTTATGCCGTTAGAGGTAGCGCTACAATGAATACCCCTGTATATAGGTCACTAAACACAGTCTACAGGCTGTTCCTTACTCTCCTTTGACATTTGTCTTTCAACTTTGCTTCTGGTGGTTTTTGCTGTGTGTATTTTTTATATGATCATGTTTATCTGTGTTTCCTCCTTTGATTCACACATTTATGATGTTGATGCTGCTGGTCTGGAGACAAGAACTTTTGAGAACCCCTGGTGTCATAAAAAAAATTATTTGAGACTTTTTCTAACCCAGTATGTTTTTATAAGGATCACCACTTTAAAAGAGTTAACTTGGGGTAGTAGAACTCAGTAGAACCACAGATTGATTTTATACTCAGTGGAGTTTCTTGCCTTTTTTTTTATCATGCTCCCGACTGCTTTGCTTACACTGAATCTCACCTGGTGATGGTAAAAGTTCCCCACCCCCCCAGCATTTCGTATGGAAAGTATCAAATATACAGGAAAGGTGAAAGAACTACACAGGGAACACCAGTATACCCACCCCTTAGATCCTGGAATTAACATTTTGCTATATTCACTTTGTCACATATCTTTAATGGTATACCCACACATAATTAACTCACATCTGTGTAATTAATGTGAATTGGAAGCAGCTGAGTAAAGCTTGTCCTGGCATGACACATGCTGTCCAGAGGAGGGATGCCTGTTTATTTTACCAATTTGCAAAAAAGGACATTTGCAAAACAGTTATTTTCTGCTGGGAATTTTAAGCTCTTGGCTTTGTGTGTTCACTTAAGATTTTGTTTAGAAATCAAGGATTTTCCTGGATGATAAAGCTAAGAGTTCTACCTAATGTTAAATTGAGCTGATTTCTGTTAGAGTTGAGGTAATTTTACCATGTGGTTTTAAATAATAAGCATAATTCAGTGTTTCTTGGCGCCAGGAGATACATCTAGATCTTCCTGTGCTTTGGGATGTAAATAAAATGTGAGAATTAGAGTTCGACCCATTGTAACGGGGTATATTATATTGTGGCCTGCATTTGTATACATAAAAATCAATATATGTAAATCTATCTCCTTTGTAGAAAATGCAGGGTATTTATTTTGTATAGGTATGTAGGTGTTTTAAAATGTTAATGGATATTAGCATTTGTGCCCCCCAAAATGTCCTCATGGCTTGAAATGCCACATGGATTCCACAGGCACAGAATAGAGTTGGGGTAGTAATAGAAATAATCACCCTACCCCCAGTTTCATTAGAGCAAAAAATTAAAGATGAATATCTTGTGTTAACTTTCAAATCTTTTAAAAAAGATGGACTTATAAAAGGGATGTCTTAGTAGTAATACAACTTTTTAAGTTGAGAAAAATGAATGTTATTTTGAGAAATGTTCCCTAATTTTATTTTCTTGAATTTTTATCTTAGTTCTGCCCCAGTTGGGAGCTTCAAGTAATTTTTCCAGAAAGTATGTCTTTGGAAATTCTTCATTTTGGCCTGTCATATTCAGTGAAATGTTAAAATACACCAGACTTGGGAGAGCCATCATGCAGCTGTGCTTTCATTAGTGACCAGTCACTCCCCACAGTGTCTTTCTGGGGAAAGCCTCCCTTCTGCCGAGGAAAGAGGGCATGAGAGCCCACCCGGTCTTCCTGAATCCCTCTGGGGTCCTCTCCCTCCTGACTTTGGAGGCTAGAGACACACTGAGTGTGGGCTGGGGTGGGGGGTGTCTGGTGCAGTGTACCATTTTGACTTGCGAGTGGATGATAGTTGTGAAAAAAAAATCCAAACAATTCCAAATAATAAAAGCGTGTTTAGGTGCTGGGATTGTATGTTCCACATGTATTTTCCTCATTTAATCCTTATGCTATGTGGAATATACTCCCTCCACTGACAGGGGGATTTAGGGACCAGCCGGTAAGTGACACAGCCAGGGGGACTCTGATCAAGGCACCTAAGTCTAGAAATGTGCTCTCACTTACCAGAGTCAAAACTGACCAAAGCCCCTCTCTCACTTCCCAGCTGGATTTGTATGTATTTTTCTTTTTGGCCTTTATTCGATGTAAAAAGGTATATTTTTGTGTACTTTACAAAATCCACCTTGAAGAAATGTGTTTTCTAAAAATGAGGTCATACTCTAAAGATTGTTCAGCTTATCCCCTTTTTACTTCTCAAAATGTTACAGCCTTTGGTTGTTGTCAGCAGATAAGAAAATCTGCCTCATGTTCCCAAAAACTGCAGTTTTCTGTTGTGTGGTCATCTGGGACTCTAGGGTTAAAGAATATGTGCATTTATGGGTTTTAGCATGTGGCCTCCCAAAAGGTCCTCCCATCATTTACCCTCATCACAGTGAATGGGAGAACCCCTTCCCCAAGTCAGTCTTCGTTAATCAGTAGTTATATTTAAGAACTATAAACTAACAAGAGCTGGTGTGCCTGGTGAACACTTTCTTCCAGAAGGCTCTACCCCAGGACAGTTGCTTGCACAGTTGCACCTGACAGCTGAGCTGTTGGCCTCATGGCCTAGACTGCCAAAGACTTTGTTAAACAGACTTGACCCCCAGTTTCCCTGGCAAGTGGGAAACAAGGGGAGGTGGTCTTACCCACTGCTGAGTCCCAGTGCCAGGCAGTGGGCACCCAGGTGACCATGGCCGGACTCTGATCAGCCCTTCCTCCCACAGGAGTGCTACCTGGAGAGCGACCAGACGAGCCTCTATCACGCAGCCAAGGGGCTCATGACCCTGCAGGCCCTGTACGGGACGATCCCACAGATCTTTGGGAAAGGAGACTGCGCCCGGGTGAGAGGCAGCAGTGTTTCTGGTGGTGAAGGACAAAAGGGGAGGAGTGGAAAGCTATTTATAAACAAGTACCATCCATCCTTTTTATTTGTGAATTCACCTACTTGCTAAAATTTATTTGTAACCCTAAAATTGATACAGTGTTTTGTGGGTTCACCCAGAGTGGCAAAAAATTTGAGTTGTCCTATGTGTATGTTCTCAGCTGAAGTCAAACAAGGTGACAGTCTTCTTGTTTAGCAATCAGACTACAGACAAGTGTCCTTTCTGCCGTGCACTACAAAATGCCACCCCTCTTGTATTTTTGTGCTTTTTGGGGATGATCTTGCTGTTTAAGTTGATCCCAAGTGTAGTGCTGAAGCCCTGACTAGTGTTCCCAAGAATAGGGAGGCTGTGATGGGCCTTATGGAGAAAACGCCTGTGTCAGATAAGCTTCTTTCAGGCATGCGTGATAATGCTATTGGCTGTGAGTTCATTTTAGTGAATCAACAACATGCATTAAATAAGGTGTCTTTAAACAGAAACACATGTGAAACAAGTTTACGTATTGGTCAGTTGGTGAAAATGTTGTGACCAGAGGCTCACAGAGTCCTAACCACACATCTCCCCTCAAAGCAGTGCCTCTGTTACTCACTGATGCATTGTTCTTGGTGACTTTATGGAACAGAACTGCTTTGAAAAACAAAATAGACTGTATCTGATTTTATGCCTTACTGAAAAATAGCAGCTGCCATCAGCTAAACCATGTTGGGCTGGTTGGCCAACTGCAAATGCTTTTCTGCAGCTGCTTATTTCTTAACCACTCTCACTCTTGCACAGTTTTTCTCCATTTTTTACTTTTTAGATTGTCTTTCTGTTCTTAGCTGAATTTTGAAATCTTCTAATTCCCAGGAGGGTCCCACCTGATCCAATGTTTTGTTTCCAGCAAGTGGCCAATATGATGATCAGGATGAAGAGAGAGTTCACAGGAAGCCAAAATTCAATATTTCCGGTGTTTGATAATCTGTTGTTGCTTGATCGAAACGTGGATTTATTAACTCCTCTTGCCACTCAGCTTACGTACGAAGGACTCATCGATGAAATTTATGGCATTCAAAACAGTAAGTAAAGTGACATCTACTTTTACTAAAAGGTAGTCTGATAAACTATCCAAAAGGTCTTTTTTTTTAAGAAGGTGCCTCCTTTGCGTATAAATCAGAATATTTGAAAAAATTAAAACACTGACTTTTGGCTTTGAGACACTACATTTATACAATGTGTGGACAAGCCACTGTTGTCAGTGCACAACGGCTGGCTGCTGGCTCGTGTGCAGGACTGTGCTTGTCCGCTGCAAGCAGAGGCAGTGCGGTTTGGAGAATACAGATCTTCATGGCTGGAAGTTGTTCTGGAAGGCTTGTGGGAGAAGAAGTGACATCCATACTGGGTTTGGAAAGAAGGATAGAGTTGGGTGATTGGTTGCTGGTGGGGAACAGGCAGTATAGTCCATGCAGGATGAGGAGCCCCACCCTCTTGCTAAAGTAGAGAGCACAGTGGGGACGTATCTGGGTGAAAGACTGATACTTGAGGTTTGGTACACACAGGGTAGACTTGGGGGGACCACCAGAATCCAGGCTTGACAGATTATCACATCAGAGGTCACAGAGTTTGGCCCACGTGTGTTTGTTTCTGTCAGCACTCAAAATTTGAGAAATTTCTAATAGTAATCCAGATTTACTTATTTATAAACAAAGTATACTTTGATCATGAAAAATCAAAGCCTCAGTGCAGTATGCCATGTTTTTCTAAAGCCACCTACATTCTCTTCCAAGTTCGAAAATCCTGTTTGGTGCCTGGGCACTTGATTGGTTGTCCCAGTGAACACACACAGAATGCTTGTTTCCTTCCTTTGGTGTTCAGGTTATGTGAAATTACCCCCAGAGAAATTTGCACCTAAAAAGCAGGGTGATGGTGGTAAGGATCTTCCCACAGAAGCAAAGAAGCTTCAGCTGAACTCTGCAGAGGAGCTGTATGCTGAGATCCGAGATAAAAACTTCAATGCGGTGGGCTCTGTGCTTAGCAAGAAAGCAAAGGTGATCTCTGCAGCATTTGAGGTGAGACAATTTGGTGTCTTCCTCCTTTTCTAGGACACAGGCCCAACGGCCCATCCCACGAGGAGAGGAAGAGCTCACAGTCTGGCTGCTGGGCAGGGCTTCAGTATAGGGCACCTTCTCATCTGAGGAACCGTGGTTCAACTTCTGGAGCACCCAAGGGTTTCTTTCTGAACTTTCTTCCAAGACCTGTGATGAAAGGCATCGTGTTTTGTCCTTTTGGGGGTTGTGGAGTAGCAGTGTTTGCACTTTCCAAGAGTTCATCATAAAACATTTGTTTTACATCACTTACATTTGTTTTCTTCTTTTTCATTATTACATCCTTTGCTCAAGAGGAAGCCTGCTGTACATGAATAGGCCTTGCAGTTGGGGTAACACCTGCGGTTTGGCTGGTGTGCCTGCAGCAGGGGCCTGCGGGAGCCTGCGGGGACCTGGGTGCTAACTGGAGTGAGGTCCCTGAAGCTCAAGCTTTTGCTTTGGCGCTTCATTATCACCTTCCTGCCTCCTCTTGCCTGCCACTGGTTTATTCTTGGTTAAGCTCACTTGAAACATAGGAGTTCAGTAAGCTGATCACCTCTGAATATTTAGACTTTGCAAACATACAGCAGGAGAATTTTTGAAAACTAATTTTTCACTGAGTCTGTATTTCCAGATTTCATCTTTCTTAGGGATTATATTCATTAATTGATTTTGTGGGAACGTTTAAATGATTTAAGTTTGGTTTAAAAGATTAAGTTTTGCAAAAAAAAAACATTTTTTATCATAAGTGAGATTCACTTTGTTCATGGACAATATTCACAATTGAGCTTCAGTGGTAAGAATGGAGTTTTTTCTTTTTTAGAAGAAACTTGCTGTTTATGTTCCCCTCTTACCATAACAATATTTTCTTCTCAGAAATGTTGGTGGATAACCTCATACTGTCTCCCTCAAGTACTCAGATGTGCACAAAACACGAATCACAGCACAAGCCGACACCTAGCTTCCTAGAGGCAGGCGCTCTCTGAAGAAGTGTTATTGCAGAATCAGGAACCATTAACTTAACCTTTTCTTTTCTTTTCTGTTTTTCTTTGTAATGTTGGAGCTGGGTCTGACCTGACTTGTTGTATTTCATTCTTTTTTTCACATTAATATAAATTAAATATCCTCTGAGCAATACAAAAAGCAGAGCACTTAAAAATAGAGTATCTTCCCTGCCTAACAGTTCTGCGGTTTCATCTGTTCCAGGAAAGGCACAACGCTAAGACAGTTGGGGAGATCAAGCAGTTTGTTTCTCAGTTGCCCCACATGCAGGCAGCAAGAGGCTCACTTGCAAACCATACCTCGATTGCAGAGTTAATCAAAGATGTTACTAGTGAGTATCCTTTGGAGTGATTATTTTCTTCTGGGGCTGACTTGCCTACGTCGTATCTGACCATGGCTTTTGACACTATGATACTTCCGTGGGAAGGTCAGAGCTCTGTTTTAATATTGTATGTCATTCCCAATGTTAATTAAATGTACACATGTTCATTGTTAGAAGTGTTTCATCTGTGGTTAACTCATTTTTTTCATTATTAAAATAATGCCATCTGACAAAATATTTGGAATATTGATAAGAGAAGAAAATTCTTCCAAAAGAATTCTTCCACCATAGGAAGAGGGGTTAAATTTCTTTAGTCCATTTTTTTTCCAGTTGTTACAGATTGTTTAATTAGAACAATGTGATGTTTCTCTTTTTGTTTTTCCCTTGAAAATTTTCTGCAGAATTGGCATAGAGAGCATATACTGAGTATTTTGAAGAGCTCAGGACATGTATATTAAACCAAAGATGATTTGTTCATTAAAATACAGGCTGTACAAGCTGGGTAGATTTTCAGTGCCCTGAAATGTGTTACTTTGAATCATAAGTAAAATGCAGCATTAATAAACCAGTGCTTTGTTTTCATGTTAATAAAAACCACTTGTAACTGGGTTGAATCAGATGTTGAAATCAAGTGAAGTGCTCTGGGAAGCTATCTTTCACTGACACTGAGACTGACTCTTAAGATCTGCATCTGAGTCCTAAGGATAGAAAAAGGTTGACTGTACCTAGATGCAGTTTAGGAGTACAGGGTTGTAGGTTTTCCTGTGTTTTTAGAAGATTTTTTTCAGGTGATGATTTAGAACTTTTGCTTAATTGCTTTTTGCATGTCTTGTTTCTTAGTCATGTGCTATGTATTAAAGCACAGTTCTCAAGTAAAGTGACATATATTTAATTTCTAAGTTGTAAAACTGCTACTTACATTTTAGCTTCTGAAGACTTCTTTGATAAATTAACAGTGGAGCAGGAGTTTATGTCTGGAATAGACACTGATAAGGTATGTGAACAATAAAACTCTTCTAACAAGTAACTGATAATTTGTCAAACATACAACTATAGCTAGAAAATCAGTTGCCCTGATTCCCACACCTCTCCTGAGTATTTTTAAGGGCAGATACAAAATGTGAAAATTGGATTTTTATTAAGTAATAGATATTTAACAGCTCTATGCAAGATACTTTCTGCAGAACACAGACATGAGACCCAAGCCCTGGAATCAAAGATCTTTAAAAGCTATAGTAAACATAAATTAAGGTATTTGCTTTCTGAAATAATTGGTCATATAATTCCTTTAAATATCTACCCCTAATAGTAAATTTTAAGCTATTCAATTTATGGAAATTCCCATCTTCTAAAAACATTCCTGTTACCTTATGGTGGATAAATTGCTGCTATTCTTGAGATTGACCAAGTGACACATCCCCTAACATTCAGCAGCCACTCAGGAGGTTGTCCATAGAGACAGATGTGTCCAGACAGGCATTTGGATTGACTGAGTGTGTTCTGCTTCCTGCAAAGTGATAGTAAATATCAAGTTCTGCAGTTCCCCAAACCACATGCTAGATGCTGGAATACCGTATACTTTGTTTACAGGTCAACAGTTACATTGAGGATTGTATCGCCCAAAAGCATCCTCTCATCAAGGTGTTAAGACTAGTTTGCCTCCAATCTGTGTGTAATAGTGGACTCAAACAGAAAGTCTTGGATTATTACAAAAGAGAAATTCTCCAGGTCAGTATATTTTAAATTACTAAATATTTAAAATACAAATAACAAACTGCTATTTTGGTATATTGTTTCCACTGTCCTTTAATACCTAGAGGGGTTGTTTTTGGTGTCCATCATTGCTTACTGTGTTTGCATTAAAATAACATTTACCATTTATTGAACATTTACTGTGTGCTAGGGTCTATTGGAAGAGCTTTATGTGCATTTGCTTGTGTAATCCTCACTGCAGCTCTGTGAGTTAGATACTGTTTTCAGCCCCATTTTATGAATGAAAAACCTGAAGCAGAGAGTAGTTCTATAACTTGCCCAAGGTCACCCAGCTCATAAGTGGCAGAGTCAGTGCTAAAACCTAGGGAACTGGGGTCTAGCCGCATGTTCTTAACCAGACAGCATTCGATGGAGGAAGAGAACTTTTCTGGTAATAATTGCTTGGCCGGCTTAAGCCTATGCTACTTTATAATAAGGAAAACTTCATCATTATTTAAAAAATTCTCCCCTCTGTTGGGAAATGCCTCAGGCAGTAGTTAATTGACTGTTACCAGTTAAGTACTTTATTGTTACAACTAAATGCTTATTCATATTTCTTGGTCATCTTGGTTTTGTTTTTGTCTTTTTAAAAATTACACAAGCAAAACATGCATTCACATAATGCAGGATTCACATAATGCAGCAGCATACACAGCAAAACGTCGGCATCCCAGTGTCCCACCCCCTCCTCAGACAGGACCAAGGTCAGCAGTTGGTCTGTGGGCTTCCTGACTCCCTTTGCTTTTTATACAAAGAATGTTCACATACACAGACTTTGGGGGAGAATGGCAGGATCCAAGCCCCAGCTCTGTTATTCATTAACTGTGTGCCATTGGGTAAGGTATTTAAACTTCTCTGTAAATTGCAAATGATAATAGTAACTATCTCAAAGGGTTATAATAAGAATACTGAGTTCACATATGTAAAGCACTTAGAACAGAAATTGCCCCCCACACAGAAAGTATTATGTAAGGGTTGGCAATTAATTATTATACTATTATATTATTATACTATGTGCTGTATCTTTTTTTTTTTTTTAAGAAAATCCTACAATATATAGTATTCTATCATTACATTTTATGTCCTAAAGAACATATACAGAAGATTTTTCTTACCACAATATGTAGATCTGCCTTGGGTTTTTAAGCTTGGTATATCCCATACAAAAATATTTTTTAATTTATTTGATGTTCACCTACATTACATCCATAAATTATAACTGTCAAGTAAAAACTTTAAATCCCTCCCTCTTTGAAGCAGTGAGCTGGGTTATGTAATATGCAAGCAGTTTTAGGGCAGGATTCAGCCTCTTCCCTGTCGCTGTGCCCGTGGACAGTAATTGTCTGGATTTTGGTAACATGCCCTGGAATAAAAAAATAAAAAATCAGTGTGTTGAAGTGTGCTCTTTTGAAAGTTACAGAAGCCTTTTTCCTGATCTGACATCTAGGCCAAATGGCTTCTCTTGCAGACCTATGGCTATGAGCACATACTGACCTTATCCAACCTAGAGAAGGCTGGCCTCCTGAAACCACAGGCAGGGGGCAGAAACAATTACCCAACAATCCGGAAAACATTACGCCTCTGGATGGATGATGTAAACGAACAAGTAAGACACACTCTTCCACTTCATTTCAGTTGATTACTAGTTAATGGTTCATTGTGACAACATGTGGATCTATACATCTGCCTTGCTTTCAAAAACAATTTTCTAATGTTTTTGGAAAAGTAATGCATTCCTGTGTTGTATCTGTTGGAATCTCAGCACGAAACAGGGTACTCTCACACCAGGTAGTTTGAGGAGAGTTTCAATAGATGTGGGCAGGGTAGGAGCCCGGGAGTAGCAGCACAGTGGGGAGCCCAGACCAGCCTGGGCCTCAAGGCTGGAGGGGAATTGCTCCAGTAACTGCCTCAGAGCCTGGAGAGAAGAGCATATGGAGAGGCCTCTGGTGGGAGGACACAGCTGACCTGAAGCAGTGTCCCAGAGCAGAAGCAGGACCATCCAAGTGGGCCTCCTGCTGCCTCCAACTCTCCACTGCCTGTCGGGTGCCAAACCCAAACAGAGGGCATGAAGCACCCTGGTATGGAGCCTGTGGCCCACCTCTTGGGCACAGAGCACCAAGGAGAAGGGTGGACAGTATCTGGGAAATACCCAGCATGCGTGGGAAAAGAGCCAGCCAGAACAGAGTAAGGCAAACAGTGAGAAACAGGGTTCCTTCCACATCAGAGGCAACCACTGTAACCAGTTTCTTAGCCTTCCAGAAAGATTCTATGTATATACAAACATTTCTGCATAAATGGTGCCTATTGCATACTCTCCAAGGTAGGGTGCACTTTGCTTTACATCTTTTGTTCCAGTCTTTTCTAAATTTCTTTCTGATTTTTCATAAGAGACGTCATTGGGCTCCAACTTGTAAAAATAACTAATAATTAAACAGTCCCTTCCGTTAGCAAACTTGGATTATTTTTCCTTAGTGGGAACATAGATACTCTTAATTTCTATGTTGTACAATATAGTTAATATATTGTATTATTTGGGCTCTCTTCACCATTCTGATCTGCCTCTCCCCTGCCACCTCACACTATCTTGAAGATTCTTCTGTGATTTGCCACATTCTTTCAAGCTCTTTTTAATTGCTATCTAGTGGTGTTGCAGAAACCTGATTTATGATTTAACTTTTCTAGTACATACAATGTTGCAGTTAATATGTCTGTGCCTTGGTCTATTCTAGTGTAAGCCCCTCTGTAGTTTAAATGCCTAAAAGTAGAACTGCCAGGTTCAAGGGTTATGTACGTATTCTTCAGCTAGAGAATGCCAGGTTACCCTCCAAGAAGTTTCTTGCCAAACTAGGTAACAAGTTTTCATTTTCAGTACCTAGAGATGCTTTGAGGGGCTTTTCAAGATTTGAGTTGAAAATGAACCTTTGGCTGCTTAGAGCCCAACTGGGGCAGATTGGAGCAGGATGTTGAGGGGGTTTGCTTGTGTTTCCTCCTTCAGAGCCAAATCCGATCGTTTTGGATTACCCAGAAGGCCACAGTTTGGTGGCTCTAAATCTCTACAGGCTTTTTTCCCTTTAATTATTTAACAGAATCCCACGGACATATCCTATGTGTACAGTGGTTATGCACCTCTAAGCGTGCGGCTTGCCCAGCTGCTTTCCCGGCCTGGCTGGCGAAGCATCGAGGAAGTTCTCCGCATACTCCCCGGGCCCCACTTCGAAGAGCGACAGCCACTGCCCACGGGACTGCAGAAGAAGCGTAAGTCCGCAGCCGGCGCCTGTGCACGATTACGTTCTGTTCGTGCAGCTGTGCAGTTGCTTTGAAAAGTAAGTTGTAAAGTATCTAGACCCAGTCCTGTCTACCTCTTCTGTTGGCGGCCGATGTGCAGTGTAACTTCTGGACCGCATTATTCCCCCGAGCTCCCGCTCAGCCTCCAAGGTGAGGATCTCAGTAGTTAGAGATAAAAATCTGTTCCTAAGTTTAAAATCAACTGTACCAAGACACACTCGGTTTTTGTTTTTGTTTGCATAATGCTGGGAAGAGAAGCACCAATAATAAGGAATTCTTAACTTTGAAATATTTCAATTTTAGGTCAGCCTGGAGAAAACCGAGTCGCTCTGATATTTTTCCTCGGGGGCGTAACTTTTGCCGAAATTGCTGCGCTGCGGTTTCTCTCGCAGTTGGAAGATGGAGGTACAGAATATGTAATTGCCACCACTAAACTCATGAATGGGACCAGCTGGATAGAGTCTCTAATGGAAAAACCTTTCTAGGGCATTCAGTGTAGACTTAACCACTGAACTGCAGAATAAACTGCCCCTTTGAAGAAGTTACTGAAGGAAGTGAAACCCCACAGAAGAAAAACACAGGAATACAGAATTTCCTTTGGGGTCAATTCTGAGTTGATACTGTTTTCTCCTTTCTGCTTCTCTTTTGTGAAACTAATTTCTCGAAGAAAGAATGGAAGATCGACCCGGGCAAAAGAAAGGGCAGTTTTTAATGTTCTGAGCTCCAGATCGTCATTAGAGACCTGGAACCTGTTAAGGGCGGCAGACATGGATAATCTATGCAGGCGCACAAAACGGGGCCAGTTCTTGAGGAGGAAGGACCAAGGAGGCACAAGTGAAAAGAAAAGTGTGAAGCCCCACCCCTGATCAATAGTGCTGTGTTTCCGGAAGCCGTGGGTAAGCGTTGGGGGCTAGGGCTGCCGTTAGCACTGAGTCAAGATTTCGTTTTCCTGCACAGTATGGTACATTATATTTAGTGTCTCTGGTTTCTGCCATATCTTAAGCATTAAGGCAAGTTTTAATTCCTCTGCTTCTTTAAAGCAAGAAGTTTGAAGCCACGTCTTTTCCCAAAACAAAGTTTATCATCTGTCTTAACAGCTGAATCCATGTGGGTCCCATACTTATCAAGGGCTTTTACATTGAGGAACATGATAACTGGGGAATAGCTTCTGGACAATTTTCTTGGACACTTTTCAAAGATACTTTCTTGGTGCACATGTTACTCACTCCAAGACATTGCAGTGCATGTGGATGCCTCCACTGAAGGCTCCGTTTTCTTCCCTGCCCATGATGGGCCCCACCGCCAGCTGGTCCACTGTGAGCAGTAGTGACTCTTGCCCCTTCAGACCTTGCAACTCCAACTCCACGGTGACTGCCACTTGTACTGCTCTGTAGTCTGAGGCCAGTCCATATTCAGCCTCTTGCATTTGGTTTGCTTGAGAACACCCAGCTGTTTCAGTCCCTGGCCTGGTGACCTCGGCATCCCCTAGTGCAGCTTGTTGGTGTCCTTGGAGTCCAGCAGTCACAGCTGTTTTTTCTACAGGAGACTGTTAGGCCATGGGAGAGGGGACCAGGTGTGGTGGGGAAGTTGGAAGTCCATGTGTTCCTTGCCTCCCTTCTGCTGCTCCACCCCAGCATCTGGAGGAGTTAAGGCCAAGAAAGTGGCCAAATTGATGTCTGCACAGCCCTTACCCAAGTCTCCAGCAGAATTAGCTGGTCCCCCCTCTTTGCTGGGGTGTCAGCATCCCTCCCCAGGTCTGGTTTTGGTTGCTAATTAGTAACCATACATGTTTTGTCTTGACTTGTCATCAGTGAAATTCTGTTGGGACATTTCATGTTATGAGTAAAAAAATTCTGTGTTTCAAAAAAATGATGGGTAGAAGAGGTAATTTTTAAGAGATTTGCTTCTCATTGGTTTAATTTGGCCTTGACATCCAGTATTTGGAAGTAGTCTTAAAAAAGCTATCATGTTTTAGAAAATGCTTTCTTAGACACTTGTTTTCCCAGGGAGATCCCAGGAGAGAAGTTTATACCTCCCAGCCCCAGCAGCTGTCAGCCTCAGCTGCCTTAGAGAATGAAAACCAAGTTATCCCTCAATGTTTTTGGCTCATGGGATTCAATTCAAGTCCAGTCAAGTTTCCTTGGCTGAGGTTTTTGTCTTATGAATAGATACTCAGTTGTGTCTCATGTGTCTATATTCACTCATGACTCTATACTTGCTTGCTCAGAGCATAGTTAGGTCAGCTCCTAAAATGCATTCTGCAGAAGACTGAGAAACATCTATTGTTTCATTTGTATGCAAATAGAAAGTGGTGAATAATTATATATTATACTCCTATGTAAGTCCATTTAGTACTTGAAGCAGTCTTTGACTCAAAGAGGTATGCTCTTACTGAGAAAGGGTATGTGAATGGTACATTTATTCTTGGAGATCTTAGAGAGGGTGGATTGCTTACATCTTGTCTGGACTTTTGTTGGCTGGGTAGACAGTCCTGCTGTGCCAGCAGTCCCATAAAGAAGTCTGCAAATAAAGAAGTCTACATAGAGACTATAAACTTTTGAATTTTAGCCACCAGAGAAATAAGAAACTGTAGTTTAACTGTGGAGCATGAAAGCAATGGTTAAAAGGAGGAGGATTAAAAACAGCACATTTCAGTCTTGAAGAGAACTGGAAAGGGAGGCCTATGTCACTTCCCGCTGGTACCGCCCTCACTGGGGACGGAGTGCGGCAGTCATGACGTGCTGGTCTGTGTCTTGTCCTCGGTCGGATGTTAAAGACTGGCCTGTCACCTGGAGGAAGTGTTTGTATTCAGAAGAGTTGAATTCAAGAAGAAATGTTTTAAATACCGAAATGAACGGAGTGTCTAAAGCAGACAGCAAGAGGCACAGTGATGAAAATGACCAAGCACAGAACCACAGCCTCACACAGACTAGGAACTACTAAGGGAATTTGTGAATTTGTGAATTATACTTCGGCTGATGTATTTGTCCAGGCATTTGTGGTTTAGTGACGACATACTGTAGAAAATAGAGAATGCCTTTTTGTCAGCTGATAAATGGAGAAAAAGTCAGGAATGTAAAATTTCTCATATGCTCTTATTTCTGAATGAATGCATGTGAACTCCAAGCCACATAATGTTTCTTAGCTTCTGTTACTCCGTTGCTATAAAATACCCCAAACTTGGTGGTGACTAGAGGCTGCAAAGGCTAGAATACCTAACTCCCTTGAGACGTCCATTTGAAGGATGTGAAAGTTCATGGGGATGGAATCAGGCCTATTTTATGGCTCTTTTTCATCTGTTACTTTGGTGTGACAGAGGGTATAAATCTCAGCTGTACTTTCTTTCCTGTGAATAGGCAGGACATAGAAGCCCTTCAGATGACCAATTCTCTTGGGGAGCAATTACTACTCACTGGCTTCCTGAGCAGCTTGATCATGTTGTGCTTCTGTTTTCAGCCAGGCTGCAGCCGGGGCAATAATTTGATAATAACAGACCCTGATTAAATTAGGGAGCCATTTGCTTCTGGTTGATGATGTCGATAGAAGAGTTGGTGTCCACACTGCCTGCTTTAAAGGCCAAAAAATAGTCTAACTACAAACTACCACAAAAAGCAAAAATAATCAAAAGCAGCATAAAGTTTGCTTTCTTTTCCTTCATTGTTACATCTCAGAAAGGGTCTGTTCATTGTTTGCTGATAACTCAACTGGCTCTTTTTGTCTCACAGTCAACAAGGAGTTGAAATCAGAAGTGTGCATGTTGGGTAGGTGACTGTATGAGTCTCTAAACTGCTAAATTCTGTAAATTAGAATCAAGCTAATAGAAGCTCTTTGTTGTCTACGCTTCTGGTTCTCACATACATATATCTCACACTTACAGTTTTTTTTAATAAGGTATCACTGATACACACTCTTACGAAGGTTTTACATGAAAAACATTGTGGTTACTACATTCACCCATATTATCAAGTCCCCCCCAGGCCCCATTGAAGTCACTGTCCATCCGTGTACACACTTGCATTTTTTAAAGACATAGCTTTTGCGCTAATAGAATGTCATTTGTATGGTGGTTCTTCTAGCCTGAGACTGAGTAGGATGAGATTGCTCTCAATGTGAGTTTGTTAGAAAAGGATTTGAACTATATTCCACCTGCAGTGTTTAGAAAAGTAAGGCAAGAAGGGGCATGAAATATCCCCTGGTGTACCACTTGCTTAGCCCAACTAACTTAGCTTTGTAGGCAGCATCAGAGCCCTGTGGGCTACAGTGGTGACACAGCAGAGGGCGGGCTGGGTTACCAGTGCCCCGCCTGGCTTGCAATTGCCTGTGCGCAGTTCCCCGATTGCTCAGGGACCACGTGGAGATTGTGATTGGTCTGTAGACCACACCTAGTTGGTGAGCGCAGCTGCTGCCTGAATATCCTCAGCTTTGCTGAGATCGCTGGATTGCGCACAAGCCTACCTTCAGACACTACAACAGAGAAAAACCTTGGAGCTGCCACGGTGAAGGAGTTGTGGAAACTGCTGAGTGAGTGAAATGGGGAGAAGTGGGAAGCTAGTGGCTGGCACTGAGGGAAGTTTATGGGCAGGGTAGCAATGGAGATAAAAGAGCAGGTTTGTGATGGTTGCCATTTGATTCCATCTGTAGTGGAAGATAGCAGAGCTAGAACAGAAGCCAAGAACACAAAGGGGAAGGCGGTGAGCCCAAAATCAAAATTAGTGCCCAACACTTTGGCATTCCTGTAGTCCTGAGCCAGAAGGGCAAGCATGCCGAACTACAAAGCAAAGATGCCCAGACTCTGCGAACTAACAAGCCTTGGGGCCAGGAGGATGGCGAGGGGCTGCACTGAGGGCCTGCTGCCTTCCCCATACCCAAATGAGTCTCTCCTACCTTACCCCACAAGCAGCGCCAGTCAGCTGGGGCCACAGCTTGGAGTGACGGGAAAAGAAAGCTTTACTCCAGGCCATTAGCACTCACAACATTAAATATGCAGGAGGTGGATGGGAGGAGAAGGCGGGGATGGAGACTAATGCAGGACGGGGAGCTGGGAACAGCGGGCTTCTCCTAGGAACCCAGATCCAGATTGAGAACCTAAGAAAGGGGGAACTTTTGGTTTAAGAGAATTCTGTAACGTAAATGAAAGCGACCAGATGGTTGTTAGGGAGAAAATCAGTACTTTTGAGTTTCCTTAGTCTTGCGAAAGTGTTTACTCTGGGGGCTAGGACCCAGTCTACCCCCTATCCACACCCCCGAGAACATCTCTGGCTTAGCAGCGCTTGTTCAGCATCCGAGGAGATTGGGCATGTGAGGAAACCGTCCTCTGCGTGCTCAGGGCCTACCGAGTGCCCTGTTCCCGCAGGTCCTCGGTCCTCCCGCGCAGGGCGATGCCGGCCTCTTCCACCATCCACGTGCTGCAGCTGCTGCGGGAGCTGCTGGCCTTCGTGCTGCTCAGCTACACGGTTCTCATCGGGGCGCTGCTACTGGCCGGTTGGACCACCTACTTCCTGGTGCTGAAGTGATAGCGCCGCCGGCCCGCGCCCCGCCCTGCCCCTTTCGGCCTCCGCTGCTCCGCCCCCTCCCGCGACCTGAAGGACGCGCTCCACCCGCTAACAAGAGCCTGGCGCCCGGGCCAGGATGCTTCTCGAGGTGCGACCCCTGCCCCAGTCTCAGAGCCCCGAGCGACAGCCGACTTCGTTCCGCCGGCTCCGCGCCCGCAGGCCTGGGACCGGCCCGCGCGGAGGTTAGGGTCTGGGCACACCAGTCGCTGCCGTTACAGTCGTTAGCCAAGGTCCCGCCCCCTCCCTCTGTCCAATCCCGACTGCTCCCTTGGGCGGGGGTGTGGTCATGCGGCCAGGCCAACTTAGGAGGAGGCCACGCCTCGCCCCCAGCTCACGGAGTGGCGTCACTTCCGGCGTGTGCGTCTGGCGTCCGCTCGCCGTGGGATGGCGGCTCTGAGGAGCTGGCTGTCGCGGAGCGTAATTTCCCTTTTCAGGTACCACTGCGGTCGGGCAGAAGGGTGGGAGGGCAGGACGCGAGGCCGGGAGGGGACGCAGAGAGTACTATGGCCGGGACCGCAGCTGACCTTGCTGGAGCGCTCTCTCCCGGGCCGAGCGGTCCGCGGCGTCCCGCCCCTCGGAGGTGTGAGGACGCCGCGCCACTGCCCCTGGCCGGAGGCCTTTCGTCCCCGCGGCTTGGCTGCCCTTTGTTTCTCACACGCGGCTTTTCCGTTTTTCCACCCGCCGAAACCGAGTACCCCCATCCTTGGGCTGTCGTCTTGGGCGGCTTGGCCGACCCACAGCACCTCTTGGCCCACCTACGTCACTGGGATGAGTTGGGGTACAGGGCTGCGCAGGCGGAAGATGAAAGAGGAGGATTCCCGAGCGCAGAAGGGGCCCTTGCCGCACCCAGGGGCTCCAGGTGTGGTCCAGCGGGGACCGTCAGACTCCTTGAAACCTCGGTCAGAGGTCCAGAGCTAACTCCTGCCCGCAGAAGGGTTTGTTTTGGCCTGAGGTTTTTAAAAATTTGAGACCTACTTTAAACCTGCACAGCTGATAACATGTTACACTGTAAAACCATTGGGCCCGCATTTTCTCACGGCCGCGGTGCCCCGGAGCTAGGTGGCAGTTGCCCCCCTGAGCGAGTCAGGGGCTATCCAGTCCACCACACTCCCCACTGAGCTCTGCCATCTGGAAGACTGACCCTACATCTTCATTTAAGCTCCTCCTTGACTCGATCTTGAGTTTACAAACTCTAAAAATAAATTGAAGCGACTGTTACAGATTGGTGGCTGTGCCTTGCTAAATTTGATTTGTTTTTAGGTACAGACAGTGTGTTCCTGTTGTGGCTGACTTTAAAAAGCGCTGTTTCTCAGAATTGATAAGACCATGGCACAAAACTTTGGCAGTTGGATTTGGTGTAACCCTGTGTGCAATTCCTATCGTACAGGTAAAATACTACCGTGTCACTCCATTTTTTGTTTTTGTTTTTGTTTTTGTCTTAGTGTATTGTGTCCTCTTGAAGTCTCAGTGGGCAATGGACAAGCTTTAGTTTGACCCAGTGCTCCCATCCCCCACATGGGGTACAGTTTGTATTGTATTAGCATATTTTTATGACTGAGCAAATACATTAATATTGCCATTTGTATCACCCTATTCAGTAGGAACGGTATGTCAAGTTAGTTAAGTTGTATTAAAAAAAGAAGAGGGAATAAGAGCATATTACATACAGTCTATCAACAAAACAGTCTGTCATTCAACAGAAGTTTATTGAGCAACTCTTATATGCCATACACTGGAAATATAAAAGCAAAACAGAGTTTGTGCTCTTATAAAACTTACATCCTGGGGGAAAAAAGGGAAGAAAATAAACAAATATAAAGTGCCAGGTGATGAAAAGTGTTTGTAGAAAACAAACAGGGTAAGAGAATAGGGAGGGCTGGGAGGGAGTTGTTTTGGATTGGGTGGGCCTGTAGGACTATCTGATAAAGTGGTGGTTAAGTAGATGTCAGAATGATCTGAGAGAGTGAGCCATGGTCTTATCTTGAAGATAGGCAGAAAGAAAGGCTTGGAAGCAGGGTGTGCCTGATATATGTGATGAACAGCAAGGAGGTTAATGTGGCTGAAGTAGAATGAGGAAGAGAGAGTAATAGAGGCCAGAGTTAGCTAGACTCAAATTGTGTTTTGTCATTTTAGATCATTGTAAGGCTTTCAGTTTTATTCTAAAAAGATAGCCACAGAGGATTTTAGTCACAAGACTCTTCTGAGCTCATGTAAGTTTTTGAATGGTGCTGTGTGGATGTGGATCTAGGAAAACTAATAGGACATTGTTGCTGTAGTCCAGGCTTGGATTAGGCAGGCAGCAAGTGTAACTGGGGAGAAGTGGGCCAAATGTGGTCAGTGGTTGTGGAATATATTCCAAGGCTTTTAAAAAGCCTAAGTAACTGAAAGAATGGAGTTGCCATTTACTGGAGTGGAGGGGAGTAGGTTTTGGGAGGAGAAAATCAAGGTTCAGTTTTAGAAATGACAGTCTGAAATGCCTAGTGACATCTAGATATGTCTAGTAGACATCTAGGTAGATTTAATTAGGTGATATGAAAATGGTACCTTATTTTTAAAAATCACTGTTTATGTGCTTTATGGGGAACAGCTAAATATAAAACAGCAAATCCCATTTTGGCAAAATACATGTGTTTATCACAGAAGAGATTAATTTCATTTATGACAGGTATTTTTAGCATCTTCAGAGGCTTATGATCCCACACCTTTTTGTGCCTTACCCTCAGCACCATCTCTGCACTCGGATGAATCAGTGACCCTAAAACCCTTACTTGAACACCAGGCCATTTTCAGCCACAATTAGTACAGCCTTCTTTCTTCCTTCAAAAGAGTATTTTGGGTTTGGTCCTTTCTCAGTTGATAAACCTTTTTTAGGCCCTAGTTAGCTCTGTTCCGAGCCACATGACAGGAGCCTGTAGCCATTGTCCTGTAGGACAGTGGTTCTTCAGAACCTGCAATGGCTCTCCATTATGTGTTACAGAACTAAAATCCACCAGCTTTCCCTGCACTCCAGTGCCCTGCCCGGGTCCATCATCCTGTGCCATCCATTTTACCAAGGCTGAATTCCCGATGGTCCCCTGCATGCAAAAAATACTCTTTTCCTGGTTGTTTCCTCTTCCCCAGAGTGCCTGACTGTTCACATCCTAGCTGTCTTCAGGCCCAAGTCCAACCTCTCTTTAAAGCCTTTCCTAGTTCCTGGCCAACAGCCATCTCCCTTTTTCGGACCACTTACATATATTGATACTTGGTGATAATCCGTTTGGCACTCTTCTAAGTCAGCAGACTATAAAGGAAAGTGTACTTTGGAGATGGTGGCTTGAGGTGTAGGTGTGTATCTTTTGGGGAACATTAGTAACTACTTTGAGCTTCTATTTCATCATCTGTAAAAAAAAGTGATAAGACCTGGACTGTTGTGAGGAATGAATGAAAATGCATTGCAAAATGTATGGCATTATGAAAATAGAAGTGATCAGAATAAGTCAAAATCAGCTACTCATGAACAGAGATAATACCATTCTTTCCTTTCCAGCTCCTCAGTGCAAAATACATAATGAGTACTTAATAATTATTTGGTAGATTGAAGTATAACTGTGGTAAATAAATTTTTTCATTTGTTCATATATCAAAGATATTTCTTCACTGCTGCTTTCAACAGGCAGTGATTCTGTGTTGTCTATAATCTTAAGTAGCAAAAACAAGACAAATGATAAGAATTGGTTTCTTTGTTACTTCTGATACAGCAAATGCTCTGCTGAGGAAGAAAAAGGCAGAGTCAGGGATGACCCATCATTACAGTTGCCAATAATATTTAATCAAGGTAGACATGTTCCTTTAACTCTTCAGATAGTTATATTGGCCTTTTTTAAGGCCAATCAGCTGAGGTTAGAGTGAAGAGTCCCTGTTACCACCTCCCCTCCCCAAGACTGTACTGCTCATTCTGCTCAGAATTGCCCTCCCTCATCCACCTAGTTACTTTCTTAGACTCAGCTTTATCAACTCTGTAAAGCTTTTCTAAGCTATTCCTATTCAAGATAGAAGTGATTGCTCCCTTATGTGTGTACCTATTACAGCCCATACAGACTCCTGCCACAGCTTCCATGATATTTGACTGCAAGTTTTCTGTTAACCTCAGCTCCTCCCCCTCCCTGAAATCCTTGAGGGCAGAGAATATATCTTATCTTTATATCCCAAGCATCTGGCACTATGGTAATGAGTTAATAACTTCACAAAACTTGTTATAATTACTAGCCTTTTATATGAAGAAATACTTTGATTTTCGGAGCAGAGAATAGGGAATAAAAGTAGATGGAAAGCATACAGTAGAATTATTTCCATTGTATTGTGTTAAATAATATTTTCTTTTTAGTCTATATTTTGGCTAACACAGAAGCATAGTGTTGCAGTGTGAGAATTGTTTGTCACTTGGCTTTCTATGATGAAGTTCTCAGCCCTAGCTTTAGGTTAAAAATTGAGTGCAAATGCTTGTCTTTCAGAAATCAGAGCCTCATTCTCTTAGTAACGATGCCCTGATGAGGAGGGCTGTGTCTTTGGTGACAGATAGCACCTCTACCTTTCTCTCTCAGACCACATATGCATTGATTGAAGCAGTCACTGAATACACTAAGGTAAGTGTCCTCTTGTTAAATCTTGATCATCTAAACCAGGGTTTAGTAAACTATGACTCAGACCAAATCTAGTCTGATGCTTGTTTTTGTAGTTTTGCTGGAACATGGCCATACTCGTTTGTTTATGTATTGTGGCTACTTTCCTGAGTTACATAGCTGCAATAGAGACTGTAGGACTCACAAGGTCTAAAATATTTACTGGCCCTTTACAAAAAATGTTGACTGAACCTTGGTCTAAAAGTCAAGGGACTTTTCCCAGGAAACCTTTTTAAAAGAAAATCTTAAATAGCAGCCCAGCAGGTAAGACAGGGTACTGGGTTGATGTGGTTCATTTAGGGGTATAAAGGGGTCCAAAGTCTACTATCAGCAGTCCCAGGGCCTTCTCTGTGAGGACAGTTTGAAAACCACTTATATGAATTAGTAGATGGATAACCAAAAAGATTTTTATGTGTATTTTACTTTTATTTTTCCAGCAGCTTTTGTCTTAGCCTTCTGAGTTTCCCCTCTATATCACATTCTTCTTCTGTCTGGATTGCTTACAAGCTTTTAAAAACACAGAAACTGACAGGTAGAGATACTAATGTCCCAAAATAATGGCTTTACCTCATAGAGTAGTGCTATTTCAGTGAGGCAGAGGACTGAAGAGCCAGTTTGTAATGGGACTTCATCTCCTTGAGGTTGCCTTACTAATCCTAATATTCCTGACTTACTCAGGTTTATTTATTCTGTATTTGTAGGCTGTTTATACCTTAATTTCTTTGTACCGACAATATACAAGTTTACTTGGGAAAATGAATTCACAGGAGGAAGATGAAGTGTGGCAGGTGATCATTGGAGCCAGAGTTGAGGTAAGTAGAGTCATTAGGCATTTCAATATTGGTGCTCCTACCTCAGTAAGGTATATAAATTGCTGCAGTAAGGTGTCTAACCAGGAACCATCCTCTAAATCTGTTTTAAATAAGTCCCTTTAAATGTGCTCCATCTCTTCATGTTGTCTGAAGTGCTTTATTTTACAGATGACCTCAAAACAACAAGAATACTTGAAGCTGGAAACCACCTGGATGACTGCAGTTGGTCTTTCAGAGATGGCAGCAGAAGCTGCATACCAGACTGGTAGGTGAAAGTTTCTAATCTGAAGATGCCATTTGAGTTTTCATCTAGCTGTAAAATGAGATTTAAATGGTCTAAGGCCCATTGTATTGTAGAGCTAACTTGTGAGAACATGTTCCCATTTCCAAAAGTTAAACCAATAATTTATTTGCACAACAGAAAATATAAGTCCCCTGTAGACAAGACCAGTAGAAACTGGGTTATCAGGCTAGAATAAAACTACTATGAATTTAAAAAAATAATTGTTTCCAAATAGTTATAAATTACCTGGGTCATCAAAAAAATGGAATGTTTGACTAGTCACTGAATGACACAGTTGGATGGGACTTGAGATCATCAATCTATATGAACCTTTTTGTAAAGATGGAGAAAAGGACAAATAGGTACCATTTGTTTATATCAGTGTTTATGGTAAACAGTTTATAGGCACTTTAAAAGAGCAATTACTACCATTCCCACTTTACAGGTGAAGAAACTGGAGGGCAGGGCTAAGTAATTCACTGTGGTGAGGTAAATAAGCAGCCAGACTGGGACTCAGCCAGGCAGATCAGATTCTAAAGCCTTTGTTCCTTGCCAAGACTTCATCCTTTGAGTCTTGGTGTCCAGTATAGAAAATGCAGTTATTCATTCACTAGGGTGTTTTTGGACATCACTCTCAAACCAGTGGGCTTGAGCTAAATGGTTTTTTAATTAAATGTATTCTGAGGAAAACCATAGTTTAACATCTTACCTGGATTGGTCCAAAAATAGAGAGCTCACAGAAATTAAAGTCTAGGACCAGCTCTTATTAAGAAACTGGCATGTTAAAATACTTTTGTATCCTTTTTAAGATTTGGTGGGCTAGAACCCCTAATCTGATACCCAAAAATAAAATATTTTTTAAATAAAAAAATAAAAGAGTTCTTAGTGACCAAAACCTGGGAATCAGGTTCTGAAAACAGGATTGGTCTGAATAAAGCAGCAGTAGACGTCTGCAAGTAGCATTAAAGTAGTGCTACACCAGAGGTGAGAGCAGGGTTTCCAGGTACAGTGAAAGGAAGATGTACTGAAGTCCTGCAGCAGGAACATCCCAGGCAGCCTTCACCACCTAGCTAGGCAGGCTTATATCTAGAAGAAGAGAGGAAAAGTAAAGTGTAAGCATTACCTGAAAAAACCCATTTTCCCAGAACTGATTGTTAGCTCTTTCAAGGTTCTGAACAGAATTTTTCAAAAAGACTCAGAATGTAAAATATATAAAAATCCTAAAAAACTGTAAGAAAAAATAGATTTACCTACGAAGGAAGTATACTCTGACATCTATCTTCTTATCAGCAATCCTAGAAACAAGGTGACATCAATAATCTAGAATTTTGTATCCAGCCAAATATCATTAAAATGTGAAAGATTTTCAGACATACAAAAACTCAAAGTTTACCTACTGCAAATGCTTTCTGGGACAGCTACTCTGAAGAAAATAAATTAGGAAGAAACAAAAGATAATAACAATGAACAGAATTTAGTAAAACTTGTCAGAAGTTCTGAGTGTTAAACTTTTAAATAAATCAGTTTGGGGGAAGAAGTGAAATCATGCTAAACTTTCTTACCTTCTTTTGGGAAGAAAAGATAGTGGCTTAACATTAGATATTGGTTACACCTAAAGAAGAATGGGGTGTCAAGGGACAAAGAAAATTTGATAAATTCATTAATAGGAAAAGTTTTAGCCTGCTAACTAGAAAATGCAAAATAAAACAGAGGAACAAGTTCAGACATAAGTAATCAAGATAACTTAAGAGTAAATGTACTAAATGATACTTTTAGATTGATTTAAAAGAATAATGCTAGCTAAAGCTGTTTACAGAGACATACCTAAAACAAAATAGCACAGGAAGGGTGAAAGTTATAAAAAGATAAACTGAACCATTATTAACAAAAGCTACTAGAGCAAAAAGGGAGAGAAAAATTAAGATTTCAGTCATGAAATATGTACCTAATAAAGCAAAAACTGAGATTTACAGAGAGAAATTGAGTTTCATTCACATCTCAGAGACTCACAGTTCAAGACCATAAAATTAAAGCTATTAAAGGGTTGGAACATGAAGGGCTGGAACAGAGTGATTTTTAAAAGCTTAACCAAATCTATATATTGAAAATAAAATTTTGCCATCCCGCAGAGAAAAAAAAAATAGTCTTAGAATGGGCATAAAAACTGATTTTGTGTCAGGTGACAGATTCAGCAAATTCCGTCACTCACTCCCCCCTTCCCTGTAAATCAAAATGGAAATTTAAAGATACCTAGAACTGTGATGGCAAGTGAAGTATATAGCAGACCCAAGGAGCTATAGATGAGGGAGCTCTTGTAAATAAAAAGGACAGGAGCCATGAATGATAGGTAATATTCACTGTACCCAAAAAATAAACTTTTAACCTAGTAAGTTAGAAATATTAAAAAGAAAGAGTTAATTGAAAAGGCAAGATCTGGTTCCTTTGAAAAGAACAAACAAGATTTGGCAAGTATGACTTCTTAGCAAAAGTAACACGAGAAAGGGCTATTATAGATAGGAAGGTTTTTTTAATTGTATAAGATATTATGATCTTAATATGAATATTGGCTCAAGAAGTAAAAAATCCAAATAAAAGACCATTAACCAAAGAAGTTAAAATGGTTCTCATTCTGTTCCCCCAGAATGAACACAAAGGCCGGACTGTTTGACAAGAGAGTTTTATCAAGTCTTCAAGAAACATAATCCCTATGTTATGAAGTATAATAGTACACAAAAAATGAGTACACACAAGCCTCCCAGATATTATAATTGTATAAAGCCAGCATATGTCTCATCCCAAACTGGACTAGCATCCAAACAAAAAAGCTGTAGGTCATTATTACTTATAATATACATGTAAGTCACACTTAGCCACTTATCCTCAAAATACAATAATTCAACATTGAATAAAACCTATCAACTTTATTCACTTCTTGAAATTATCTATCTATAGTAGGTTGAGGGGGAAAAGCTACCCATGTGATAGCAATATATGCCCAAGGATCCTTCAGTAAAATATAGTATCCGTTTATGATTTAAATCTAAGTACAACTATGAATAGAGTTTTCTTAACATGATAAAGGTAAAGTAATCCTTAATAGTGAAATGTAAGAAGTATTACCATCAAGGTCAGAAATAAGGGAAGGGTGCTGCTGTTCTCTACTACCTTTCAACATTGTACTGCTGAAGGGTCTCAAGCAGTAAACAGAAAAGAACCACCCAGATGTTCTATAGATGAACTGATGCTTGTGCATCTAGATGAATTACATTAGCAGCAGGTAAAAGGAATGAGATCTCAAAAACATTTCAAGCAAAAATACAATATTGTAAAACTACGTTTGATATCTTTTGTACCATTATGTAAATTTATATTAACTGAATATTTTTTTATGCATTCATGTATATATAGTCACATTTTAAAAGATGAGAAAGATGTCCTTTAAACTTCCAACCAAGGTTATCCCTGAAGATTGGGTAGGAAAGAGACCTTTAACAATTTTATTAGTGATCTCAATTTGTCAAAAAGAAATGTATTACTTGTTTTAAAAAAATCATGAAACATCTATCTCCTGAGTTGTGTAGTTGCAATAGCCATAAAGATGATTGTAGGGATTGCATTTTATAATTATTGTGTTAGCTGCTGTTAGCTGGAGAAAAATGCTTAGGTTTTGGCAATGAAATGTAAAATACAGACCTTGAATGTGGAGGTAGAGTGTTCTCTGCAGAGAAGAGGCTGACAGGAAGGTTATGTAAAGTCTCCAAAGGGCCTCAGATGACAACCATGGAACCTTGTGACCCCAGGCTTTCCTTGTGTCCACTCAGCTTAATTGTCCCCTTCCGGCAGGAGCAGATCAGGCCTCTGTAACTGCCAGGAACCACATCCAGCTGGTGAAATCGCAGGTGCAGGAGGTGCGCCAGCTCTCCCAGAAAGCAGAAACCAAGTTGGCAGAAGCACAGACAGAAGAACTCCGTCAGAAAGCAAAGGAAGAAGGGAACGAGAGGACTGAGCCAGAGCAGGAGGCCTACCTGCGTGAAGATTGAGGGTCTGAGCTGCTGCCCCCATCTGCCCACTCAGTCTGGGGAAGCAAGGGCAGATGCCATCTGGGCCAGAGTCATCACAGCCTTCTCTACACAGAGGAGGCGGCATGTCCTGCCCAGTCTATCAGCCCAGAAGCCTTTGTGAGCCGTGAGCACTTGTCCCCTTTGCCCATGGTCTCAGGCTCCTGGCCCTGTAGAAGCCCACAGCCAGCTGGTGAGCCCCACACCCCGCTTATTAACACCTCACCCTGCTCAGCACAGCCACCCTCTCACCCTCCAGTTTTTATGTCTCCCACACAGAGCGTCTCATTAGCCTGGCCAAAGAGAGGTGTCCTTCTGCCATGCCCACCAGTTCATTAGCTGTTAAACCTGTTTCCAATCTTACATTTTCAGATACGATTTAGTATTTGCTCCCTTCACAAGGATGTGCATTTTGGGGGAAATGGGGAGCCTGTCCTGTTTGTAAGAATTATTTTTTTAAGTTTCTGATCTGGCCAAAAGCCCATTATTGAGCTGAATGCAGTGTGTGTACCTGGTGCTCTTAACAGGACATATTCCAACACATGCTTCTCGTTTCCTTATTTCAAATTTCTCTGCTGTATCTGAAATAATAATTTTTTGTATTAAAAAAAAATGTGACTGTCTTCTGGGAAAATGGCGGCTCCCGCCCACGCCCCAGAGTCCCCGCTGGCTGCGAATCTGGCTGGGGCTGCCGAGGAAGCCGAGTTCCCACCGCCTCGCCAGCTGCAGCCCCAGCGCAATGTCCTCGCTGCCCCGCGGCTTTGAGCCCCAAACTCCCGAGGACTTGGGGCCGCAGAGTTTGGCGGAGCTGCAGGAGATGTTGAAGCGCCAGGAGAGACTTTTGCGCAACGAAAAATTCATTTGCAAATTGCCCGACAAAGGTAAAAAGGTCTTAGGCTCTGTTGTCAAACTGAAAGCTGCCATTACAGAATGTGAAGAAGCTAGAGTAAAAAGTGAACTGTTTCATCCTGTTAGTGTAGACTGTAAGCTAAGGCAAAAAGCAATTGCAGTTATTGATGTGGACACGGATAAGGGCCAGAATTCTGACCAGATACTTGATACTTCATCACTAGTTCCCAGCTGTTCCTCCATAGATACCATCAAGTTATGTAAAGCAATTTCACAACAGGGACTTGTACATCCTATTCACAAAGGTGATGAAGAGGCTCCAGACATTGAGTACACAGTGAACAAGTGTCCAGCTTCCAGCAGCAGAACCAGTGTGCCTTCCTCATCTGAAGCCAGTGAGCGTCTCCCTCAGCATTGTGTTTCAAGTCAAGCAGAAGATAGTTCTAGCAGCTCTGACCACCTGTTTATTGATAGGTCACAAAGGATCACAGTTGCGGACCCAGATGAGCACCACTCACAAGAAAATACTGGTACTGAGAATGAGATAGGCTTTGGTAGTGGGACACAGAAGAAACCTCATTACATGGGAGTGCTAGAAATTCGAGCCCAAAACCCTGTGCCCCCACCACATAAATTTAAAACAAACGCATTACCTTCACAACAAAAGGATTCATTCAGTCACTGGCAGAGAGGAGGGCCCTCCGTTTCCTCAGTAGAAAGACAGCACAGGGACTAAGAAGCATCTTGATGATGTCACAGCAGCTCGGCTTATGCTGCTTCACCGTCTGCCTTCACAGCTCCTCTCCATAGAAGACTATTTGGCACTTCAGAAACAGCAGAAACAGAATTATGAGGAGATGCAAGNACAGGTAAAATACTACCGTGTCACTCCATTTTTTGTTTTTGTTTTTGTTTTTGTCTTAGTGTATTGTGTCCTCTTGAAGTCTCAGTGGGCAATGGACAAGCTTTAGTTTGACCCAGTGCTCCCATCCCCCACATGGGGTACAGTTTGTATTGTATTAGCATATTTTTATGACTGAGCAAATACATTAATATTGCCATTTGTATCACCCTATTCAGTAGGAACGGTATGTCAAGTTAGTTAAGTTGTATTAAAAAAAGAAGAGGGAATAAGAGCATATTACATACAGTCTATCAACAAAACAGTCTGTCATTCAACAGAAGTTTATTGAGCAACTCTTATATGCCATACACTGGAAATATAAAAGCAAAACAGAGTTTGTGCTCTTATAAAACTTACATCCTGGGGGAAAAAAGGGAAGAAAATAAACAAATATAAAGTGCCAGGTGATGAAAAGTGTTTGTAGAAAACAAACAGGGTAAGAGAATAGGGAGGGCTGGGAGGGAGTTGTTTTGGATTGGGTGGGCCTGTAGGACTATCTGATAAAGTGGTGGTTAAGTAGATGTCAGAATGATCTGAGAGAGTGAGCCATGGTCTTATCTTGAAGATAGGCAGAAAGAAAGGCTTGGAAGCAGGGTGTGCCTGATATATGTGATGAACAGCAAGGAGGTTAATGTGGCTGAAGTAGAATGAGGAAGAGAGAGTAATAGAGGCCAGAGTTAGCTAGACTCAAATTGTGTTTTGTCATTTTAGATCATTGTAAGGCTTTCAGTTTTATTCTAAAAAGATAGCCACAGAGGATTTTAGTCACAAGACTCTTCTGAGCTCATGTAAGTTTTTGAATGGTGCTGTGTGGATGTGGATCTAGGAAAACTAATAGGACATTGTTGCTGTAGTCCAGGCTTGGATTAGGCAGGCAGCAAGTGTAACTGGGGAGAAGTGGGCCAAATGTGGTCAGTGGTTGTGGAATATATTCCAAGGCTTTTAAAAAGCCTAAGTAACTGAAAGAATGGAGTTGCCATTTACTGGAGTGGAGGGGAGTAGGTTTTGGGAGGAGAAAATCAAGGTTCAGTTTTAGAAATGACAGTCTGAAATGCCTAGTGACATCTAGATATGTCTAGTAGACATCTAGGTAGATTTAATTAGGTGATATGAAAATGGTACCTTATTTTTAAAAATCACTGTTTATGTGCTTTATGGGGAACAGCTAAATATAAAACAGCAAATCCCATTTTGGCAAAATACATGTGTTTATCACAGAAGAGATTAATTTCATTTATGACAGGTATTTTTAGCATCTTCAGAGGCTTATGATCCCACACCTTTTTGTGCCTTACCCTCAGCACCATCTCTGCACTCGGATGAATCAGTGACCCTAAAACCCTTACTTGAACACCAGGCCATTTTCAGCCACAATTAGTACAGCCTTCTTTCTTCCTTCAAAAGAGTATTTTGGGTTTGGTCCTTTCTCAGTTGATAAACCTTTTTTAGGCCCTAGTTAGCTCTGTTCCGAGCCACATGACAGGAGCCTGTAGCCATTGTCCTGTAGGACAGTGGTTCTTCAGAACCTGCAATGGCTCTCCATTATGTGTTACAGAACTAAAATCCACCAGCTTTCCCTGCACTCCAGTGCCCTGCCCGGGTCCATCATCCTGTGCCATCCATTTTACCAAGGCTGAATTCCCGATGGTCCCCTGCATGCAAAAAATACTCTTTTCCTGGTTGTTTCCTCTTCCCCAGAGTGCCTGACTGTTCACATCCTAGCTGTCTTCAGGCCCAAGTCCAACCTCTCTTTAAAGCCTTTCCTAGTTCCTGGCCAACAGCCATCTCCCTTTTTCGGACCACTTACATATATTGATACTTGGTGATAATCCGTTTGGCACTCTTCTAAGTCAGCAGACTATAAAGGAAAGTGTACTTTGGAGATGGTGGCTTGAGGTGTAGGTGTGTATCTTTTGGGGAACATTAGTAACTACTTTGAGCTTCTATTTCATCATCTGTAAAAAAAAGTGATAAGACCTGGACTGTTGTGAGGAATGAATGAAAATGCATTGCAAAATGTATGGCATTATGAAAATAGAAGTGATCAGAATAAGTCAAAATCAGCTACTCATGAACAGAGATAATACCATTCTTTCCTTTCCAGCTCCTCAGTGCAAAATACATAATGAGTACTTAATAATTATTTGGTAGATTGAAGTATAACTGTGGTAAATAAATTTTTTCATTTGTTCATATATCAAAGATATTTCTTCACTGCTGCTTTCAACAGGCAGTGATTCTGTGTTGTCTATAATCTTAAGTAGCAAAAACAAGACAAATGATAAGAATTGGTTTCTTTGTTACTTCTGATACAGCAAATGCTCTGCTGAGGAAGAAAAAGGCAGAGTCAGGGATGACCCATCATTACAGTTGCCAATAATATTTAATCAAGGTAGACATGTTCCTTTAACTCTTCAGATAGTTATATTGGCCTTTTTTAAGGCCAATCAGCTGAGGTTAGAGTGAAGAGTCCCTGTTACCACCTCCCCTCCCCAAGACTGTACTGCTCATTCTGCTCAGAATTGCCCTCCCTCATCCACCTAGTTACTTTCTTAGACTCAGCTTTATCAACTCTGTAAAGCTTTTCTAAGCTATTCCTATTCAAGATAGAAGTGATTGCTCCCTTATGTGTGTACCTATTACAGCCCATACAGACTCCTGCCACAGCTTCCATGATATTTGACTGCAAGTTTTCTGTTAACCTCAGCTCCTCCCCCTCCCTGAAATCCTTGAGGGCAGAGAATATATCTTATCTTTATATCCCAAGCATCTGGCACTATGGTAATGAGTTAATAACTTCACAAAACTTGTTATAATTACTAGCCTTTTATATGAAGAAATACTTTGATTTTCGGAGCAGAGAATAGGGAATAAAAGTAGATGGAAAGCATACAGTAGAATTATTTCCATTGTATTGTGTTAAATAATATTTTCTTTTTAGTCTATATTTTGGCTAACACAGAAGCATAGTGTTGCAGTGTGAGAATTGTTTGTCACTTGGCTTTCTATGATGAAGTTCTCAGCCCTAGCTTTAGGTTAAAAATTGAGTGCAAATGCTTGTCTTTCAGAAATCAGAGCCTCATTCTCTTAGTAACGATGCCCTGATGAGGAGGGCTGTGTCTTTGGTGACAGATAGCACCTCTACCTTTCTCTCTCAGACCACATATGCATTGATTGAAGCAGTCACTGAATACACTAAGGTAAGTGTCCTCTTGTTAAATCTTGATCATCTAAACCAGGGTTTAGTAAACTATGACTCAGACCAAATCTAGTCTGATGCTTGTTTTTGTAGTTTTGCTGGAACATGGCCATACTCGTTTGTTTATGTATTGTGGCTACTTTCCTGAGTTACATAGCTGCAATAGAGACTGTAGGACTCACAAGGTCTAAAATATTTACTGGCCCTTTACAAAAAATGTTGACTGAACCTTGGTCTAAAAGTCAAGGGACTTTTCCCAGGAAACCTTTTTAAAAGAAAATCTTAAATAGCAGCCCAGCAGGTAAGACAGGGTACTGGGTTGATGTGGTTCATTTAGGGGTATAAAGGGGTCCAAAGTCTACTATCAGCAGTCCCAGGGCCTTCTCTGTGAGGACAGTTTGAAAACCACTTATATGAATTAGTAGATGGATAACCAAAAAGATTTTTATGTGTATTTTACTTTTATTTTTCCAGCAGCTTTTGTCTTAGCCTTCTGAGTTTCCCCTCTATATCACATTCTTCTTCTGTCTGGATTGCTTACAAGCTTTTAAAAACACAGAAACTGACAGGTAGAGATACTAATGTCCCAAAATAATGGCTTTACCTCATAGAGTAGTGCTATTTCAGTGAGGCAGAGGACTGAAGAGCCAGTTTGTAATGGGACTTCATCTCCTTGAGGTTGCCTTACTAATCCTAATATTCCTGACTTACTCAGGTTTATTTATTCTGTATTTGTAGGCTGTTTATACCTTAATTTCTTTGTACCGACAATATACAAGTTTACTTGGGAAAATGAATTCACAGGAGGAAGATGAAGTGTGGCAGGTGATCATTGGAGCCAGAGTTGAGGTAAGTAGAGTCATTAGGCATTTCAATATTGGTGCTCCTACCTCAGTAAGGTATATAAATTGCTGCAGTAAGGTGTCTAACCAGGAACCATCCTCTAAATCTGTTTTAAATAAGTCCCTTTAAATGTGCTCCATCTCTTCATGTTGTCTGAAGTGCTTTATTTTACAGATGACCTCAAAACAACAAGAATACTTGAAGCTGGAAACCACCTGGATGACTGCAGTTGGTCTTTCAGAGATGGCAGCAGAAGCTGCATACCAGACTGGTAGGTGAAAGTTTCTAATCTGAAGATGCCATTTGAGTTTTCATCTAGCTGTAAAATGAGATTTAAATGGTCTAAGGCCCATTGTATTGTAGAGCTAACTTGTGAGAACATGTTCCCATTTCCAAAAGTTAAACCAATAATTTATTTGCACAACAGAAAATATAAGTCCCCTGTAGACAAGACCAGTAGAAACTGGGTTATCAGGCTAGAATAAAACTACTATGAATTTAAAAAAATAATTGTTTCCAAATAGTTATAAATTACCTGGGTCATCAAAAAAATGGAATGTTTGACTAGTCACTGAATGACACAGTTGGATGGGACTTGAGATCATCAATCTATATGAACCTTTTTGTAAAGATGGAGAAAAGGACAAATAGGTACCATTTGTTTATATCAGTGTTTATGGTAAACAGTTTATAGGCACTTTAAAAGAGCAATTACTACCATTCCCACTTTACAGGTGAAGAAACTGGAGGGCAGGGCTAAGTAATTCACTGTGGTGAGGTAAATAAGCAGCCAGACTGGGACTCAGCCAGGCAGATCAGATTCTAAAGCCTTTGTTCCTTGCCAAGACTTCATCCTTTGAGTCTTGGTGTCCAGTATAGAAAATGCAGTTATTCATTCACTAGGGTGTTTTTGGACATCACTCTCAAACCAGTGGGCTTGAGCTAAATGGTTTTTTAATTAAATGTATTCTGAGGAAAACCATAGTTTAACATCTTACCTGGATTGGTCCAAAAATAGAGAGCTCACAGAAATTAAAGTCTAGGACCAGCTCTTATTAAGAAACTGGCATGTTAAAATACTTTTGTATCCTTTTTAAGATTTGGTGGGCTAGAACCCCTAATCTGATACCCAAAAATAAAATATTTTTTAAATAAAAAAATAAAAGAGTTCTTAGTGACCAAAACCTGGGAATCAGGTTCTGAAAACAGGATTGGTCTGAATAAAGCAGCAGTAGACGTCTGCAAGTAGCATTAAAGTAGTGCTACACCAGAGGTGAGAGCAGGGTTTCCAGGTACAGTGAAAGGAAGATGTACTGAAGTCCTGCAGCAGGAACATCCCAGGCAGCCTTCACCACCTAGCTAGGCAGGCTTATATCTAGAAGAAGAGAGGAAAAGTAAAGTGTAAGCATTACCTGAAAAAACCCATTTTCCCAGAACTGATTGTTAGCTCTTTCAAGGTTCTGAACAGAATTTTTCAAAAAGACTCAGAATGTAAAATATATAAAAATCCTAAAAAACTGTAAGAAAAAATAGATTTACCTACGAAGGAAGTATACTCTGACATCTATCTTCTTATCAGCAATCCTAGAAACAAGGTGACATCAATAATCTAGAATTTTGTATCCAGCCAAATATCATTAAAATGTGAAAGATTTTCAGACATACAAAAACTCAAAGTTTACCTACTGCAAATGCTTTCTGGGACAGCTACTCTGAAGAAAATAAATTAGGAAGAAACAAAAGATAATAACAATGAACAGAATTTAGTAAAACTTGTCAGAAGTTCTGAGTGTTAAACTTTTAAATAAATCAGTTTGGGGGAAGAAGTGAAATCATGCTAAACTTTCTTACCTTCTTTTGGGAAGAAAAGATAGTGGCTTAACATTAGATATTGGTTACACCTAAAGAAGAATGGGGTGTCAAGGGACAAAGAAAATTTGATAAATTCATTAATAGGAAAAGTTTTAGCCTGCTAACTAGAAAATGCAAAATAAAACAGAGGAACAAGTTCAGACATAAGTAATCAAGATAACTTAAGAGTAAATGTACTAAATGATACTTTTAGATTGATTTAAAAGAATAATGCTAGCTAAAGCTGTTTACAGAGACATACCTAAAACAAAATAGCACAGGAAGGGTGAAAGTTATAAAAAGATAAACTGAACCATTATTAACAAAAGCTACTAGAGCAAAAAGGGAGAGAAAAATTAAGATTTCAGTCATGAAATATGTACCTAATAAAGCAAAAACTGAGATTTACAGAGAGAAATTGAGTTTCATTCACATCTCAGAGACTCACAGTTCAAGACCATAAAATTAAAGCTATTAAAGGGTTGGAACATGAAGGGCTGGAACAGAGTGATTTTTAAAAGCTTAACCAAATCTATATATTGAAAATAAAATTTTGCCATCCCGCAGAGAAAAAAAAAATAGTCTTAGAATGGGCATAAAAACTGATTTTGTGTCAGGTGACAGATTCAGCAAATTCCGTCACTCACTCCCCCCTTCCCTGTAAATCAAAATGGAAATTTAAAGATACCTAGAACTGTGATGGCAAGTGAAGTATATAGCAGACCCAAGGAGCTATAGATGAGGGAGCTCTTGTAAATAAAAAGGACAGGAGCCATGAATGATAGGTAATATTCACTGTACCCAAAAAATAAACTTTTAACCTAGTAAGTTAGAAATATTAAAAAGAAAGAGTTAATTGAAAAGGCAAGATCTGGTTCCTTTGAAAAGAACAAACAAGATTTGGCAAGTATGACTTCTTAGCAAAAGTAACACGAGAAAGGGCTATTATAGATAGGAAGGTTTTTTTAATTGTATAAGATATTATGATCTTAATATGAATATTGGCTCAAGAAGTAAAAAATCCAAATAAAAGACCATTAACCAAAGAAGTTAAAATGGTTCTCATTCTGTTCCCCCAGAATGAACACAAAGGCCGGACTGTTTGACAAGAGAGTTTTATCAAGTCTTCAAGAAACATAATCCCTATGTTATGAAGTATAATAGTACACAAAAAATGAGTACACACAAGCCTCCCAGATATTATAATTGTATAAAGCCAGCATATGTCTCATCCCAAACTGGACTAGCATCCAAACAAAAAAGCTGTAGGTCATTATTACTTATAATATACATGTAAGTCACACTTAGCCACTTATCCTCAAAATACAATAATTCAACATTGAATAAAACCTATCAACTTTATTCACTTCTTGAAATTATCTATCTATAGTAGGTTGAGGGGGAAAAGCTACCCATGTGATAGCAATATATGCCCAAGGATCCTTCAGTAAAATATAGTATCCGTTTATGATTTAAATCTAAGTACAACTATGAATAGAGTTTTCTTAACATGATAAAGGTAAAGTAATCCTTAATAGTGAAATGTAAGAAGTATTACCATCAAGGTCAGAAATAAGGGAAGGGTGCTGCTGTTCTCTACTACCTTTCAACATTGTACTGCTGAAGGGTCTCAAGCAGTAAACAGAAAAGAACCACCCAGATGTTCTATAGATGAACTGATGCTTGTGCATCTAGATGAATTACATTAGCAGCAGGTAAAAGGAATGAGATCTCAAAAACATTTCAAGCAAAAATACAATATTGTAAAACTACGTTTGATATCTTTTGTACCATTATGTAAATTTATATTAACTGAATATTTTTTTATGCATTCATGTATATATAGTCACATTTTAAAAGATGAGAAAGATGTCCTTTAAACTTCCAACCAAGGTTATCCCTGAAGATTGGGTAGGAAAGAGACCTTTAACAATTTTATTAGTGATCTCAATTTGTCAAAAAGAAATGTATTACTTGTTTTAAAAAAATCATGAAACATCTATCTCCTGAGTTGTGTAGTTGCAATAGCCATAAAGATGATTGTAGGGATTGCATTTTATAATTATTGTGTTAGCTGCTGTTAGCTGGAGAAAAATGCTTAGGTTTTGGCAATGAAATGTAAAATACAGACCTTGAATGTGGAGGTAGAGTGTTCTCTGCAGAGAAGAGGCTGACAGGAAGGTTATGTAAAGTCTCCAAAGGGCCTCAGATGACAACCATGGAACCTTGTGACCCCAGGCTTTCCTTGTGTCCACTCAGCTTAATTGTCCCCTTCCGGCAGGAGCAGATCAGGCCTCTGTAACTGCCAGGAACCACATCCAGCTGGTGAAATCGCAGGTGCAGGAGGTGCGCCAGCTCTCCCAGAAAGCAGAAACCAAGTTGGCAGAAGCACAGACAGAAGAACTCCGTCAGAAAGCAAAGGAAGAAGGGAACGAGAGGACTGAGCCAGAGCAGGAGGCCTACCTGCGTGAAGATTGAGGGTCTGAGCTGCTGCCCCCATCTGCCCACTCAGTCTGGGGAAGCAAGGGCAGATGCCATCTGGGCCAGAGTCATCACAGCCTTCTCTACACAGAGGAGGCGGCATGTCCTGCCCAGTCTATCAGCCCAGAAGCCTTTGTGAGCCGTGAGCACTTGTCCCCTTTGCCCATGGTCTCAGGCTCCTGGCCCTGTAGAAGCCCACAGCCAGCTGGTGAGCCCCACACCCCGCTTATTAACACCTCACCCTGCTCAGCACAGCCACCCTCTCACCCTCCAGTTTTTATGTCTCCCACACAGAGCGTCTCATTAGCCTGGCCAAAGAGAGGTGTCCTTCTGCCATGCCCACCAGTTCATTAGCTGTTAAACCTGTTTCCAATCTTACATTTTCAGATACGATTTAGTATTTGCTCCCTTCACAAGGATGTGCATTTTGGGGGAAATGGGGAGCCTGTCCTGTTTGTAAGAATTATTTTTTTAAGTTTCTGATCTGGCCAAAAGCCCATTATTGAGCTGAATGCAGTGTGTGTACCTGGTGCTCTTAACAGGACATATTCCAACACATGCTTCTCGTTTCCTTATTTCAAATTTCTCTGCTGTATCTGAAATAATAATTTTTTGTATTAAAAAAAAATGTGACTGTCTTCTGGGAAAATGGCGGCTCCCGCCCACGCCCCAGAGTCCCCGCTGGCTGCGAATCTGGCTGGGGCTGCCGAGGAAGCCGAGTTCCCACCGCCTCGCCAGCTGCAGCCCCAGCGCAATGTCCTCGCTGCCCCGCGGCTTTGAGCCCCAAACTCCCGAGGACTTGGGGCCGCAGAGTTTGGCGGAGCTGCAGGAGATGTTGAAGCGCCAGGAGAGACTTTTGCGCAACGAAAAATTCATTTGCAAATTGCCCGACAAAGGTAAAAAGGTCTTAGGCTCTGTTGTCAAACTGAAAGCTGCCATTACAGAATGTGAAGAAGCTAGAGTAAAAAGTGAACTGTTTCATCCTGTTAGTGTAGACTGTAAGCTAAGGCAAAAAGCAATTGCAGTTATTGATGTGGACACGGATAAGGGCCAGAATTCTGACCAGATACTTGATACTTCATCACTAGTTCCCAGCTGTTCCTCCATAGATACCATCAAGTTATGTAAAGCAATTTCACAACAGGGACTTGTACATCCTATTCACAAAGGTGATGAAGAGGCTCCAGACATTGAGTACACAGTGAACAAGTGTCCAGCTTCCAGCAGCAGAACCAGTGTGCCTTCCTCATCTGAAGCCAGTGAGCGTCTCCCTCAGCATTGTGTTTCAAGTCAAGCAGAAGATAGTTCTAGCAGCTCTGACCACCTGTTTATTGATAGGTCACAAAGGATCACAGTTGCGGACCCAGATGAGCACCACTCACAAGAAAATACTGGTACTGAGAATGAGATAGGCTTTGGTAGTGGGACACAGAAGAAACCTCATTACATGGGAGTGCTAGAAATTCGAGCCCAAAACCCTGTGCCCCCACCACATAAATTTAAAACAAACGCATTACCTTCACAACAAAAGGATTCATTCAGTCACTGGCAGAGAGGAGGGCCCTCCGTTTCCTCAGTAGAAAGACAGCACAGGGACTAAGAAGCATCTTGATGATGTCACAGCAGCTCGGCTTATGCTGCTTCACCGTCTGCCTTCACAGCTCCTCTCCATAGAAGACTATTTGGCACTTCAGAAACAGCAGAAACAGAATTATGAGGAGATGCAAGACAAGCTTGCAGCACAAAAATTAGCAGAAAGACTGAATATTAAAATGCAGAGCTATGCTCCAGAAGGGGAGACTTGGAGGAAATACCACGAAGGGATGAAGATGATGATCCGTCCTCCGACGACGAATTCTGAAGTGGGCTTTGGGATAAGCTCCTACATCTGTGCCTGTTGAGATGTCATTATCTTAGATCAGACTTGCTAACAAGTATCAAGATCAGTGTCAGACATTGAGGGAAAGAATTTATAAGGTTATAAAAAAAGGTAGCTATAAAAGTAGCCCAGTTTGTCTTTCAGAAGATAACTGTGCTTGAAAAGTTTCATATTTGAATATTGTGTTTAGTCACGTATTAAAATTTCGCAGTATGTTGTGTGTTGGTCTGATACTTAGTATATAGTAGAGCACATTTTTTTCCTATAAACCAAATGGAAGCAGAGCAGTGCTGCTTTCCTTATTCTTATTACCTCTATCAAATAGCATTTATTACATCTTTCAGTGAAAAGCATTTAGTTGTCCCATGCACCACCTAAAGTGAATTAGGAAAATATAGTTCCCTCCTTGTCTGAGTAATGAAGGGTATTAGAGATTTTTGTGCATGTTTGCATCGGGTTATTGAGGTATTGGATGTGAACTGCTAAGGAAGACACTCAGAAAATGATTACGTGTTTGTTTCCTCCTGTCTTCCCCTTAGGAAGAATGTTATCTTTCTTTTGAGTAGGAACAGGAGTACTTTTAGTTGATGCTGGAGGGTGGACAGTCTTTCTAGATGATGAGATTGACTTGGGGTACTGTGAGGTATAGAAAAAAATCTGAGATGACTGATGTAGGTGAAGGGAGAAGCCGTTCTTATGCTTCACTTGAGTTCATTGCTCTAATAGATGATAGGTTTAGTTTGGTAAAAAAACCCAGGTTTGTTTTCTTCAAAGCTACAGTTGAATTGTCATCAATGTAGCTTTTTTTCCCCAAAAAAGGCATATGTAGGCTGCAGAAACTTCAATTTCATATATATAATTGTTTATGTAATTTTAAGTGATCATAGGATTGTCTCTAGAGAAATTAACACTTATCAAAGATTTCTTTGTCTAATATGTTGGAGCCTTTAAACAGTGTTGAAAGGAAGAATAAAATAATTAGAGCAAAAAAAAATGTGAGTCTTTTGGGGCCTTCTGCAGCCTCTCCCCTGCACACCTGTGTCCTGATGATAGAGCCCCCAGGGGCACAGGAATCTTCCCATGTCTTCTGCCGGCATTTGCTACGCTTTGGCTCCCACTGAACACATGCTGGTACAGGTCAGCTGGGTTTCAGTGTTCTTATCAAAGTCAGCAAGGTTTGGGGGAGGGGGTTACAAAAACGAAGGTAGCATTTCCTATAGATCCTCAAGGGACATGTGTCAAGGTTTTCGATTTCTCATTGTGACAGGAAAATCAAGAATCCACTCAACCTACCCCACAATGTTGGGACAAGGGAGCAGCTGTGTACTTGAGCCCCTCATCTGTCATCAGAGTCCACATGGACCACGTCTCCAGGGGGCTGAGGCAGTGCCAAGAGCCCTCTGTATAGACAGGTCCAGGGGCTGCCAGATTCCAAATGTCTTGAAGCCAGCATGGTGCAGGGGGCTCAGGCCCAGCTTCCTCAGGCACATGCTCACAGACACCATCAATGGAGAAGAGTTCCACTACTCCTTGGAGGTGCTGTATGGTGGCTCTGGACATGACATAGCCTCCGCCCCCAGTATAAGGCGGGTAGTGGTGGGCCCTGTACATGAAGGGTGGAATGAAGTACTTAATCTTGGTGTTCCTGTTGAGCAAGGCCTGGCGGATGACATCTCCCACCAGGAGGTCCTAGGCTGGGTTCCAGTCACCCAGGAACTCCAACACATTAGGGACATGGATAAAGACAACATCATCTCCCTTTAGCATGAAGTGGGCCTGGGGCAGGCAGCTGCCACCCAGTGCTGCAAGTATAGCTCCTTGAGTGTCAGGTTGAAGAAGTCCTCAGCAAAGTCCCACTAAAGGATATCATCAAACTCCTGGCTCTCACAGGCCAGCAGCTGGGCACAGGCTCTGCCGCCCCTAGGAGAAACCCCAGCTTCAGCTGCTGGACCCTGGCCCAGCCCCCCATCCAGCCCCATGTGCTGCGGATGGCTGCACACTGCTCCACATGGCCAGGCTGTGACTTGATGGCCCGGAGCAGAAAGGTGTCCTCAGCACAACCAGAAGGCGCCAGCAAGATGGAGAAGTTGCAGCAGTGGCGATAGGTCAAGAAGAAGCAGTGATGGCTAGGCAGGGATAGGGAGGCATTAGCCACCATATGGTTGGGTAGACACTGGCTGCGGCGAGGCCCTAGAGGAGCCCAGAAGGGCTGGTGGGCCAGGGGACCCCCCCACTGGCTTGGCCGCCACCTCCAGGAAACGCAGACAGCTAAGCAGCAACCCAGCAAGGATGTACAGGACCAGCCAGCCCAGCCTGTGGAACATGGCAGGTCCTGCAAGGAGAGAGCACATGAGTGGGCCCAGCACATCCCTGCTGGCCTTCGGGACTTGCTTTATTTCTTTTCAGTGTGTCCCTCCTGCAGAGGACAGGCTCTGCCATCCCTCTCCTGCCATCATCAAAGGGCTTTTGGGTCAGCTTCTCCCCTAAAATGACTTGAAGCCACTGTAAATCCGAGGAGCCCTGAGCATTTGCACATTTCCCAGAAAACTCAAGTACTTTATGAGCTTTAGTGAAAATGCCACAAAGCTACTTTAGGGTTTTTTTTTACTTTAATTCTAAGCATGAAACCTGACATTCGGGGCTTCTTGGGCTAAAGTCAAACCATGTCCCCAAAAAGCATCTGCAGTCTGGTCTGTGGCGGGGGGCCCTGTGTTGGGTTTGTCAGAGATGACCAGCCCCAAGCAGGGTGCTCCGGGAGTTTACTCCTGGAGGGAAAGGAAACCATGACAGAGCAGCGTGTGGCTGTGGCCTCTGCAGAACACCGTATCTGCCCAGTGTGGCCTGAGCTTCTTGGAGAAGTCAAACGGGGCTTTAGGAAAAGCAGGAAGAGCATGGAGGAAAGCAAGTAGGGAAGCCGGAGGCTTGCACCAGGGATGGCTCCCCTGGAGCTGCCCCTCACTCGTCCCTGCCACTTAACTAAGTTCTGGTTTTCTCTGAGTCTCCCAGAAATCCAGGGGGAAGGCTGAGAAGCCATAACCAGCAGAGCAACCTGCTCAGGCAGCAAAGCCAGGCCTCAGTCCTCTTTTCACCTCCACTGCCATGTCTGGGCCTATGGGGCTTTGCTTCTGTCCTGTCCACCTGCACATGAGCCTCATCCCTGCTGTCCCTGTGGCCACTGCCACCAATCTATTCCAGCTGCCAGGAATGCCACTGCCCTTAGATAACCACACAAACAACAACACATGAGACTGTCAAGGAGAAAGTAAAGCAGTGTAATGGCATGCAGTGACTGAGGAAGGTTTAGTGCATGGTAGTTTAGAAAGACCTTGGTAAGGACATTTGAGAACTGAATCAGGGATGAAATCACATAAAGATCTGGGGAAGTGTGTGCCAGGCGGAGGGAAGTTACGCGCAGAGTTCCGGAAATAGTAGTAGGCAAACTGTCAGGACCGGTGGAATGTAGTGTGGCTGGAGCGCAAAGAGGAACGTGGTAGGACGTGAGGCAGGGGCAAAGCCTAAGTCTGCACACATGCAAGGGCCATGGTGGGGGGTTGGGCTTTATCGTAAGCGCCCTGATGATCAGCTGGAGGACTTAGCAGAGGCAGTAGACGATTTATTGTTTGAAAGGCTACTGCTGCTGTTGAGAATGGATTGTGGAAGGGGCAGGAATGAAAACAAGACCAGAAAACTTGAATTAGTCAAGATCCAAGACACGGCTGGGACTTGGTGCTGGCAGTAGAAAGGGTAGAGCTAGATGGATTCCAGGTGTGGAAGACGGATTTCAGATAGGGGAGATAATGCCAGCTGGGGGTGAGGAGCCCCAGGTGAGGGGTGGTACCATTTCCCGAGAAGGGTGCAAAGCTAGCCATTTGGTTTTGCCTGTGCGTTTCAGAGGCCCAGGCTGAGATGAGCGGTGCACCCCATAACCCGTTTGCCCACAGCGCCCCACTGCCGGAACTAAACAGCAATTCCCCGCGTGGGGCCCCGATATTTAGGCTCCGTTGGGCCCGAAATACGGGCCCCATGTCCGCCACTCCTCTCCACGCCGCAGACCTACTGTGAAACCTGTATCAGTACCACCTAAGCATATGTCTCCCCCATACTGTGACCCCTAAGAGCCTGGTTCTTAACTCGGCTTCGGCAGGGGCTTCGGCGACCGCACGACCCCCCTCCAAGCGTGGTGCTGAGTCCTAAGAGTCTGCAGTTATTTCACAGGTGTCAGCGGGCTCGGGTCCTCAGGGCTCGGTGACCCAACACGGTACGAAAAGGGAAAGGGCCAATGGCTGGCTCATTCTTTCCACGCGACAGTCCCCAAAGGCTTGCTCGCCAAACCATGGCACAGGAGCCCCCGGGGAACACCCCTCTCGGGCCTGAACACAGCCAGCAGTGCGGCCCGTCCAGGTGCCCGGGGCAAGCGGCACAGGCTGGCCGCGTCCACCCGCCCGGCTCCGGCCACGCAGGCCCCAGCGGGGCGAGCAGAAGTCGCCAACCGGCCCGCAGGACAGCTCGCCGCGGCCCGGCCTGGCGTCCTTGCGGACCGCCAGCAGCGGGGCTCCGCGCACCCCAGGACCGGCATGACTCGCCCCTCGAGGACCTACCTGAGCCGTGACGCCACGTGGGGCACAACCGAGGAGCTCGCCCCGCGAAGCCGGGACCCAGAGAGCCAGGGCACGCGTCTGGCCGGGCTCGGGCGGTGGGCGTGTTCCGGCTGCGGACCGTCCGCGCTGGCCACGCCCCTTGAGTCCCCAAACCTAACCCCGGGGCGTGGCCTCTAGGGGGCATGGTCTCCAGGGGGCATGGCTTCTGGGGGCGGGACCTCTCGGCGCCTGCGTACCTCCTGGAGAGGTCTCCCCGCTCCCCCTGCCGGACTCCCAGCTCCCGGCGGACCGAATCCGCCACCCCTAAGCCGCAGTTCCTCGCCCGACCCCAGCTGGACCCCGCGCCTCCGGCCAAACCACAGCCCCACGGCGGGATCCCTGCTCCCCGGCAGGATCTCTCCGCTCCGACCTCCGGACCCCCTGGTCCCGCTCCCCCGGATCCCCCGCTCCCCCCACCGCCCCGGCCAGACCCCAGCGCCCGGGCGGCGGGACGGATGCGGAGCCGTGGGCTTGGGACCCGCTTTACTGGGCGTTACAAGGCGAGCGCCCGAAGCGCCTCCTCGGCTGAGCGGCACTGCTTCAGCTGGATCTGGACTTCCACCGACAGGGGCTCTGGCTGGTAATCGCTATCGTACATCGCAGCCATAGATTTCCGATTTTCTAGAAAAAGAAAAACCACGAGTATGTGAGCGGGCCGGCCTCAGTACGAGCCCCCCAAATGCACACCTGTCCCCGATCCCGAGAGCAGCGCAGTTTCGGAATCTTGAGATTCTGCTCTCGGGTCTTAACCGCAATAAGGAACGAAATTAAGTCGCATCGAATTAGATCACTTAACAGATGGCAGCTGTTTGAGTTACGACATGTACTAGCTGCTTTTTCCTTGGAACATCAATGTCCCTTGAAAGAACAATGACAAACTACGATTATTCAGGCGTGAATACTTGGGGGGTATTTTCTTAAAAACGAATGAAGTAAGCCTGGTACTTCAGAGAAAACCACTGAAAGCATTTTGATACATTTGTACCACTTGAGCTTTCAAGTGGAAATCAGAACTTTGGAACATAGGATCTGCCACCATAGGCTTAGTTTTCCTATACTCAAAGACTTACCCAATGATAGGGGCGGTGACAGAGAATGTGATTTGGGGATACTGTATACTTAAATGTGTCAACAGTTGGAAGAGCTGCATACCTCAGTGAACCAGTAGTTTACAAATAACCAGTGCCTGGTGTTACAAATTGTGTGTAAAGTAGCTGTTCAAAATGTAACGTTAAAAAAAAAAAAAAAAGCAATGTAGACCAGGGGGCTTTAATCTAATTATGAAAATTTTCATCCATATAGATTTTCACTCTAGAACTAGTTGCCAGATTTGATGTAATATCAAAGAATACCCAATTACTTGAAAGCCTACTAAATATTCCCCTCTTTGCCAGTCACAAAGGACAAAAGGCTGGGTTTTCTTCATACTCAACCACAACATACCTCACAAGACACTGACCCCAGAGCAGCTATGTGTATGCAGCTGTCCTCTGAAGCCAGACATTAAATTTGCAAAAATGCAAAAAATATATACATTTTTAAACCATCTTAACCCCACAGGTCCATCACAAATCAAGAATCTGTGTTTGTATGGGTCTTTAAGTCTGGCAGTGTAAGTAAGTCTTTTGTTCTTTTTCAAAGTTGTTTTGGCTATTTTAGGTCCTTTGAATTTCCATGTGAACTACAATCAGCTTAATGATTTCTACCAAAAAAAAAAAAAAAAAAAAAGCTCTCCAGGATTGTGATTGAGATTATATTGAGCCTGTAGATTAAATTGCGGAAAACTGACAGCAATATTGAGTCTCCTGAACCATGAACATAGTACATCTTTCCACTAATTCAAGTCTTTGATTTTTCTCAGCAATTTTGTAGTTTTCAGTATACAGGACTTCATCTTTTTCAAATTTTTCCTTATTTTATATATTTCAATGCTGTTGTAAATATTATTGTAAAAACTTTCAATATCTGCTTATTCATTGTGGTATATGGAAATAGATTTTGAAAACTGACCCTGTCTCCTGCAGCCCTATTAGTTTCAGAGGCTTTTGTAAATAATACAGGCATGTAGTGCTGTAAATTTCTAAATACTACTTTAGTTATATCCTACCAATTTTGATATTTTATATTTTCATTTTCATTCAAAATGCTTTCTAATTTCCTTTTTTATTTCTTCTTTGACCTATCATTTCTTTTACTTTTTTTTAACATTTAAAAATGTGTTATTTTGAAGCCAGGTGGAGAAAGACAAGTACCAAATGGCTTCACTCATTTGTGAAGTACAAACCAAAACTGAAGGAACTAAACAGCAGCAGACTCACAGACTCCAAGAGGGCACTAAGGGTTACCAAAGGGAAGGGGTTGGGGAAGCTGGGTGGGGAGGGAGGGAGAAGGGGATTAAGGCGCATGAATGATTAGCACACATAATGTAGGGGGCTCACAGGGAAGACAGTACAGCACAGAGAAAACAAGTAGTGACTCTATAGCATCTTACAACGCTGATGGACAGTGACTGCAATGGGGTGTGTGTGTGGAGGGACTTGATAATATGCGTCGATGTTGTTACAACGTTGCTCATGTGAGACCTTCATAAGATAGTATATCAATGATACCTTAATTTAAGAAAACCATAATACACTCTTAAAAAATGTATTATTTTGTTACCAAAAATTTGAGGATTTGACAAATATGTTACTGATTTCTAATTTTAATTCCACTTTGGTCATACAGGATACTTTCTGTGACTTGAAGTCTTCTAAATGTACTGAGACTTGTATTAGAGTCCAGATTATGGGATACCTTGGTTCTGTGTGCACTTAAAGAATGTGTATTCTTGTTATTGACTGTAGTGCTCTATAAATGTCCATTAGCTAAGCTGACTGGCAATAGTGATTGTTGCTGATTTTCTGTCTACTTGGTCTATCAATTACTTAGGGAAGTTGAAATCTCTGAATATCATTTTGGATTTATCTACTTCCATCAGCTTTTGTGTATTTTGAAGCTCAATTATTAGATATATAAGCTTAGGATTGTTACATGCTCTTGATGAGTTAACTTCTGTATTATATAACCCTTTTTCTTCCTAATAGGCTTTGCTCTCAAATCTTTGTCTGACATTTATACAGCCACTCCCATTTTGACTATTGTTTCCATTCTTTCATTTTTAGTATTTTTGTTATCTTTATATCCAAAGTGGATTTCTGGTAGGCAGCATATAGTTGGTTCTTCCTTTCTTATCCAATCTGACTGTCTCTGCTTTTTAACAGGTGATGAGCTCGTAGTCTGGGGAGGTGGCAAAGGAGACAGAGAGGGGAAGAGGAGTAGACTCAGGTGGCAATGGGCAGGTGACAAAAGGCTTCTTGGATTTTCCACATGCTTCACCTTCCCATGCGCAAAATGGTGTTCATTCCCCCAGAGCAGCTTCTTGACTGTGTCCCCCATTTGCCAGCCCAAGGCAGACACCCCTCCTGCTTCCCATGGGTCACAGGCTCAGCCTGTTCCACGTCCCTGATTACTCTCAGATCCAGCTCCTTTGCACCATTCCGGCCACCGATGTCTAAATCCAGGCCCTTATCATTTCCTCCCTTATGCTTTTTTTTAGGTGGATTTCTTTTTCACTGAGAATAAAATTCTCACAAAATTCAACATTTTAACCATTTAAAAATATTCAGTGGTCTCTAGCACATTCACAATGTTGTATAATCACCACTACTAGTAATTTCAGAAGATTTTATCACCCCAAATGGAACCCTGTGCCTGTTAAGTGACCCCCCAGGTCCCCCCATCGCACCCTGCAGCCCCTGGCAACCACAGGTGTGCTTTCTGTCACCATGGATTTGCCTATTCTGGACTTGCCATAGATGGAGTCCTACTCTCTGTGGTCTTCTGTGACTGGCGCCTCACTCAGCAGCATGTTTTCAAGGAGCATCCATGCGGCAGCAGTGCCCATGTTCATTCCTGTGTGCGGCTGAATCACATTCCGTTGTGTGGACGGACGGTGCTTTCTTGCTTTCTTTATGTGTCCGCCCACTGTTGGGCTCCCACAGGCAGCGCCACTCTGACTTGCCCTGTACTTGGCAGCTGTCTGCCAGCTGGCCTCCCTGTCTCCTGGCTCTCCCTCCAAGCCAGGCAGTTCTTTCTAAAACCCAAGTCTAAACTTACCTATTTCAGGTACTTCAATGGCTGCCCCTGCTGTACAACAAGTCCAGGCTCCTCGTGTGGCAAATAAGGGCTAGTGACCTGGAGCTGAGGCCAGGCCACCCTGAGCCGGGACCCTGGGTCAGCCCCACCTCATCCTGGCTCCTGCCCCGCGATGCCCTTCCTGCCCAGAGCATAACCCACAGCGGGCCACTTTGTCTCTAGGCCACAGGGGAGGCACAGGGGTGGGTCCTCAGGCGGGCATGGCCTTCCCAGTGGCCGGGAGATCCCGTTCTCCATTCTGCCATGTCTTTGGTCCCGAAACAGGCTGATCCCTCAGAAGGTACTACTAGGGTCTGAACATCCATCCCTGCCCCAATTCATATGCTGAAATCCTACCCACCCACCCCCAAGGCGGTGGTGGCAGGCTGTGCGCCCTTCCAGAGGGCACAGCCCTTGTGAATGGGATTAGTGCCCTTATAAAAGAGGCTGGGGGGAAAAAAAATCACCAGCAATCACAAAATAAATAAATAAATAAAATAAAAAAGTTCATGACAAAGAAATGAGATATATATATACCCTTTCACCACCTGAGGACACAGTGAGAAGGCGCCAGTCATGAAGCAGGAAGACGGCCCTTACTTGACGTTCCTGGCACCTCGGACTTTCCAGCCCCCCGAACTTTGAAAAATCACATTTGTTGTTTCTAAGCCCCTCAGCCCATGGTGGTGTTACAGCAGCCCAGATGGACACAGACAGGGCCTCAGAACACTCCCTCCCCTCAGTTACCATCATTGGCTCTTCTTACCTTTTTTAGCTTTCTTATTCTTTGAATCCTGAGAGAGAGACAAAACACACACACTCAAAATAAGATGCTCACTTGTCTGTGGGGAGGCTGGGAAGGGGTGGATGCAGATTCCAGGGCCATCTGTGGGAGGCTCCTGTCCCCACCCATTGCTCCTGTCTAGGGGGCAGGGCAGGGTCTCCCAGGGGGAGTATGCCACCTGCCCATCTGCCTCGACCCTCCCACCTGACCAGGCCCGTGAGGTGCCAGGAGCCGGCAATGCTGGAGCCTGTGTCTGGGCAGCCCGACCGCCTGCGCATTCGGTCCCTGCCGTGCTGGGGCCTCTGGAGGGGCTGGGAGCTCAGAGCTTCCCCCACCCCAGCCTGACCCTCTCTGCCCAGAGCCATTTCTGGGGCGGGGGGAGTTGCAGCAGGGGCCCTCCCGTACCCTGATAAACGTCAGCCTGTCAGAGTCCAAGGTGCGGATCACCCCAAAGTTGCACACGGTGGACACCAGCGGCTCCCCCGCCAGCAGGGACTCCAGGGCCACCATGCCCTCGCCCAGCACCCGCAGAGTGGGCGGGTCCTGGCGGAGGTGTTTAGGAAGCTCCTCCTTCTTGGATCCCTTCTGATTCTGTGGAGTGAGGCTAGGAGGTAGACAGCCTGCAGAGATGGGCAGGAGCACGCCACGCTGGCCCAGCAGCCCGGCCTTACCTTAACCAGCTCCTTCTCCCCTTTCGCTGCCTTGTCTTTCCTGTCTTTTCCCTTCTTGTCTTTCTCTTCTTTCTCCTTCTTCCCTTTCTTGTTCTCCCCTTTTCCTTTCTTGGCAGGCAGGGGACCATCAACAGCAGACAGCACCGTGGGCCAGGAGAGAATCTAGGGGACAACAGAGGCCAGGTTAGGGCCGGCTGGGATCTTTCTGGAAAGGCACTGAGACTGTGCCAACAAGGAGGCAGGGCTACAGGGCAGCCTGGCAGGAAAGCAGGACAGTGGAGAAGGGACAAGGTGTCTACTGTGGAGAGCGCTGGCACCCACCTTCTCCTCCACGATGGTCAGGGTGGTTCCTGCCAGCAGGAAGGCTCTGAGTGGCACCAGGTCCTTGAGGGTGTGCTGCATCTCGTAGTTGCAGGCGATGACCTCAGCCCAGGGCTTGGGGACTGTGCTGAAGAGAACTGTCCTAGCGACGGGGAGGTGCAAACATGGATGCCATCACCCAAGGGGCACGGCTGGACCCGGGGCCAGACTATGACCCGCACACAGTGCACAGGAGCCCGGGGGGCAGCCAGGAGGGAGAGCAGGGGCTGGGGACCAGGAAGGGCCTGGGCATGGGGAGAAAGCCAGACAGCCAATGCCATGAGAAGGCCATACAGGGGCATGGCTGGACCGCAAGGGACACTGGCCAGACACAAATCACAAAGTTTTTAAAAGTTTGGCAAAATGGTTGTAAAAAAGCAAAATAATTACAAATTCCGACTCATTACAAAATGCCAGTCAAAATCATCTTGGGATGCCACAGGGTTGATAAACCGAGTGTGGAAATTCACTGAAAGGAAAAGAAGGAATTCCAAAAAATATACCTTAAAGGGAGTGAGAGGGACCCAACAGCTACATCAACCACAGTTCACAGCAGCATCAGTCACCAAAAGGAGGAAGCGACCCAACTGTCCCCGATATGCAAAATGTGGAGTAAGCAGGCAACAGAGTATTATTCAGCCTTAGTGACGAGGGGCGAAGGTGTGACAAAGGCTACAACATGGTGAAGTTGTAGACATTATGCTAAACGAAATAAGCCAGACACAAAACAGCAAAGAGCGTTTGATTCTACTTACATGAGACCTGAGAACAGCCGATTTATAGAGACAGAAAGTAGAACAGAGGTCACCAGGGGCTGGGGAGGGGCAGGCGAGTTAGCTGCAGTTTGGGATGATGAAAATCATTTCTGGAAATCAATGGTGATCATGGTGGCACAACAATGCGAATGTACTAAACCTCACTGAGCTATCAACTTAAAAATAGTTAAAATGGGAAATTTTATATTACATATATTTTACCACAATAAAAAAAGATAATGATGTTGTAAACTGTGAACTCCAGAAATGTGATGTGGCATTATTCATTTTCATGCCTCATTCCTTGTCCAGTTCCTGGCAAACCAAAATAAGTATTTTATGAACAAATAGACTCATTAATAAATGCATGGATTACTTATACCCCCAGATTTTTAAAGCATATTGAAAAGTAAAAATTCTCAGAATAGGAAGATACTGGGTCAGAAGCAGAAAGTGACCCCTATATCTAGGACTCAGACTCCATAATGAGTAACATTAATATTAGAACATAATAGGTGACAAACCATTAAGAAGTCCAGCACTGAGGTGGGAGAAAATTTTCCCTTATGAAAAGGAGCGTACCATCAAAGGTAAAGCTACGGGCTGAAATATAATAGACAGTAAGCCCAATAAAATAATGGTGTCAGTCCAGGGCTTGCAAACTGTGTAAATCAACTATTCAAAACAAATGTTAGAAGGGAAACATAAAAATGGAGGAAATGCATGTGACCGTAAGAGCTGTTTAAACAAGTTAGTGATAGAGACAGACAGAATCAGATGGAATGTGAATAACTGTACTTCCTAAAGAAATTTCATAACTTCCTGAATTTAAAAGCATATGCAAAATATAACTCCAGTGATAAAATACTGTATACAAATACATAAAGGATGGCATTCAAAAATTTACCGGAGAAGTGGAGAGGAGAATTGAACAACCTATTTTCAGACCATTGCCTTCACTGTAATCATCTTCCTAAAATGCAGATCTGCTTTGGGTATGCCCATGCCTTGAACTTTCTCATAGTTTCCCCTTAAGAAAAATAGGCTTTCTGTCTCTCTACCTTTCCAGCACTATTTCCTTCTGATCCCCACCTTCCTCCATATTTGAGCTTCTTTCAGCTGGTATGTGCCCATCATAGGGGCACAGATAATCCCCCTAAGCTTCCCAAATATACTGCATTGTAATTATTGTTCATTCATTTCCCTCACGAAATGGGTAAATGTCTCAACAGAACAGATCATTTTCTATCTTGGTGTTTGTAACGCTAACAGCCAGAATCATGCCTGGATATAGGTATGTGGGTGATTCGTATTTACTAATTGTTGAATTTGAGGAACTATGGATGGTAAGCTAATTACATGGAAAATATAAAGACTTTCAAGTAAACAAAGGAATACAACTTAAAACAATTAAAAATAAAATGTATAAGACTGAAAAAATAGAAAGCATTATTAGAAAATTGATGTTGGAGCTCTATTTCAGAAAATGGTAGACTAGATGGCACTGGATAAACCTTCCTGCTCTAACAATTCTAAAAGCCAGATAAAATACTAAAATTATCTCTTGAAGACAGTGAAGAGCTACTAAGTCAGTGAGAATTATTCAGGGCCAAAATCTGGGGGAGAAGGGCAGCCAAGAAGACTGAGCTTAGTATTTGGTGCCACTTTAATGCTTAAGGTAAGAGCCAGTTCCAAAAGTGGCAGCCGAGAAGCTCACAAGAGATTTAGGCCACCTCCTGGGGAATGGAGGGGCCAATATTAGGGTTCAAGGCCCCCCAAGGAGCAGAGCTTGGATAAACACCCCAGGTCTTTCTGAATAGCTTCTAGAAGTAGCATATAATAGAAGTACCAGAGGAGAGGGGATGGAGAAGTGAGAGGGAAAGGGACTTGAAGATTGGCTGACCATCAACGATATGAAAAGGCGACCTACCGAGTGGGAGAAGATATTTGCAAATCATACATCTAATAGGGGGTGACGTCCAAAATATACGAAGAACTTATACAACATCCAAAAAAAAACCTGATTAAGAATCAAATAAGACATATATGTGCTACAAATGGAGCCCATGAAATGGGTTAGTTTGGCCCAGAAAGAACCTGGGACTCAGATTGGCAGACCCATACCATGTGTTAGAGGTCAGAAGAAATTCCAGCTGAATTAAAACGTTAAATCAAAAACGTTTTCAACCCTGAGGGCTGAGATGAGAAGGGCTGTCCATTTATTATCTCTCAGCTGACTAAAGAAATTCAAGTCTTCAGAACACCATGACCATCAGGGAATGGAGTCCAGGAAGAAGAGCCGAACACTTGGAGTCCAAACATACCTGCACAGCTCACGCCCGGAGCACCCAGCCACCAAGAGCCGCGGCCTTACTCATTCCCCACAGGGCTCCCGGGACCTCAGCTATGGGGCAAATGGGGAGGAGGCAGGAGAGGCCTGGGCTCTCTGCAGCCCTGGTACCCAAGGCCCTGCTCCCGGCCAGGTCTCATGCTTACCCTGGAGACGGGCAGGGCCGGGGATCTATACGTGGCTGCAACTTGGCCAGCTCCTCCGCAGGGTGTATTGACTTGGGCAAGGCCCCTGACGCTTTCAAGATGAGGGACTCCTCCAACTCTCCCAACGGGGAATGGGTGGTCAGCCCAGACTCCAGAGATTCTCCAACCTCCTCTTTGGCCTCTTCAGGAATGCCCTCACCTGTTCTGTGCTGGGAGAGGGCTTGACAAGCTGCTAGGAAGACACAGACACACATCCAGGTGCTGTCTGCAGAGTTCTTACCCAACGCCAGTGAATGTGTAAACAGGTATAGGCACTTGGATGAGCTTGAAGCATGGACAAACAAGAACTTAGGAGGCAAGCAGTAAGCTGCTTTAAAAAGCCAGTCTTGTTGCTTCTGAGAGGTTCATGTCAAGAGTGAAAACCATAACACCTTCTGCATCGAGGGACCCTACCATTCTCCTAGTCAGTGCATCCCTGGGTTTTCCTCTGATGGGAGGGAGCCTGGAGGTGCAGGGGTAGTTGGAGAACAGGCTGGAGCAATCAGCCTAGTCGTGAAACTGGGCTGCTCCCTCCCTGGGCCCTTTGCTCATATTGCAAGGGGGAAGGAGGGTGAGACTTGGGAGTCTTCTAGGTGCAAGAAAGGGGCTGAGAAGCAGCCAGTTCCTTACTCAAAGCAGGGTATGAATCAAAAAGCTCCATGATAAGTGTTTCCCTGGGCCCTAAGCTTTTCTGCCCATGTAGGAGACCCTGTGGACCTGAGAGCAGAGCCCCATCCTCCCAGCAGGAGCTGGAGGAGTGCACACCTCAGCCAGCACACCACCATATTCACTGGCTTCACCTTCTTTGTCTTCCACAAAGTCGTAGGTCACGTAGTAGCTGTAAGTGATAAAAGGGCCTTGGGGCCCTGGTTCCAGGTCCAAAACAGAGGTGTCCAGAACCCCTCTGACACTTCCGATAGTCACCACGAACTGTGCCTCACATGCCAGGAGATCTGCAAGGGGAGCAGGCAGGGATGAGGGTGCAGGTGGGTGGAGGCAGGAGGGAAGAGCCAGCTGGGTCCTGCATTCTGCCCACCACACAGGGCTGGCCTCAAAGTTTGCAGACATGGGTTCAAATCCCAACTCTCCCAAGTTCAGCAATTTGGGGTATGTCCCCTTCGGGTAAGACACCCCTGGTTAAGCCAAGTTTTCCTGATCTGTACAATGGGAATGACAGTAGCTGCTTTGCAGGATGGTCACAGCTCAAGAATTTGTTACTTATCATGGTCTGGCACACAGTAGGTGTAGCTGTTATCAATGTCTTATCACACTGACCTTGAGCAGGCTCTGCTGCAGCTTGCAGTGAGGGCCACAAGGGGGTGATCTCAGGCCACCACTTAAATAAGAAACTGATTTTTTTTAATGTTTCCCATTTGCCTCAGAAGAGAAAGGACCAAGATGGTCCCAGCCTCCCTACCACTTCTATCCCCAAGTCCCAATCATCATAGGGATCAAAATCTGGGAGAACTCTGACCAAGAAGGTGAGCTACACCAGACTAGGGTCTGGGTCAACTGGAGAGCTGGAGACAGAACACCCGGAAGGGTGGAGGACAGGCAAGCAGAGGCTCGGGTGACAGCTCCCTCACCCCCACGCTGGCCGAGCCCACGGAACTGGTGCTTCTCCTTGGAAGTCACCGTGACGTCGTCCAGCACACACAGCCGGGACAGGGAGTCAATGGTGAAGCCACGGTAGAAGGGCACTAGGGCCAGCGGGTTGCCCTGCAGCACCAGCAGCCGCAGGTGTGGGAGGGTGCTGAGGCTGGCAATCATGCCCTGCAGGTCCGTCAGGTTGTTGAAGCCCAGGTCCAGAGAGATGAGGTTGGGCCTAGAAAAGGAGCAAGACTGCTCAGGGGTCAAGGGGCCAGGTGAGCCAAGGGGTGGGAACAGGCAGCATGGCCTTGCCACTGGCCTGTGCTGCCCAGTGTCCCCAGCACCCCACATCCAGGACAGACAGAAGGCCTGGTGCTGATGGCCAGAGGGGAAAATCCACCCCTCCTCCACTCACACCTTGCGCCGCCTGGGACCCAAGACAGTCCCAGAGTGGGGAAGCGTCTGCTGGTTCTGCTGCCCCGCTGAGACACTGCTGTCCTCGCTGCAGCAAGGAGATGGCCCTCAACCCATCCCGCCTCCTCGCTATCTCCTGTAGATCCTGGTATGGCACTGTCTATTGAGAAGGTTCTCCACAAAGACTGACAGAGTGGTGAGGAGGACAGAGGGAAGCCACAGCAGGCAGGAGAGGCACGGGTGCTATTGGCACCCAGTGCGTGGAGGCCAGAGGGCTGCTCACCCACCCCCACAGCAGAGAATCCTCCAGCCGCACGTCAACAGTGTCCAAGTGAGGAACCCCACTCTTAATACACAGCATCAAAGGCCTCACCTGCTCCCACTACCTCTTGCTATCCTTTCCTAGGGTTCAGTGGAATTTTTTGTTTATTGAGTCAGAGAGGAGCCAACCAAGAGTTACTAGAGAAAAATGCAAAGCTGAGTTCTTCAAGGTGTCAGGGTAACTGTACAAATCTCATGCTTAACCCCTTTGTTTCCTTCCATTTGTGGCTCCCAAGTTACCAGTGATCAGTGGTGACGTACAGACTTTCCAAGGGGCCCAGAAGTTTGTTGTGACCTAACCCCAAGTGCCGGAGAACCGGGGGCGGGTGAGCGCACAGACACTCCACGCTGGCGATCTGGTTACCACAGAGCTCCAGCACCTGAGACAGAGGCAGAACGTGCTCATGAGCCCAGTCAAAACTGAGTCTATTTCCCTCCAGCTGCCCTGAGAAACAGGTGAGGAATTACGCAGTGCTCAGGCCACCCCCACCCCCACCCCCACCCTCAACCTTGTCTGCCTGCACTCCCTTTAAAATAAGGGGAAAAAATTTCCTGGAGCAGGTGTTGGAAATTTTCTTTTCCTTTGGTGAAGGAAACTTTAACACCTGGAACTGGAGGTGATGTTGGAGAGGGGGCAGGAGACACACTTAGCATCCTGGCAACTTCTCACCCTTGCTGTTATGCCTTTGGGAAAGCCAGAAGGAGCCTGCATACAATAAGGAATAAACCCAAAGGTGGCGAAGAGCTCTCGTACTTCTCCTTCTAGGCCTCACCTGTTTTTTTATTTTTTAACATGGCACTGAACCACATTTCTGAGTCCCTTCTGCCACTGAATCTAATTTAATTTAAAATTGGGACCATTTTGATATGCTCAGCTGAAGACATAATAAAGCCCGGCCCACCTTTTTCTTAAACTGTTTTTTTTTTAATTCAAGTATAGCTGACATACAGTATTACATTGGTTTCAGCATAGTGATTTAACAACTACATATTACAAAATGCTCACCATGGTTAAGTGTAGTTACCGTCACCATACAAAGGTATCATGACATTATTGACTCTATGTCCTATGCTGTACTTTTTATCCCTGTGACATATTATGGAAGTTTGTACCTCTTTATCCCCTTCACCTATTTTGCCCATTCCCCCACCCCATCCTTTTGACAACCACCACTTTGTTCTCCATGTTTGAGCCTGTTTCTATTTTTTTTTTAGATTCAATACAAAAGTTAAATCACATGGTATTTGTTTTCCCTTATGCATGATGATGACTTTCTTGAGTGTTATGCTTAGATTCCTCTCCCTTTATTTTTTGCGTATCTTTTACAGTTCTTTGGTTCGTGGGAACCAGGAGTCTATGTATGACGTCCGACATGTGCAGTGGTCTGTGTTAAGCTCATGGTCACTTAAGTTCCAACACTTTCTCACAGCACTACATTTTTTTACTCCCCCTCCTCCATGTTCTATGGATATGATGTCTTATTTTGCACCTTTTCATTTAGTGATTCCCTTAACTAATTTTTAGATGTAATTGATTTTACTATTTTCGGCTTTTAACCTTCATACTAGCTTTTAAGTTATTAATCTACTTCTTTCAGCATATTTTGCTTTTACCAGTGGAATTTTTCCTCTCATCATTTTCTTGCTTCTAGTTTTGGCCTTTTCTTTTCCTCTTAAAGAGGTCCCTGTAGCATTTCTTGTAGGGCGAGTTTAGTGGTGGTGACCTCTTTTAGCTTATGTTTATCTGAGAAGCTCTTTATCTCCCTTCCATTCTGAATGATAACCTTGCTGGGTAGAGAGTTCTTGGTTATAGGTTTTCCCTTTCAGCACTTCGAATGTGTCATGTCACTCACTTCTGGCCTGCAAAGTTTCTGCTGAAACATCAGTGGTAGCTTTATGGGATTTCCCTTGCTTGTGACTCTGCTTTTCTCTTGCTACTTTTAACATTTTCTCTTTAATCTTTAATCTTTGATATTTTAGTCAAAAGGTGTCTTGGTATGAGCCCCCTCAGGTCCATCTTGTTTGGGGCTATCTGTGACTCCTGGACCCAGATCTCTTTCCTGCCTCGGGTTAGGAAAGTTTTCAGCTATTATTTCTTCAAATAAGTTTTCCACCCCTTTCACTTCTCTTCTCCTTCTGGGGCTCCTGTAATGTGAATATCAGTATGTTTGATGTTACCCCGGAAATCCCTTCATCTAGCCTCCCTTCTCCCTTCTTCTTATTCCTTTTTTCCTGCTGTTCTGACTGAGGGCTTTAAACTTTATGTATCTAGTAAAATATATATAATTTGCCATTTTAACCATTTTTTAAGTGTACAGTTTGGTGGCATTAAGTATATTGACACTGTTGTACAACCATCATCACTATCTATTTCCAAAATTTTTTGTCACCTCAGAGAAACTCTCTACCCCTGAAGCAGCAACCCCCAGTGCCCATCTCCTGGCCCCTAGTTCCCTCCAAGCTACTTTCTGTGTCCATGGATTTGCCTCTTCAAGATATTTTATGTAAGTGGAATCATCTAATTAATGGGGCCTTTTGTGTCTGGCCTCTGTCATTCAATCTAATGTTTTCAGGGTGCATCCATGTTGTAGCACATGTCATTCCTTATTATGACTGAGTAATATTCCACTGTATGGATAGATCACATTTTATTTACCTATTAATCTACCAATAGACACTTGGGTTGTCTCCACCTTTTGGCTGTTGTGAGTAGCACTGTTAGGACCACTGGTACACTGAGTCCCTGCTTCTATTTTGGGGGGGCATATACCTAGTAATAGAATTGCTGGGTCACATAGAAATTTTACCTTTTGAGGAAACTGGCCTACATCCCAAAAGCCTGAGACTGGTCCTCAGCACACAACCAGACTGTCTAAACCTTCTGTGTCAGGGGCAGGGTATGGACAGGGCCTCTGGGCAGTGATGGCTCAAAGACCCTAAGTGGAGCCTGGACCCTATACCTTGAGAGTTGGAGGCAGGTTGGCAGCATTGATCTCCTTGATTCGATTAGCACTCAGTACCAACTCTTCAAGGTTGAGAAATTTCAGGAGGCCTTTATCCACCAGGCTCACCTAGAAGGGAAGGAAAGGATGCTAAGAGCTCTCATGGTGAGGCAGCACTGGGGCAGAAGCCAAGTCTATAGCTTGTCCTTGCCAACAGCCCACAACCTCTGCCCACCCTACCCCAGTCATGCCCACCAGGATCCAAGGGCCCTGGCTGCTGTGGTGACCTCTCACCTCTTCACCCTCTGACTGGAGCTGTTGTAGAATTTACAGCTCAGTGCCCTGTGTCCCTTGTTGGACTGTAAACTCTGAGGGGCAAGAGTCACACCTGCGCTGTCTACCCCAGAACCACAGAGAACCTGATGGCATTAAGGAATCACCCAGTTTACACCTAGCAGGGTCAGAGCAGAGGGTTCAGGGCCTGTGAATCCGCAGCTCCTTGTGGCTTCAAAGACATTAGGGGCCCCCCTTCCTGGCTGGGCCTCTCTTCTCTGGGGGACTGACTGGCCAGCTTGCCCAGGACTGAGGGGCAACCAGGACATGAGGCTTTCAGCACTAACACAGGGAAGTCCCAGGCAAACTGGTAGGGTTGCTCCCCCTCCTCAGCCCCTGGTTCAGTGTAAATTCACAGTTTCTCTGGGAAAGGAGAAGCAAACTCAGGAAGTCTGAGACCAAGTTCCCATGTAATTTTTGGGCTCTGGTATTGAAATAAGCAAAGGTTTTTAGTGACAGAAATTAACAAAGGACTATGCTGTCCCTCCCTAACCCCTGATTCCTACAGTTTAAATTAAGTAAAACCAATATGGACACTTTGGAAGGTCTCTTTTAGGACCCAGAAAGGCCAATTGCAGGGTGTGCCAGAAATCAGCTGTAGAAGATACACAGTGGATTCTGTCCAAGGGTGAAGGACGGGGACATATACCAAAGGTCAGTCAGGAAGAGTGCACAGCTACCTCCTCATCCGCGCTCCCACCCAACACCTAGGTCTTACCGCTGAGCCAGGGAATGATCTCCCTAACATCAGCTCCATGCTCTGGAGCTGTTCCCAGCACTCACCTGCCTGCCCACAACTCGTAGGGACCTGAAGTAGGAGTAGAGAAAGGTGTCTTTGAGCATCAGTGGATTCTGGACGGCCAGTTCTTTCAGAAAACGGTCCTCTGCACTTGAACCCTCTGGCAGAGCCCAGGGTGAGTGGGGACTGCAGACCAAGTCCAACAGGTCCTGCACTGTCTCCTCCCCAGGGTTCATGGCCTCCTCCTCCCTGGGGACCAGCTCCCTCCATGCTGGCCAAGTTTGAGGAAGAAATCGGGACTTATTCTGCATTGGGGAAGTGGAGAATTTCTCAATTTATGACAGCCCTTACAAGGATTTGAAACTGAAAATTGAACAGATTGTAAGACAGGACAATCTGGGATACAGAGTTTGGAAATGCAGACGATGAATAATCAATACTTCTGACTAATTATTGGCCATGGATATAAGTACAAAGGAAGATACAAAATACCAAAAGGTCCATTCCTGCCTTTAGGCGTTTACTCTCATCTTGAAGATGTAGGTAAAAGTGATCAAATATTTAATGAAAGATTTATGTACTAGAAGCCAGGAGGCACAAAAGGCAGTCTGCCAGATATAATTAATCAAGGGAAAACTTTTGAAGAAGAGGTGGCAAGGCTGAAAAGGTGAGAACAGAACCTTGAGATGCCAGCAGGGAAAGATCAAAGAATTCCCCCCAGAGTTTTTTTTTTACTTCCCCAAACTCAACACAATGCCAGGCACTCAGGAAGTGCTCAATGTTTGTTGACGAAACAAACTAATTAGTTCCCTGATTGGTGTCTTAGTTTTCTCCTCTATGAAATAGGAAACACCCACTTCCAATCGGGGCTGACCAGTGTGTGGCCCCAGCTTCCACCAAGCCCACGGGCACCATTCAGGATCCTTGAAATATTCCTGTGCACACTGAGGAGCCCACGGTGCTCAAGGTCCTGTGCTCATCCCCACCACATGCATCTCCCTGACTATGGCCCCTCTGGCCACATCGCCGCGGGGGCCCAAGTGCAAGACTGCTCTCAAGATGAGTGTGCACACCTAAAGAGGAGGGAAAGGGGCCTTCTTGGGCAGCAAAACCCCGTTTTTCTTCCTCAAGCTGTTACAACTATGCCCAGCGCCGTGCTTTGCTCTGCCTCTCTGCAGCCGGGAAGCAAAGGCGGAGGCACCTGCTCTAGCCTCCCTGAGCCACGACTTGCTCCTGAGGGAGGGGAGACGCTTTAGGACGGAAGAGTTTCTGGCCTCAGACACAAGAACAGGAATGGAGGTGGAAGCACCTCTCGCAGACCTGCCAGCCCCTGTAGACGGCAGAACCGGGACTGCTCAGGACCGGCCCCCACCCTGGCTTGTGTTCCGGGCCACTTGAAGGCTGAGGAGTTCTGGGCCCAGACAAAAGCTGTGCACCCCAAAAGGAGCCTGGCGTCTTAAGAAAGCGAGAGGCCTTGCCCCAGGTCAGCCTGATGTGCTCAGGATGGGGTCCTTGCCCAGCACTCGTGGTCAGCGCCCACAGGCCCAGGGCTGGGGGCTATTCCGCCTGCCCCTGCGGGGTCCCAGTTCCCACGTGCCCTGATCGCTGGGATCCAAACCTTCTCTCAGGCCGGCGGGGCCCTCAGCTCCCGGGCCAGCCCCGCCCCGGCCCTGCTCTCGAGCCCCTCTGTCCCCCCGACCCTAAGTCCCTGCTCGGCCCCGCCGGCGCCCGCACCCAGCTGCCGGTGCCGCACGGGAACTCGTGCAGACACAGCTGCCCCAGGTGCTCCAAGAGCACGGCGCTCACGGTCTCGGCCGGCGCCCCCATGTCCGTCGGCCGCGGCGCAGCAAGCAGCTAGGCAACCGCCGGGACGCGCGCGTGCCCGAGCCGCAGTGGCGCAGGCGCACCGGAACGCACGACCCCCAGGGGCGCGCGAGCAGGTCCGGCGGGTAATGAGTCCGACTCCTCCCCAGACCACGTGGGCTTTCTGGGACCTGGTCTGCGCTCGCCAAAGTGAAACGGAACGACAGTGCGGGGTCCCCCCAGTCCGGGTAGCGCGGCTGGGGCTCCCAGCAGGGGTTGAGAGCTTCTTAAGTGCTAGTCTCTCTTTCTCCTCCCAAGCTCTCACCAGGGAACTACTAATTATTTCCCCACTTGACAGATCTGGAAAGGAGAAATGAGATCTGGAAAGGTCAAACAATTCAAGATTCAAATCAGCGGACTTCAATGTGGAGCTCTGTAACCCTTGAGTCAGGGGTTTTAATCACTGTCTACATATTGAATCGTTTTAGGACCAAGACCCCATTTAAGACTGATCCAGCCTTATTTATCTCTCCATCTTCAGAGCATCTAGTCCACTGCTGGCCACACAGTAGAGGCTCCTGGGCACTAGTTTGTGAAATTGATGGGATAAGATGACTCTGGTTCCTATAATGTGGAAATGCAACATCTTTATTGATACATAGTTTACACGCTGTAAGATACACCCGTTTAGTGTAGACTTCTGTTGTTTTTAGTGTTTTCACTGTGCAACTGCATTCGTAGTGCAACCATCACTGTAATCTAATTTTCAATGTTTCCCAACCCCAAAAGGAAACCCCTGCCCATGAGGCAGTCACTTCTTACTCCCCCATCTGCCCTGCCCCTGGCAACCACTGCTATGCTTTCTGTCTCCATGGATTTACTACTTGCAGATATTTCATATAAGTGGAGTCATACAATATTTACAATATTTGTCCATTTGTGTCTGGCTTTTTTTTACTCAACATCATGTTTTCAAGGTGTGTCCATGTTACAGCATGTGTCAGGGATGCATTCCTTTCTATGGCTGAATAATAGTTCATTGTATGGATAGACCACATTTTGTTTATCCATTCATCAGTTGGGTTTGTTCCCTCTTTTTGGCCCTTACGAATAATGCTGAACACTCCTGACAAGTTTTTGTGCCAACATGTTTTCATTTCTCTTGGGTAGATTCCTAGGAATGAAAATGCTCTGTTTAACATTTTATAGAACTTCCAGCCTGTTTTATGCAGAAAGTTATTTTACATTCCCACCAGCAACATATAATGGTTCCGGTTTTTTTTATATCCTCACCAACACCTGTTATTTTACATTTTTTAAATTATAACCATCTTAGTAGGTATGAAATATCTCATTGTGTTTTTATTTACATTTCCCTAATGCCTGACTAATGATATTGAGCATCTTTTCATGTGTGTATTGGCCATTTGTATATGTCTATTCAGAAACTTTGATCATTTTTAAATTGGGTTGTATTTTTATTGTTGAGTTTAAGAGTTTCTAACATATTCTGGATACCAACTGCTTCTTTTATGGATGATTTGCAAATATTTTCTTCCATCTTGTGGGCTGTCCTTTCAATTTCTTGATACTGTTCTTTGGCACACAAGTTTTTAATTTCCATACAAAGTAATTTATTTATTTTTTCTTTGGTTGCTTATGTTGTTGGTGTCATTTTAGAGAAAACATTGCCTAATCCTTAAAATTGAGTTTTGAGCATTCTTTATATATTCTGTTCTTTATATATTTTGTCAGATTTGTGATTTACAAATATTTTTCTCCCAGTCTAGGCTTGTCTTTTCATTCTCTAAGCAGTGTCTTTCACAAGGAAAATAATTTTTTTAATGTTGAGGAAGTCCAGTTTATTGATGTGATCCTTCCAGAAACAGCCATGGAGGTAGACATCTACCATTCTTTTTAACTGTCTTATGTCAGAACACCTTTACTATTACAAGAAATATTCTCCAAAACTGGGATAAAAGGCAAAAAGAGAGCCACATGTTCTTTCAAAGAATAAAATAAAAATCCATGAGTCTATAGTGATATAAACAAATCAAAGAGAGGAACCAGGGATGACTCCTGGGATTTGGATGGAACAACTGGGTGGTTGATGTGCAGTGAGGGAAAAGGAGTCTGAACAGGGGAAATCAAGAGTCCTGCTTGGAATGAGTGAAGTTCAAGATACACATTGGGCATCTGTTCGATATCAAGTCAGCCATTGGATAGGAGGCAAGAGCAGAGGGCAAGGTCAGGTCTGGGTGGTCCACAGATGCTCATGCACAGCAGAAGAGCCAGCTGGAAACCCCCTTCCACCCCGAAACTCCAGTCCCTTTCCAGCCACCGCTATGTCTTTCTTCTTATCCAAGCTTCTGTACAGGGTGGTCTTCACTCTTTCTTACCTCATATCCCAAACCACAAAATAAGGCTTCCACCCACAACGACGTATCCAAACTCCCCCGACAAAGTTCCCAGTAACGTCATGTCATCAAACCAAGTGAACCACCTCAGACTTTATCTCACTTGACCTATCGGTGGCATATGGTGGTGACAATCATATCCTCCTCCTTGAAAACCACTTTCATCTTGTTCCATGACTACATGCGTTTCTTTCCCTGTTGAGAGTTCCTTCTCAGAGTTCCAGACTAAGCCATCTTCTGCTGCCTGTTCCGTTAATGGGGTGTGCCCCAGGGCGCCACTGTTGACCTGCACATCTCACACTGGTCATCTCTGGTAGGTTTACAGTTTTATCCACCACAATGTACAGACAGCACCCAAATTTATGTCTCTAGTTCCTTCCTTCAAGCTCCAAATATGAATATCTAAGGGCCCACTGTACTTCATCACCTGACTGTTCCCTCTCACCATGTCAACACTGAATGCTTTACTTCACAAGTCTTGTGATCCTCTTTTGGTGGCATTGCCATCTGTCCAGTTGCCCAAACCAGAAACCTAGGTGATGTCCTCAGCTCTCCCCTTTCCACTAGTCCTGTATCCTACTGATCACCATCTCTCTGAGGAATACTTCCTATGGATTTCTCCCATCCATCCATATCCTTTCATCTCTACTCTCACTGTTACCCTGGGTCTGATCCTCGGCTTCGATGTCCTGTGTGAGGCACAGGTAGGACACTCAGGTGGAGATGTCCCTGAGAGGGCTGGACACTTAGCCCTGGCGTTTGAAGGAAGGAGCCAGTGAAGTGTGAGGGACATAGGCCAAGGGTGGGGTCTTCGGAGACATGTCCAGTAAAGGGCCAAGCAGGCAGGTGATCGAGTCTGAGAAGGCCCAGGCAGAGAGGCAAAAGGCATCAGGATAATGTTGTCATGGAAGGAGAGGGAAAAAGAGATTTTCAAGAAGGAGGAAGTGGCTGGCATTATTTCATGTCAAGGAGGGGTCAAGTAAAATGAAGCCGGCCCCAGGAGGTCACTGAAGACTATATTGGTTCTCTATGGCTGCCGTATACCATAAATGTAGCAGTTTAAAACCACAAAGCTACCATCTCACAGTTTCTGTGGGTCAGAGGAATGGCATGGTGTAACTTTGCTCAGGGTAATGCCACGCTGAAGTCAAAGTATAGGCCGGGGCTACAGTTCTTATCTGGGGTCCAGGGTCCCACCTCTCAGGCAGCTGGCCAAATTCATTCCTTCTCATGCTTTCCCTGGGGCTCCTCCAACTTCAAGCTAGCAATGGCAGTTGAATGTTATGCTTTGAGTCTGACTTTATCTTCTAACTTCATCTATGTTTTCAAGGGCTTATGTGACTACTTTAGACCCACCTGGTAATATCTTAACGTCAACTGATTAGTGACCTAAATTCTATCCGTGAAGTCCCTTCTGCCATGTAATATAATGTAATTATGGGAATAAACACCAGAGGGTAAAGTCATGGTGTCAAAATTCTGCCTTCTTTGGACTTTGCTATAGGATTTTGAATAAATTGTTAGGGTGAAAACCATATTGTGGTGGTTTGGGAACTGGGGTAAAAGTGAGTGTAGACCACCCTGTCCAGAAGCTTGGATAAGAAGAAAGACACAGCAGTGTCGGGGTGGAAGGGGGTTCCTGGCTGTCTCTTTTGTTGTGCATTGGGTTCTATGGACCACCCAGACCTGACCTTGCCCTGTGCTCTTGCCTCCCATCCAGTGGATGACTTGAATAGATGCCCAATGTGTATCTTGAACTTAGCTCATTCCAAGCAGGACTCTTGATTTCCCCTGTCCAGACTCCTTTTCCCTCACTGCACATCAACCACCCAGTTGCTCCATCCAAATCCCAGGAGTCATCCCTGGTTCCTCCCTTCATCTCCACATCCACCCATCAGCCAGTTTTGTAGACTTCATCTCTATCTACTCCAGTCCCAACCACCATCATCTCTCACCCAGACAGCTGCATAAGTTTGTAATTGGTCCTTCCACTCCATCTTGGATTCACACAATCCACTCTCCATTCAGCAGCCTATCTCTTTCTTACTTCTCAAAGTACCTCAGATCCTAAATCTCCATACCTACAAGCATCCAGTGGTGCCTCATCACACTTGAAATAAAATCCAAGTTCCTTATCATGGCCTAGCAAGGACCTCTATGCCCTGGCCTCTCCCCACCTCTCCACTATCCTCCCCTTCTCTCACTTCAACCCAGCTACCCTGACCAGCTTCCCGTTCTTGGCCACATCAAGCTCACTTTTGCCTGAGAGCTTTGGCACCAGTGTCTGCTCTGCTTGGGGTACACTCTCTCCAGATCTTCTGATGGCAGGCTCCTCACCTTTCAGATCTCAGCTTAAATGTCACCTCCTCAGAGAGACTGTTCTTGATAGCCTGACTTAAAGTATCTCACCCATCACTCTAACCATCACCTTGTTTTGTTTTTATAGCTCTTCTCATCCCCTGATACTTTCTTGTTTATTAACATTATTTATTATCAGTGAGGGCAGGAACCTTGTCTGACTTCTTCACCATCATTCCTGAAGCTATGGAAGAGTGCTTGGTCAAAGTTGACACTCAAAATATAAATAAGTGATTTCAACAAATAACTCTTGAACACGGATTCTGGTTCCAGGCTCTGTGGTCACAAAGATACTGTTGAGAGTTCAATGAT